AAAAAGAACTAGTTAAGGAAAGAAGGATTCTCCCCGGAGAAATCCTTTTGTGAGGGCGCCAAGGCCCGAGCGTCTGCTCACGTAACGGCTATGCCCATTTAGGGGCATAGCCACAGAATGGGTTCAACCCATCACAATAAATTTTTTTATAAACGAAATATTTAAATATTTAAATATTTAAATAAATAATTTTTATTTTTTTTATTTTTAATTTTAAAATTTAAAATTATTAAAAAATTAAAAAATTAAAAAATTAAAAAATTAAAAAATTAATTTTTTTTTATTACATATTATAGCCGAAAATAATCGACTACGCGATCGAGAGCCGGCGGTCGCATTAAATTGTACATCACGCTATTTTTCCACCGCAAAAAGTAAAAGTACCCAGCAATCATCCCCAACCGATCTCTGCAACATTGACAACGTAGCAAAATGCATACAGCGCTTGTCACATCTTGGGACCATCTCCCAACATATGCCGAAGTCGAAACCCCTGCCTTCCCAAGCGAAGGCTCGGACATCGTGCAAATCAAGCTTATAGCCACGGGTCTTCACAGGCTCGTCAAATCCCGAGCAGCCGGGACTCACTACTCGGCCAAGACACTCCCTCACATCCCCGGCGTGGATGGAGTTGGTACTACACCTTCGGGCCAAGTAGTCTATTTTTCAACCATTGGCACCGGCGGCTCTTTCAGCGAGGTTATCAATGTGCCAAAGAAAGATACCACCCCTTTGCCAGTCGGGGTAGATCCTCTGCAAGCGGCTGCGTTAGTGAATCCCGCTCTGTCCAGTTGGTTGGCACTCGCATATAGGACGTTCAATCTTCCTGAGAATTTCACGGCAGTGATTCATGGTGTCACTACTGCTTCGGGAGCTATTTCAATCAATGTCGCCAAGGCTTTGGGTGCCGGGAGAGTTATTGGAGTAGCGAGGAATGCGAAGGCGATGGAGGCTTTAGATCTAGATCAGAGAATCACCCTCCGTGAGAAGATCGAGGAGACGGACTTTTCGACGTTAGGAGATGTGGATGTCGTGTTGGACTACCTTTATGGGGCGCCGGTGGTGCATCTGTTGAAGAGCTTGAATTCGAAGAGGCCGGTGCAAGTCGTGCAGATTGGGAGCATGGCTGGAACGGAAGCCGCGTTGCCGGGTGCGGTATTGAGGAGTAAAGATATCACTTTGAGGGGTTCGGGTCCGGGCGCGTTCAAGATAAGTGATCTGGTGGACTCACTGCCTGGCTTGTTGAACGTGCTGAAGAGCGTTCCCGAAAGGGACTTGAGGGTGGTGAGTCTAGTTGATGTGAAGAAGGTCTGGAATCAAGGAGGTGAAAGGATAGTCTTCATTCCATAGTGAATCGATAGTTACAGATGAAATATGATAGTAACTTATTCGCTCTCCATATAGGGCCATGGACATTCTGGGGTGAGTTGACAGAACCTGACAGCCTCCTGCAAGAAGTTACGATCCAATCGCCGTCTTAATCCTCTCGTCCGCCAAGTCCGAAAGTGCTTTGTCCGGTCGGACTATCTCTAACACCGGGAACCAACATATTAAGAAATTCTATATTTTTTTCGCAATTTCTCCTTGCTTTTAAGTATGTTTTCATACCGAAAGCGAGACACACTCAATAAGTTCCTACTCTGCCATCTTTTGCTCGGTTTCTAACCTGAAGCTCATCCACTTAAACTCTCGAGCCTATATACATCAACAAATTATACTTGCACACCACTATGTATGTTCAATCGACAATGCGCAGCTGGCAGTACAGGTCCACTCAAGGTGGTCTCGAGAACAATCTAACCCTCAATACTGTCCCAATGCCTCAGCCCAAGGCAGATCAGCACCTCGTGAGAATCGTTGTTGCTGCTCTCAATCCTGTCGACTACAGGCTTGCTGAATTCCAATTTCTTCATCGAACAACCTTTCCCAAGCCTGCTTCTCCTGGTAGCGATTTTGCTGGTTACATCGTTAAACCTGCACAGGGATCTGCACTCAAACCAGGACAATTCGTCTTTGGAGCCGCTGGGACGAACTTCATGGCAAGTCCATTCCCATCTAAATCGTGCTTCATTTGCATAAGAGCCTCGGAGCTAGGAACTGGCTTGGATAAATACTCTCTTGAAAGCGTCCCAGACAGACCCAAGCTGCCTAGACATTTACTAGCTTTCAACAATGCTAATTAATAATTTGTCAGTGCGGAGGAGCCTTGTCCGAATACGGGATTGCCAATACCAGAGCTACTACCCCTATGCCGACAGGTCTTTCGACTTCCGATGCAGCAAGCATCACCGTTGCCGGTCTTACCGCTTATCAGGCTATTTTACCACACTCCAAGCCTGGGTCGCGTGTCTTCCTCAACGGTGGATCTGGAGGGGTCGGAGCTATTGGCATTCAGATAGCCAAAGTCAAAGGACGCCATGTCACTGTGACCTGCTCCACGGCTAACGTCGAGCTCTGCAAATCCCTTGGGGCAGATGAAGTGATCGACTACAAGACGCAAGATGTGTTACAAACACTTAAAGCCTCGCCATACAAGTACGATCTTGTTGTTGACAATGTTGGCAACGACCAAAACCTGTACTGGAAAGCACATGAATACACAAACCCAGGAGCGAAATTTATCACAGTGGCAATAAGTCACCATTTTAGCTTCATTCGGTTCGTTACCATGGCGAATTTGTTGCCAAAGTTTTTCGGCGGTGGAAAAAGACAACATCTGATTGTCATAGGTGAGCCGAAAGGACAAGAGCTCGAACAGATTGCCGATTGGATGGTCGAGGGCAAGATAAAAGCTGTCATTGATTCCAAATACAAGTTTGAAGAAGTGAGGGAAGCATACAAGAGATTGAAGACGGGTAGGGCTAAAGGCAAGATTATTGTCAATGTTGCGCCAGAGGAGGAATGTACGGCATGAAAGAACGATTTGCGGATTCAAACTTTAAGCTCCTACAAGAAAGCTCAGTGCGACTTCAATCGGGCAATGAATTTGAGAGCTCGAAGATAGACCAATCAATGCTTTCGAGATCATGACCCGCGAAATTAAATGGATCCAACGCTCCAAAGGCGGCTTCGTCACCGAAAACATTACCGTGAACTTGCCTATGTGTCAGACCTGGTGAACGGACAAGCAACACCGATGGGTGGGAAACAGTAGTGTTCGTCGTGTCCTTCCAGTGGTTGGTACCATTCAAGGTGAGGCGAATGGCGTGGGAGACTCTAAGCGCGTCTCTGCTGACTGACGACTTTTCTGAACATATCTCAAAAGATCGTTCCAGTAACCCTTTTGCTTCATCTTCCATGGCGGGGTCGATCATCGGCTCCTGGGCCTCCCTTCTCCAGCGTGTATGCACCACGAGGCAAAGTACCATGACGCCCATCAGGAAATCATTCATTGTGAAATTAGTCTGCCATTGAAGTCTCCGAGTCAGTATACTTCTTTCAGACAATACCGCAATATCTTGGATACTGCTTGCATTGGAGACTTGTAGACAGAAAATGAAACAATCTGGGGTTTTCGCTCCGTGATAGTCACATACCAGCATCCATCGCTCCATGTAAAGCATCCCTCCAGGACGAAACTCGCTGTAAACCTCAATGAACTGCCTCACGAGTGTAGTCCCCGCTTCAACGCAAGCCCCAGTGCTGAATACATTCCCTCGTGCCATATACCTTATGATTCAACAGTTAGCTGATCAATTGCAGATAGGAGCAGTCGCAGGGACTGAGAAATCACTCGCACGAGGGCGACAGGGTATACGTTTTTGGTTGGATTCAGGTATCCTGTGTGCCACCTACCTGCGATGGAGGGCACATAGGCTCTTGAGATAGATAAACTCAACGAATATCCTTGTCATCACCAGATAGGCGGGGTCTACAATCGATTCAGAAAGTGGTCGTACCCGAAGAACTTCACTAAAGCACAGATTCTGAAAGTCAGCATATTTCTTATTTACATTCAAGATGACGGTCGTGAAAGCAGGAAACTCAATGAACGCTTGCCCCGAGAAAGTATAAATGCAGAAGAGCCTATGTTGCTCGGACAAGATGGACCCACGGAGTCATATCGTGCATTCTGCGAATTTCCTCGTCTAGGTTACGGATTTCTTCTTCGGACTTGTCCTTGAAAGAAAGTGCATGTTGACAGACTTTATAGAAACTGTGCATTTGATTGTCCTTGACAATGAACCAGAGCAATCTCGTGACCTCGTTCTTTGATCGAGAGGCAGGTAATACACGAGTGTTCTCATCAAAGTCAGTATCAAGCAAGTTTCTGGGAGATTTCGTGTCCGACTGCTCGGGACTGATGTTGGTGGGGAGGCCGAGTTGGAAGGAACTCATCAGGTCCATCTGTTTTATGGCTGCCCAGAAACGTCTTCGCATCTCTCCTTCGAAGACAGAAAAGTTTCCAAATAAATCAGGATCCCGGTGGTAACCCATCTCATATGCCATACGAACTACAATGGCGAGAATTGCACCTTAGCCCGAGAGTTTGAGGTTAGCATATTTTCTGTTACAATCTGTAGAGGAGAGTGTCTTAGAAGTCCGGGGACATGGACATAATGAGCGATGGAGCATTGCTCCCAGAAGAGAACTCACCAGCTTCGCGGGATGGGTCGAGAGTTCTCAAATTCTTGCAATGTCCCTATTGTCGCGATGTTTCGGTCAGTAATCATTAATTATGTATCTGCGAACATAGAATTACACGCTGTAGCATAGTACCCTCGAGGAGATGGAACTTACATACATGGCCAATGCTTCCACGGCGAAAGGCTGCGGGTGGTAGTACTCTCCTGCTACCAGGCACTGTCCAGCCGCCGCGTGCAAGATTGATCGCCTAGTGATCAACTCATCCTGGGAAGAATGATGTTCACCAACCAGAGAGGCCAGACAACAGATAGAGAATAGCATAGATAGCCACAGAGGATTGACGTTTCCCATGTCGGCCCAAAAGGCATTGTACTGGCGCTGGAAGTAGAACGTATGAACAAAAGGGATGATGAAAGTCTCTCCCCGAAAGTAGAGAGCAAGGAAGCGATCGACTTCGACTTTTGGAGGCAGCATTTGACTGATGATATGTTGGACGTTGTAATGCCGCGAAGTCCCAAATATCAACTCATCACCTGAATAGGCGGGTTCAAACGCAATAGATTCTCCTGAATCTTGGACCTCGCCTGAGCGGGCCAAGATCTCTTTCAACCCATGGATATCGTTCAAAATGTCTGACCAATGTGTTGAACCAACGTATCTGTTGTTATCAGCATCTGCACCTCGAGGCTGATCGATACTTGAATCAGGTGGTAAGTCAAGTAGTGCCTGGGTTGATGCCGTAGAATTCTCGGGGTCAGGGACGTCAAGCCCCACGGGAGGTGATCTCAGAGTCTGACTTCGCATCAATTGCTTGACAGTGGCCTCCAGATGTGACAGTCTGTCCTCCGCAGCGTGACGGCCGATCGAGGAAGACTCGTAATTGCAGAATTGCGCCTCATCTCGGCGGAGACAGTTGCGACACGGATGTCCTCGATCGCAACGGACTTTACGAGCCCGGCATTGCTGACATATCGACGTTTCGCGGGGGCGTTTTGTAACTTTTCTTGGGGACGAATCATGTAGAATCGAAGCAACGTTGTGCGCATGAAATTTGCCAGTTAGCTTCGAAAAGTCCGATGACATGGTGACTGATCCTGAGCAGACCCGGCGTTTGGACGAGAAATAACCACAAAGCAAGTCAAGGCGGAGTATTGTGTATGGAATGGTGGGAGTACAACCACTGAAGCAACTTGAAGCCTCACACTAGTGACACCTTTACTTTGCTTACGTGAGTTGGGGTATTTCCAGTAGTAGGCTCGGTACCAAAGGTCTGTGGTTGGGAGCCGGGCTGCTTGCCGGTACGTAGCACGTTACAGGCGAGTTTTGTTAGATTGGGCAAACTAACGATTCGATTTGATGTACACCAAAGACTTGCCAGTTTGCCACTCATGTTCCATTCAGATATCTGGTATATAATTTTGATATCATCTGATTGACACATAAATATTGAGACCTTGATAACGTCATATGAAGCGAATCGGTACACTGTATGATTGAAAAGTTTCCGGCTGAGAAGTGCTTGACTTGCTTGACTTGCTTATATATTTGCACGTGTACTATCCCTCGAGCTTACCACGGTTGTACATTATCCTTTCTAATAACCTTGCCCACATCCTGATCTCTAGTCCCCTCAACCACGTCTCGAACAAAATTCGCACCTATCCTAGGATCGATTGCTCCCATCTGCTTGTTCACTTCCTGACTACCACCAAGGCCCGTCGCCAGATACCCTGGAGAAATGCACCATATCTTCACACCATCGTCTTTCAGTATCCGAACCCACTACGGCGAATCAGTATTCGGTTTCCATCTGATCAGAGCTCCGAAGGACGAGGAAAGCTTTCCCGGGAGCCTGATATCGACAACCTGTGAGGATTGAAAACAAAGGGGTTTGCTGCTTACCTCTCGCATCATCATATTCATCCCAGTTTTTGTGGAGCGATAAGCTGGAACTCCGTTAGGAGGTTTCGGCCACCCTTTCGAGGGTGAATGATTGACCCCAAGCAGTGTGTTTCCGCTTTCAGCAAGGGTTGAGGTTCCGCTAGTGATGAAAATGAGTCTTGGGTCAGACGACTTCAAGAGCAGAGGCATGAGCGTGTGTGTTACAACATGAGTTGATGTTGTGTTCACGGCCCAAGACTTGTTCCACATCTCTCTCATAGTCATCTTGCCCTGGTAAAATTGTTGATCGAGCAGAGCCCCTACATGACAAGTCAGTATTTGGAAGTCAAACGAGTCTGCTAGGGAGTCTCACCCGCATTATTGATCAAAATATCGATGCGTCCATGTTGAAGAAGAACTTGGTTGAAAAGTCGATCAATCGAATCATCGTCCTCGATGTCGATTTGCACCGCCTCGATGACGCTGGGGCTTCCAGGGAACTCTGTTTGCGCAGCTTTGACAGCAGCATTCGCCTTTTCTAGACTGCGACCACCGAGAAGAATTGTGTACGATTTAGATGATTGACACAATGATTTGATTGTTTCGAATCCGAGGCCGCTGCACAGTACCAAGAATCAGCATGTATTTACAATATAGCTTAGGAGGGCGTCCGGGATACAGGGAGACTCGTATGCAGAGCATCTCTGTCTTCCAGTATGCACTAGAAGAACAAAACACGGAAAGAAATCTCCAAGCAGGTGGTGGGCTTACGTGTTTGCCCCAGTGACCAAGATGATTTTAGACGCCATGATGGATCTCTTTGCGCTTGAAAGTATGAGTTGAAAATGTAGTGCTCCATGAATATAAATCCATCCGTGGCATCTTTATAGTCCTATAACCACCGGACATAAAAGAACATGCCTTAAGTTCGCGACGCTGTCCCAGTCATTCGGCGGGTGTGTTGCCAAAATTGCCTATTCTGGCAATAATCTCGGCCGAGATGTAAAAGGGGGTTCGCTTAGCGCTTTGAGCGGCAGTAGGTAGCCTTGTGATTCTGACGTCCATGATGTATCAAGTTCCAAAACAAACTCCGCAGATTGGCTTGAAATCAAGAATTCGTGCTAAGTGAGATGTCTGCGTACCTCGTAGCGTCGTCTATTGGAGTAACGGAGGCTTCCAGGAGAATGATTGGTCTCTATGCAAACTCGAGAGCTTCGAATTCTGCCACGAATGTTCCGTACTCTCAAAATCCCCTGCTAGATCATTGGTTTTTGGCAATGTACCACTAGTGGTATTATCGAATCAAGACCACAGTGCATCAAAAATTGGCTGCCTTGCTGCTCCGCCGCGTATGCCGACTGCTGAGCCTTCTCGCAGCAATGTTTCTCTCTCGCGCTTGTTCTGTCTCTGTGGGTAGCTCTCCAACACTTTCCACAAAGCCCTCTTTGCGTTCACTTAAAACGCCAAATCTCCTCCAGTTCCCAAAATCTTGAGGACTTCTCCTCTGTACTTTCACTGAAATTGTTCGAAATTCCACGAACCAGACTGCAAGCAATGTGCAGGTCTCGAGGAGGGATACGACAAAGCTCAACCATGTCAAAATCAGGAAGCCCGTACCTAGCTCTGCCTTCAGCCCCAACGCACTCCCAAAGAGATTGATAATGTTGTTCGCAGTGGTTATAAATGCCGTAGCCGTAGCAGACGCCGAGAGCAAAAACAATGATCCGATCGAAGATGCCACAAGGTTGGTATTCATGATCCACTTTGACGAAGGCAGTAAGAACTGTAGCAGTGATGCAAGGACGACGAAGGCACTTCCAGCGAGGCTAATGAGGTAAAATGCAAAAATGGTGCGATCGAGTGTATTTGTGAGGTTCCCCAAATACACAGATATGCTTTGAACTTGAGCGATAGCAGGAATTGATATGTTGGTTGTAAGCACTGTTGTTGAGCTGGGAATGTTTGAGATAAGCCGTGTTAATCCTGTGATTAGGCGCTGTTAGTACTCAGAACCGGACTGGGAGTTCGAACAAATTTGCCTCAGAAGACATTCATTCCTCGGTGAAGATTTGAAAAGTTATAGGGACATGGTCTACTACACACCAGAGGCAGCTTCACCGTACGAAAAACACTACACAAGTCAGTATGAGCTTCTGAATGATGACAATAGAACAGTGATCTTTGGTAGTACTTCTATTGACTCGTCGAGGACACACTTGGAACTCGGCTGATCTTGGCATCTCGACAAGTCTAATACTCGAAGGACTTCCGCAGCTTGAACCGAAAGATCTTTTTAAGTGGCCCTTGCTGGGTGGGACAATCTTCTCGAGAAGTCCTCTTCCTTGAGAAAAGGCGAGTGCAGACGGGGTTTGAACATACATTGGAAATGTTGAATCTTGCATGCGGATCCGCAGCGTTAGACAGACTTCCTGCACAGACATCCCTAAGATGAATGCTGTAGAACTCTTCAATACCAAGAGCACTAACAATTCCCTGGGCCACGCTTCCTTCAGCCTTCGATAGTCCATTATCCAGACCAGCTGTAAAATTGCCGACCAGGTCAGAGAACAACTGGGTGAGACTAGATCCGGATGCAGCCAGCGGATTGCCAGCACCGATGGAAAGGATCCCATCAAGCAAAGCTCCAATGCCTGTTGATGATCCGTGGGTAAGTCCAGCAGTGAGATTTTGGAATATATTGTCAAAAAACTGACTTATTCCGCCTTCACCGCCACTTTCTATGCTTTGCGTTATGTTCTGGATTAATCCCTCTATGAATGTCCCTATGTCACCCTCCAAATCCACTAGAGAATTTTCTAGGCCTGCTGTTAAGGATTGAATCGCACTCGCTACCGGGTCACCTGCCGAAGTGGTGGTCACAGGCTGTGCTGCTTGCCAGTATGATGATGAGGAGGCAGTTAGGTTGGTTGCTGGAGTGGAAGAAGGGCGTGCACTAGTGGTAGAATTGTTTTCAGTCGTTGTAGAGTTGGTGAGGTTGGAACTATTTCGGCCAGATGTGGAATTCCAGATTGTGGCTGTCACAGATTCGTGCTTGTCGTCTTCACGCAGAGCCGCCGTAACTGGAGTAAATGTAACAGCCTCTGCTCCGATGTTGGAGGTATTGAGCTATCATCTGTTAGTGGTGATCGTTCTCTGCTTTTTTGGAAAGCAGCAAAAGCAGCAAAGCAGCACATGGTATACGAACAGTAATGAGATGGAAGTTCTCCAGGGCTCCGCGTTTGGTTCCGGGAATCACCACCAGAAGAGTTAAGATGAAAGAAGCTGATCCGAGAAAGAGAGAGACAAGGGGAGCATATTTCTGGAGAAGGGTGCCGCTTCTGGCGTTTGCCAGAGTTTTTCTCAGCATTTCATATGTATACTCGAAGTGTAGTACACTCGCAAATGCGAGGACGTTCTTGATAACTGAACATGTTTGTCCATGCGTGGAAAATAAGATCAGAAGCTAACAGAAGGGGAGATGGTCAGATGTGTCAGGCATGGCTCATTCATGCTATCCATCGTTCGAATGCAGCATGGAATTTCGATCAGCGAAAGTTGCTTCGGACGAGGCGATGTTCTGATGCATAGGGCAATGTTATTGGTTGAGGGGATCTCTGGCAGGCTGGGATGTGAAACTACGGCGTGTAACCCGTAACATGGCAGACCAGGATATTTCGGTACATCCAATCTAAATCAGCCGGGCCCTCACACTCATAGGGAGCCAACATGGCATTTCGCATGAATGCCGCTGTCATTCTCAGAATGGCATTCTTCCGTCTCCCTATCTCACGACCGTGTCGGACGGAATGCGATGCTAATGCTAATGCTAATGCTAATGCTAATGCTAATGCTAATGATGATGCTAATGATGATGCTCGATGCTGTCAATGCTTTGTGATGGATACCAGTCTCCAAGTACTATACGCAGCGAGCGTGCGATTCAATCTCCTACGATCCAAACGCTGACCAGCTGCATTTGGATATTGCAAAGCGATGTTCGTCCACTATGGGTAAGTAAGGATTCAAGAAGAGCATGTCTGGGTGCCGAAACTAACCCAGAAAAGCCTAGCGTCATAAGCCATGCATCTATCTCGTTCCAATGTGGAGAAACGCGAAAGTGGAAGCATCAAGACAAAATCCAACGAACAAGATCTTCCATTCGCACTACGTCGCAGCACAGTCATGGAGACACTCCCGGAGGACAGCGCCCACAAAGATACTACATCAAAGACTAAAGTTCAGTCTCAACACAGAGGTCACGAGATCGCCAGCAAAACCATCAAGGCACCGCCGTTCTCTTATGTGTGCCTGCAACTTGTATCCGACCTATCAAGACCACCGGAGCTGGACCTACTTTCTGTCCGATCGTATATCACAGCTGGCTTGACTCAATTCTTGGGACTCACAGGCTCTGCGATTGCAGTTGATATTCTCAAGGTAGACCAACGAGCGTGCTGGATTCGTGTACCAAGAGAGGACCTTAGCCCAGTGATCGCTGCTCTAGGAGGATGGGTTGGAGGAACGGAATCAGAAGGGAGAGTCAGCTGGAAGGTCAAGGCCGCTGGAAATTGGCTTGGTGCTCTAGTCGCTCAAGCAGACTGTCAAGATGTTTGGAATGAGTGAGCACAAAATGAGCTTGAGAGAGACATTGCGTTAAGTCTTATTCTGGATGCTTGAAAGGCTCCTCTTATGCTGCCATGCTGTCTACAGATTGTTGTACAACTATTACGGGGTCCTTTGTTTACCCTCGTAACCTCCCTGGAAATGCCACCAACGCCCGCTTCACAAGCCAACAAATGCTCCGTAGATGCAGATTGCCACCAATCTAGGCTTCATTAAATAGCATAAGAACTTGCTCAACGGGTTCTCTAGGTCATAGACATTAGACTGTTTTGTGCGTACGCCTGGCCAATAGATTAGAAATGATCAAGAAGACAAAGCTTCGGAGGGCAACGAACCATGGGCTTGATATTTGGATGTGGCACAGCATCAAACTTGTGGAACTTGAGCTTGTAATCTGGGCCAATGTTGATGTAAGCACCCTTGTTCTCAGTGCTGTCACAATACTTCGGTGCCGAGAAGACTGAACAAGATTAGCATGGGCAAATACACTTGAAGTATCAATAGAAACATACCAGTAATGCATTTCCCATCGTGCTCTTCCTCGTAGCCTTCCATTCTCACTTCGTGACTGCGGATGATGGCATCCAATCCGTTGTTCTCACAGAATCTCTTGGTTACATCTGGCCCGAATTGCATACCAACGCCACGTTTACTGGGTCCTCGACCAGGCTCCGTTTGTGGGTCCGTCCAGAGCATTTCCATCATGAGTCCTGCTTGCCCTGGCTGACGTTGATTGTGTCTATTGAGCTTTCGAATATCATCCAAAGTTACCTTGTCATCAGAAAACAAGCCTCCGTGAAGGACGAGGTACTTCTTGCCAATTAGAGTTGCCAATGGCAATGCTGAAAAGCTCTCCGAGAACAGCTTGAAAACACGTTCTATAAAATCTCAGTATATGTAGCCAGAAAATAGCTGATCAACACCAGTAACAACGACCTACCATTATACTTTGCTTTACATTCGCCTTCGAAGCCGTAGACTCGGTTCATGTCGTCGGTCTCGTGGTTTCCTCGATTGATGAAGAAAGAAGAAGGGCGTAGCCACTTGTACGCATAGAGTAATAAGGCAATCTCGGTTGACCAGGAGCCTCGATCTACGAAATCGCCGTTGAAGAGGTAATGGTGTTTTTCTGTGGGAAGGCCATTGAGCCTGAAGAGCTCCATCAAATCGAAGAATTGGCCTGAAACATTTTAGCAACACTCTTATTCTTACATTTACAATAATCGACTTACCATGGGTATCTCCACAAACTGTGAGCTGTGAATCATCTTCTATGTCCATTTCGACCATAGTAGCTTCATCGTAAACGATTTTCTTCACAGCTAATATGATTTGATAAACATATTTCTTGTGTATTTTCTTGCCGTTCTTGAAACGTTCCAACATATCACTGATGAACTCGGGCGTCATCTCGTCGTCTATTCGAGCTCCATCGTATTCTGCTTCTACGACCATCGAATCCAGGTCCAGGCCCTCCGCAGCAGATGGCTCATCCCCAATCTCTATTGCCCGGAAGAATTCGACTCTCTTGACAATCTTCTCGCATTCTGCCAGCTTAAGCTTGGCATCTTTGTCATTTGGTGCCTTCTTGACGACAGTCTTGAAATCTCGAAGAGCGTCCCGCGACTTCAAGATTGCAGTGTAGGCAACGGCCCTCCGGTAGTAGGCCTTTGGAATGAGATTAGAAAGTTGGTCGTTTCAGAAAACATGTAGGAAAGACAACTTGTTTTGAAACATACCTTAACAAAGTTGGGGTCGAGCTCAATGGCCTTTGTAGCATCTGCTATTGCGTAGCCATAAGCTTCTGATTTGATGTTTGCCTTGAGAAGTCAGTCACACGAGTATGTGTAATGTTTTGCGAGTATTCTGCCTACCTGTGCGCGGTTTGAGTAATATGTTGGCTCATTGCCATTCAGCTCTATCGCTTTGGTATAGCAGTCGATAGCTGAAACCCAATCGTGGGCAGCAAACGCTTTATTACCCTCGTTTTTGAGTGCAACTGCCTGCTTCTCTGCTGTCGTCATGATTATGGCTGGGTATCGACGTTGTAGATCTTGTATTAGAGTGACTGCCCCTTGTATGTGTTCGGAGAGGAAAGGAATGGCCAAAATATTGCATGCGAAGCAATATCAAAAGATTGTGGGGATTTGTGCAGGTTGAAGATGTACGCCAGCCTTACGTTTAAGGGCGGATCTAATCGCCGCTAGCGCCACCGCGATTGTTCAGTACGCTCGGAGCAATGCAACAGTTTCTTTCTTGAACACGACGATACAACCCCACCGTGGACATCTGATGGCCGAGAACTAGGTTCATCTACGCCAAAAAAAACCACCATCTCTACAGTGAAAGGAGTGCTTGTTTCTGTTTTCCAGCTGATACAATCGCAGGCTTCACGACGCAGTTGACTTGGACGTGGATGTAGGTCGTGTGCTGTCCAGGAAGTCAGATCCAAGTCTATCCCAATCCTGTCGCCATGGATTCTTCGAAGACAACAGCTTTAGTGCGCCGGTCGACAGACTCAGAATTGATGCCGCCACCTCCAAAGCGAATCAAACGGCCCAAGAACGTTATCGATGAGGAATCCTACACCGAAGCAATTTCCGAAATCATAGCTCGGGACTTCTTCCCTGGCCTTCTGGAGATAGAAACCCAGCAAGAATACCTAGATGCTGTTGAGTCGAAGGATGCTGCGTGGATTGCTAATGCTGGGAGACGACTTCAGCACGTTATGACACCAGGGCGACATAAAGGACGGAGAGGGACCTCATTACATACTCCATTGCGAGCGTCTGATACCCCGAGAAGTTTCCTTGGCGATACGCCTATGTCTACGGTATCTGATGTTACATCATCCACAAACGCAAGAGCAGCCCCAGAAATCGATACGAACATGAGTCTAGACAAATTTCAATCACTTTACACCAGTGAGGACAACGAGAGTTTTTATAGACTCTTAGATCAACAAAATCAGAAACGTGCGGAAAAGTATGCTTGGATGTGGTCAGCAAATAACAAACTGCCGTCCAAAATGATGTTGAAGCAAAAGGAGGTAGAAACGAAGTTATTAATGTCACGAGAATCCTTGCAAGACGACGGCGGCGAAAAGGACAGACTGGCCATTTATGATTCTTTAGAAAAGCCTGCGAGGCCGGATGCATGGAAGTCGAAGCTGAATAATACCCTGATGTTTGCTCTGGAAAGTATAGAGGATTCCGTGGAGACATCGGCCCAAAGAGCTCAAAATGTATCCAAAGCAGAGCCAAAGGGGGTATCATATACCAACACTCGGATGCCGCCAGTTGCAGTTGCTCAGCATATTCCGAGCGTCCCTCTGTCGCCATCACTCTCGGCAGTCAGAGATGCCATAGTGGGACGAAAACGGGCTTCAGATTTGGATTCGGTACAGAATGGAAGCGAAACGCCGAGAGTCAATGGCTATGCCTTTGTGGATGACGACCCTGAATACGAACAGAATGGCGCTACTCCTATCATCGATCTGGGCAAAGGCGAAGCCACGAAAAATCCCTTCGTGATAAAGCATCAAAGCAAGAGGGAGGACTTACATCACCGAATGGTTGACAAGAATGCGAGAGAAAAACGTTCGGCATTCACCTCTGGATTCACGGGTAAGGTCGATTCGACACCTGTCCCCAAATTCCCAAGCAGTCCAAGGATATCTTCAGGTCAGTTGACACCTGCTGCTCAAAGGTTATGGAGTAAGGTGGGAGGTTCTAGCCAGGCATCACCAGTTCCATTCGGAACCCAAACTGCTGCCAAAAACAAGTCCGGCTTAAGGGCTCGATGGACACCGTCAAGCAAGTAGGAAGAAGTAGGAGACAGAGAAAAGTAGAGGCAATGTAGAAACGCGACGTGGGAAGGCATATTAGCGAAGGATTCATGAATATATGTCGGCGTTTGGTATACCCACTTTTAGCAATAGATTCACGGCCTACGAGAGATGCAAGAACAATAGAGATTCTCAATACATCAATGTGCTTTGGAAACATGATTGACCAAATGAAAAATATCAACTTGACTAGCGAAGCTGTGCAATTCCTTATCTTGACGAAAGGGGGCAGAAGCTATGACCACCCGCGTCATACAAGAACATGGATTTGGCAATTTTCGCGATCGCCTCTACGTCTGATTGATGAACGTTTCGACTCATACGTTGTGCCGACCTTCGACATGGGCTCCTGACACATTTATTTCTGCTGCTGTATAGATGGCTGGGAAGAGGCTCTTGGATGTTGCTGCTCTGTTCAATGCGACTCGTGGTGTCCTCCAAAAGCATGCTTTTCTGAGGTCAAGACAGTTCGAAGTTTACAACCGCACATCGACATTAGCACAAGCAGTACGAAACCAGACAGATCGAGTCACCGATACAATCAAGGCAGCCTCGTTCCTTGCCTCACGGTTAAATGAAGATCCGCCAACATGGACCTCGGATGACAATGCAAGGACAAAGGCAGATGGAGATAACTCGATTCCAAGCAGGAAGTCGACAGCTGGACCACCGAGACCGCCTTCGGCAGAAGGCATCGATCAAGATCATTTTTACGAACCATCAACGGGCAATTCTGCTGTAGGTGAACCTCCGCAAGAGGAATTGCCCGTTCAGCAAGAAAAAGCAGATCGATACCCTCTGCCGGATGGCACAATTCCGCCCAGCGAGTCGGATCTGGACTCACATGAGCTTGACCATGAAGTTATCTCGAATGTCTCACGAGTTGAGCCATCAAAAAAGCCATCCAGAGGCGACGGAATAAAGCCAGTGTCGGGAGGAGAATCTACAATTCCTTGTCCGGTCCAGACAGTCTCGTCTCCAGAACCGGCACATCAAGCTCAAATACCTGCTAGAACAGTTGATGCACTCGAAGCATCTGTTTCCGACCCATTAAATAATGGGCGTGATGAGGATAGCTTTTACCAGCACTCGACATGCTCTTCGCCTGCGTCATCTTCGTTGCCCGGAGTGAAGGTGCCAGAACATACATCAAGTACCCAAGGAGGAGATTCCCATTCGGCAAACCGTCACATAAATTCAGATACCTTCTACACACAAGATAATGCAGCTGCGATTCCGTCAGTGCAGGCCATCCCGGACCAGCAACAACTTCCTGATGGCGTAGATACAGATCTGTTTTATAGTCCACGGGTGGCCAGCATGCTTGGAGGAAGAACTATGAACAATAAACTGAGAGGCGAATTGCATCTGGAAGCAGCGTCTAATACTCCCATTGATCGTACACTGATCGGGAAAGATAAAGATCAGGATACTTTTAATGTTCGGCCACCTTCAGAGGATACAATTCAGGACACTAGCAATCCCCCCTCAAGTGAAGCTCGTGTCTCTTTACATCACAGTGCTGTGGAAGAAGACAGCATCGAAGGCCTGGCTAACAATATCTCACGTGAGGTAGACCAGAGTTCACATCAAGTGAGGCAGTCCGAGCAAAGAAATAATATGTCGCTAATCAAGCTCAGAACGAAACTTATGCCACTGCCGAGCGTAACTCTTACGCATTGCGAGAATCCAAGGTACCATCCACGAGGTTGAGTAGAATCTGGAATTATGGTGGCTTAGCCGCTGGTATGTTTGGGGGTGCCATTACTGAAAGTCTCCGCCGTGTTAGTGGAAGTGGAGGGCAGGGCTCGTATATGCTCAGTGCAGGAAACATGGAGAGACTTGTGACGAAGCTCTCTCGTATGAGAGGCGCAGCCTTGAAACTTGGTCAGATGATCAGTTTTCAAGATTCTAAGATGCTTCCCGCAGCAATTCAGGAGGTTCTCCAAAGGGTACAAGACCGTGCCGACTACATGCCGGCTTCACAGCGGGATAAGGTATTGACAGCCAATCTTGGCTCTGATTGGCGAAGTCTTTTCACCACTTTCGACGAGAAACCATTGGCGGCAGCATCGATTGGGCAGGTCCACAGTGCAGTGCTGAAGTCGAATGGGGCTCGAGTAGCTGTTAAAATACAGTACCCAGGAGTTGCCGATTCTATTGATTCAGATTTAAGCAACTTGAGTATCCTACTTACCGCATCGCGGCTACTACCCAAAGGGCTATTTCTCGAAAAGACCATTGCAAACGCTCGGATCGAATTGTCCTGGGAATGTGACTACATTCGGGAGGCTGAGTGTGGCCGACGTTTCGAAGCACTTCTCGCCGATGAGCGAGATGTCTTTGACGTGCCAATGGTGTACCCCGAAGCATCTGGACAACAGGTGCTAACGATGCAATTCATGGAAGGCATTGGTGTCACCAGGGTCCAGAGCTTTTCTCAAGTTCAGAAAGATTGGATCGGCACGCAGATTCTTCGACTGTGTCTTCGCGAGATCACCGAGTTCAAGTTCATGCAAACAGATCCCAATTGGACGAATTTTCTATATAATTCTAAAACCAACAGGCTCGAACTTCTAGACTTTGGAGCATCAAGGGAGTATCCAACAGACTTTATTTCGAAGTATACGAGACTCCTTGCAGCTGCAGCAAGATCAGACCGGCAGACTGTCAGAGACTTGTCTATTGAACTTGGGTATCTGACAGGGCAAGAGTCCGCCGCAATGCTTAATGCACATATTGCATCTGTCCTCACATTGGCCGAGCCGTTCCTTGATTCGTCTCCCGAACTCTATAACTTCAAAGACCAGACCATCACTGACAGAGTCAAAGAACAAATCCCATTGATGATCAGGGAGAGATTGGCCCCCCCTCCAGAAGAAACGTATAGTTTACACAGAAAACTGAGTGGTGCATTCCTTCTTTGTGCCAGGCTCGGGAGTCGTGTAAGATGTCGGGAATTATTCAAGAATAGCATGTCGAAGGTTGAACTCTTGTGAATATGGATGGTGGGGTTTGGGAATCGTTGAAGTACTGTAATAACACAACACGTGTAAAGATATAATACATTCCTATTTTGCACCTCTCCTCGAGAATGGCATGTTCTTTTTCTCCTTACCTTCAACCTTCTTCCTCCTTCGCTCGATAACCCGGTCAAGTTGCTTGCCTTTCAGATTCCCGAATTGGTCTAGCAGGACACGCTTCTTTTGTTCTGCCTTCTTCAGGTAGAAGGGTTTCTTTCCCTGCTTTACTAAGTCTTTCTCCTCCTTCCTGTGTCGATTGAGGATTTCTTGTTCCTTCTTCTTCCTCATGTCTGCTTTCTTCCTCGACTCCATCGACGAGAGAGCCCGCTTCAGCTTCTCCTTCGCATCTTCATCCTTGGTGTTTCTTATCGCCGTCTTAAGCTCCTTCATCTCATCCTCTCGGTAGTCGTCTAAGAATGAATATGCCGCTCTAACTTTCGATTCATCCACCTGCCCAACTAATGACTCGAATCTAGGGTCCCTGATTTCGCGTTTGGAGACCGGTACGACCTCACGTCTTCGTGAAACGGCTTTCTTACTCGACACTTCCGTAGGTGCATGCTTGCTACTCCGATTGAAGTCCCTGTGATCTTTGCGCCCAGTCTTCCTTTCTGAAGCTTCCTCGTTGCCCCATACTTCGTGATCGTTATGCTCGTCATTTCTAGACTTTTTCTTTCCAGGGTGCGAAAGAGTAGCCTGCGCTTTTGCTAGAGCACCAAAGGATATAGAAGCTACACCATCTTGTGGTTCGTCTTCGGTACCATTTGAATCTGAGTCTGAATCCGACTGCTACAATGTTAACTATAGTCCTTGGACGATGCGTAACACGAACCTGATCGCTACCGCAATGAACACTTGAACTATCATGACTAATATTGGAGTGTTGCAGCTCGTTGTCGGATCCTAGTTCAATATCGACACTCGTTTCGCGTCGAGGTCTGACTCTTCTCTGCAAATCTACTACAGTGCCTTTTCGTTTGAGAGACATTGTTGCGTTTCTCGGTCTGGGGACGATCGCGCAAAATGAGAGACGCACGACAAAAATTATAGCGGGGAAGAAAAGTTGCAGGGGTTCTAAGGCGGTGAACCTAGCGCGAAGCTCGGCTATGGAGCCTCACTCGTTTTGCCTGCAGGAAGAAGTAAATTCTACATGAACGCCTCACCACTCCGGTCTGGCCGTAGACTAGAGGTCGGCGTCCTCAAATCCTTACGTTCTTTCTCGCATAATTCAAGTTGCAACAATCTTCCACCTCAGCTTCGACAGCGTCCAGATTGTCCAAATCCATCTCCCTCAAGGACGAGGCTGAATATGCCGAAACCTTCACGACGAAACCACCCTTCAGCGCACGATATCCAGACCATGGCTGAAAACCTTCAAACGGTGCAGATCTCTTCGACGACCACGTCTGTATCCCAGGCGGTTGTAAGTGCGAAGAAGCGGTCACCACCCGCAAAAGCCAGGACCCAGACAGCCCGCGAGGCCCGAGACGAGAAGATTAATCCTTCTACGGCGTCGGGAGGCATACCGAATCCTACGGCGAAATACCTTGCTGCAAGTGACGTTGTCCCGCAACTCTTACCCCAACCTCAACATCTTCTTGTCATCATTGACCTGAACGGCACGCTTCTATTCCGTCCTTCCAGAAAACAGCCTACGAAATTCATTTCTCGGCCCAATACGGCCCCCTTCTTGCAATACTGCGTCGACACTTTCTCCGTCGTAATATGGTCCTCAGCTAAGCTCGAAAATGTCACCAACATGTGCGACACCATTCTGACACCGAACTTGAGAAAGAAAGTCATCGCCGTCTGGGGACGAAACAAATTCGGCCTTTCAAAGCAAGACTTCGATCTACGCGTTCAGTGCTACAAGCGACTAACAACTGTATGGAATGATAAGGGTATCGCAATCTCTCACCCTGAGTACGCCAACGGACGTCGATGGGACCAAACAAATACCGTTTTGGTGGATGACTCTCTCGAGAAGGGCAGAAGTGAACCGTTTAATCTTTTGGAGGTACCCGAATTCTTTGGGAACGCGAACGAACAGGGCCGAATTCTACCGCAGGTACATGACTACTTGAACTACCTCAGTATGCATTCAAATGTCAGTGCGTGTCTTCGAGACAATCCCTTCAAGCCTCTGCTGCCCTCCTGAGAGCGTGAAGCGACTGGCTTTGGATTCGCACAAGTCTGCTACACCCTTAATATCATACCGTACCCAGAATTCAGGCGCAACAGCAAGTCAAAGCTTCCTAGCGTCTGGGAAAGCATCACCGCGAGTAATCGATTTCATCGAATTAATAACAGTTTCCTACGTTTAAGATACCCAAGGGAGATCAGAAGGACAGCACGGAGCATACTAGAAGAATGGATCAAATGAGAGATGAAGGTCATGATTCGTTGATGGCATGTTCGTTGCAAGTGAAGCTAAGCTGCACACCTTTCCTCCATTCCGTCGTGATCATTACTATTCATCATCCACTCTGACGTGAAATCTCAATGATGAGAAGACCTCTAATACCAATGTCTACTTGAAGACCTTGCCATCAGCCCATGGATACTCCTTGCCACCGACAGTAATTGGCTTCTCCCATGTCCATTGCTCATTGACGAACTCACGATCCTCGGGCTTGGATGCATCGAGCTTGGTGAACTCGTAGCTCTCATAATCAGGAGCGACGTCGAAAGCTGGAAGAGCCTCTTGGCCACGGATGACGAAAGCACCCTGGATGACAGAGTCGTCCTTGACACCATAGACTGAGGCACAGCCGAAGATGTACTTGCGAGATCCTTCAAGACGAGCGAAGAAGCCACCAATTAGGTTGGATGTCATGAAGATTTGAGTCAACTCATCGTTGTACTTGTAATCAACCTTCCAGAGAGAGTATTCGTCAGCCTTGAAGTTTTCCCAGAACCACTTGAGAGCATCCGGGGTATCGTTATTAGAGTATTGACGCTTCCACTCATCGAGAGGCAAAGTTGCCTTTGGCAGGGCCTCAAGAGGGTGCTTTGGCTTCGGTGCTTCTTGAACCTCTTCCTCTTCCTCATCTTCGACCTCCTTGGCCTTGGGTTTGGGGGCGGCCTTTGGAGCGGCTTCCTTCTTTGATGCAGCCTCCTTCTTTGGGGGAGTGTACTTGATAGCTTCATCAATGAACGAGAGCTTATCGACAACGGCAGAGTAGATTGGCTGGTTGTATACAGTCTCGTACCAACGGGTAACATTGGGATTCTGGGCACGCCATTGCTTGTCGAAGAAGAACTGAAAGCCACGGGAGATGATACCAGCAGCAAACAGATCAGCAAGAGTGATACGTTCGCCAGCAAGGTAGGTGTTGTGAAGAAGGTGCTCCTCGACGACACCAACAGCCTTGAGCGCAGCCTTAGAAGCATCCTCGACATTCTTCTTGTTGTATGGGTCACGGCCGATGAGAGGACGGAACCAGCCACCGAGGGTGGGAAGAACCTCAGCATTGAAATAAGACATCCACTTCAGGATCGAAGCGTAGCTAAACAGTTATTAGTACGTGCGACAAGGGGGAGTCCAGTGATGCTTACTCTTGCTTGGTCTTGCCAAGGAGAGTGGTCTTCTCATTTTGGGAGGTGACTATAAGATGATCAGCGACTATTGAACGAACGTAGTGCAAAAACAGTAGCATTGTAAGATTGCTCAGAGTCTAATTAAAAGATCAACACGGACGATTAAGACAGGGATAACTGAATGATTTTTTTCATCATAGCAAACGGCGCGACAAGAAAGTTAGTGGGGTGAACAGTTTCCACGTACTGTAGATGGCGATGGCAATGCATTCATGAAGAGTGTAGCCATCAGCGCCGACGAATGTAGGGACCTTTCCAAGCTTGTTGATCTTGAGGTACTCCGCAGATACACCTTTGGCAGGCTCGGTCTCGACGATCTCGAGGTCGACATTGTTGGCCTTCGCGACTGCACGGATTGCAGTGGAGCGGGGGTTACCCTATGCAACACAAGAAGGTTAGTCAGGAGATTTTGATAGATAAGTAGATACTGTAGAGTAGAAAGTATACCGGATAGGTGTAGAGCTTTCCGAAAGGTGCCATCTTGTTGCTGGTAATATTTGAGATGTTGTTGAAGGAACTTTAAGACTCAGAATTTGTGCGTTTGAGCTAAAGATTGTAGGCTAACTGAAAGAGGTTAGTAAAATAACGTGACCCAGATCTGTAAATTTATCTCGGTCCGTTGACGACCGCGACAGTCTTGGGTCTTGGACATTTGCGGTTCGAAGTGTATGCTTTCGCCATGAAGAAGATTGCATGGCTTCCTGCAGGTCTTCGAGGAAACCTGCAATGGACACAATGCCCTCGAGCGATTATTTCCAACACCTTTCCACGAGGGCCAGGGTTCCAAGCTCCTAAAAATCAATTTTCGACGTCGAATCACCTGCAAGCCAGCATCGCAGCTCCTGAAGTACGATTTAAGAACCAAGGCTCAGAGGGGGATGAATTGGAAGGGGGGGCCGTCTTCAATGCTCGACTTGTGCCCAACTCAGCTTCATATTTCACAGCACAACCAATCTTTACTGACGATCTTCTCAAACTACAAAACATCCTCAAACGATACGCAAATCTACCTGTTCTGAAACCAGGCGATGCACCTCGAGTGGCATGGAGGTCATTGGCAGATTACAGGAATCTGGTGGGCGAGACAGTGAAAGCTGCCAAATATTCAAAGATCGTCGAGGTTCTGCACAGGCTGAACCACATCCACCCGTCTCTCATGCCGCAAGAGGTCCAGGAAGCGTTGAATGAGTATAAGAGAGATGTGAACCCTTATCAGAACCAGGCGAAGCTGGGCCATGTGAATACTTTAGGCAAAGCTTTGGGGGTCGGCCGAAGGAAGTCGTCAAGTGCGAGAGCTTGGGTCGTTGATGGAACTGGAGAAGTCTTGGTGAATGGTAAAACACTCACAGAAGCGTTTGGGAGGATTCATGACCGAGAGAGCGCAATTTGGGCATTGAAGTGCACGAACAGGGTGGATAAGTACAATGTCTGGGCTCTAGTGTCGGGCGGTGGAACAACAGGTCAAGCAGAAGCCCTGACCCTAGCAGTTGGAAAGGCTCTTCTTGCCCATGAGCCTGCATTAAAGCCTGCTTTACGAAGAGGTAAGCTGTCTATGTGTTCTTACTTCTCCTCCGTCACAGTCCTTGTCCTACTACATGTAACTTACTAACATCTCTTGTAGCTGGATGTATGACGCGTGATCCTAAGCGGGTTGAGAGAAAGAAGCCAGGCCATGTCAAGGCAAGGAAAATGCCAGCATGGGTTAAGAGATGAATAGTGTATTATATTGGATTGACAATGAGATGTTGAACAACAAATTTTCCAACCATGTGACTGTTGGAATACATCCATAAGTTAGAATCCCTCAAGATAAGGCGAGCGGTAATGTTTGGAGACAATCCGAGTATTGGAGGTGGCGCACGACAGACGGACATCCAATATCAAGATGGAGACTCTTTTTCAGCTATATTTATCTTGACTACTCTATATTTAGATAGGCTCAATGCTGTTCCCAGATTATTAATTCGTTCTTTTCTTGCTGCAGGCAGCCGCCATGAGAAAGGCCATGATCGAAATGATGGTCAAATTTGGCCTTATGTTGATCTTCTTCAAAAGTAGCCTATTTTGCTTTTTCAAAGGCCTAGGCAGTTCTCCAAGTCCAACCCCAGTCAGTCATTAGCCTGCACAACCACACCAATAACACGCACACTATAGCCACACTGCCAACGAGTGGCATCGAATCAAACCACGATCCACGTCCATGGCATCAGGAATCTCACCTGCAGCCGCATGAATAGTTTGCACCTCTGGCGCCTTTCCACCCACAGATGTTTCTTCTGCAGAAAAGATCCGGCGGCAACACCTGACGTGGCACAAAAGATCCCGTTTGTCGAACAGCATCCCAGCCGGGTCAGATCTTGGTCTGCTTTCCCCAAGATCCCGGCAATCCGGTTTTTGTTCATCCGCTTCTGTTTCTGGTAAAGATTCTGGTTCGACGTGGGGATCAGTAACCCATGGAATCATGCAATGGACGGATCGTCACCCTGAGCATGACCCTTGATGTTGTTGACACGTCAAAAAGTTCCCTTATCATGATTGCGTGTTCAAGTATCGGTGACCAGCAATTTGTCAGCCTTGAATGTCGATCCTGCTTCCGATCAGCGTTGAAGCGAATTCATGCTTAATGCTCAATGCTGAGGCTGAGATCGTCCAAAGACACGAGAGGTGGTGGGGTGCCATATCAGCCTCGTCTAGCCAGCAAAGAGATGCCTGTCCCGCTGATGATTTACCACGGGATCAGCCATGGACCAGATCGCTGGGTCACTTTTTTGATCACTTTTTCATTGCTTTTTTTTGGCGTCGAGACAATAGCGGCACGGAAGTCTTGTCTGAAGCAGTGAGACTGATCAGATGAGTGACTCAAGCCCTATCTTAGACTTGTTGGATTATTGTTTCTTTTTCTTATGTGCAAATCTACAGATATGTACTCTACACGGAGTGGCTGCGGCTGGTCAATTCCATAACCCGCATACTCCGACCGCTCGTGAAAGCCCGCCATTTCTTCATAATGTCGTCCAGTACAGATCTTGGTCATGCTTTTTCCTCCCAACCAAAATGCCAGCCATTTCCCCAACACCTGAAAATAAGCCTCGTCGACAAAAGGATATCGTGACAAATACACAAAAGAGCAAGACGCGCTAAAAGTGCAAAGCAGATGAAGGTAGTACATGCTATTTAGACAAATATAGAACAGTGTGCTCGCATTGGTATGGCTGAAGAGCTCATTCCTCGCTTCATTATCGCATAGAATGATCCCGAGAAGCCAGAGGCTGGACTCAAGTACCTCTACTTGGTTGCCCGAGGCTAAGAAGCGCTTCAAGGATGGCAAGACCAAGGATGTCATCACCGAAGAGATCAAGGAGGGTGTAGTTCAATTCTCTCATGGTGGCACTCTGCCCAAACCAGGATTGGCGGCACTACTACCTTCGACTTCTTCTATAGACTCTTGGAGGTCAAGACATTCGCTAAGAACTAGAAACGAGGGTTAGATAGCAGTACATAGTGTTCTTGAAAAAGAGACTTACTCATGATTATTCGCTCTTCTGCAACGCCGTATTGGTAATCCACAAGACCATGCTTCTCGACGGCGTCGCACATCCTTATAAGATCTTTGGCCATTTTGTTGATGTACTCTTGAGTCATCAAGGTCTGCGGGTGTTGTATTCGTTGACCTGACTCCAGCATATCTTTCTGCTTTTGGAAAATGCTGAGCCATGCAGTATTAAATTCGCCCCAGAGACGTATTCTGTCACTATGGAGAGCAACTTCGTCTACAGTAAGGCCTTATCAGAAACCATTAGTTCGCAGGATCAAACAGAAGAAATGGCGACCTACCCAGATCACCTACATGGCCCAGGAGCCATTCAGATACCTCTAGAAGTGATTGGCTTGCTTCTGCCAATCTGCCGTTTATGATGTTCTGAAATATTTCCTTCAGAGCCGTCTGGTAGGCAGTATAAGCAGCTTCCATACCAGGCCCCTGAGCTTGATAATCGTCTTCTTCCATAATTTCTGGGGCCGGCTGCGGCATTGCGCCCATCGCCATAGCATTACCTGAATAGCCTTGTTGGAGCAAGGGCCCGCGATCTGCGGGACTTTGCTGATGTTGTTGATACACATTCGAAGATCCTGAAGAGGTATGGTGTTGTAGGCCGGGTGGACCCGGTGCGCTTGTAGATTCGTTTGGGAAGTAAGGTGCCGCAACGTCCGACAGCATTTGCATTCCTGCAGGTTGCCGTGTTTGAAATTGGGGTGTGGAATCATAGACGTTATTTTGTGGTGCTTGTTGTGCAACATCGTACATGATATCCGGATTATAAGTGGCGAAGCTTTGTTGTCTCTGGTCCTGAGTGTAGCCCGGCTGATATTGCAGAGTTGTTTGTGGTAGTGCTGCTGAGAATGAAGCAGATGGCCCCTGGTAGTACCCGGAGTATGCTGTTGCCCCGCCTGCCCCGCGAGCAGTCGAAGGCGATGTTGTTATGGGCGCAGGTCTATATCTTTCCGAGGAAGAGCTCGAGAAGCCACGTCCTTGACCCTGCTCAGCACCAAATCTTGGATCTTGACCTGGATATGGCGGGTCATTCTGCCTCCTACGGCGGCTGTTGTCGTCCATGCCCCGCTCGAAGGCTGACGATGAGCCTACCAACAGCGAATCAAGTCGATGCGCCGCCGCCGGCAAAGAAACGGGTGCTGCTTGTAGGAGTGCCAGCTTGCTGACTTGAGAGTTGAACTTAAGCTTTGGAATTCCTCGCGGGAAGCTACAGCGACGCGTCTGGGGTGTTTGATGCGCAAGGCTCGCGGCAGTGAGGACAATCTTGATAGCTATATCTGTGTTAGCGGTTTCCTGCTGCATCTTTGAATGAGGTCCTAGTCGACTTACATCTATAGAGTTTCGAGGTGAGAGACTGTCAAACCAAAGAAAAAAAGTTTTCAACTTCGTTGTGCGTGTATATTTGGGTATGTATTGCCCTCTCTTGGTCAGTCACTATTGGTCGCGGTGGTGTGAAGAAAGGTGCCTCTGGTAACGAGCAAAGGTAAGTCGACGCAAGTGTGCAATCGTTGAACGGAAAACGTTGGAATTTGAGCGACCAACAAATACAGTTTCGTGGAAGGTAGATAATATGCTTAGGCACCGCGGGTATTGGCTCACTGCGTTGTCAACAACTCGTCATCGGATACTGGGTCAATCCTTGGTGCTTCAGCAGGCAAGGTCCTTGCGGAGGATCTGCTTCGTAGGGCAAACGGCACCAGTGTCAAGAAGAGCGCTGGACTTTCAGAAAAACACAGTTTCTCTCGTCTAGCTCTTTCTCCTGTGGCTGAGATTAAACGCTCTTCTTAACGTTTTGGAAGGGGCAGCAACTGGGTGTGCAGACCCATTAACCTGGTCCTTCTAGAAGCCTTCGAGCAAGTTTTGTGGACCGGTTTCCGAAGGGTAATGGTCTCAATCTATGGAGAAACAACCCGACGCAGAGCAGAGCCCAACGAGCGGCCGAAGCTTTAAGATGGGAGGACGATGCTCGCGAGCCTTTGGATTCCGAGAGGTGGTCCGGGACAAAGCAGAGAGCAAAGTCGGCACCACGACCAAATCGCATGAATCGAGCGCTTTGAATGCGAACAGTCAGTAATCATGCGCCAGACTAGAAAGGCTCCCACCACGAAGTGAAGTTGGGATAGAGTTATAGATTCCCAGATGGCGCCCCTCCAGCCAGACGTCAAGATTCTGAGCTTTGCAGTGGTGGGACCCAAGGCTTCAAAGACTCCGAGGACTAGGGCAGCAGAATGGACGTTTTGAAAGGACGTGCGGGCTTAGAGGGGGTGATGCCGATCTATCCACGGTCCCGAAATAAACTAAGACGCGGAGCTTTCTTTTAAAATAGCAGGTGGAGGTGGAGACAGATGCAGATGCAGATGCAAGTGCAGGTAGAAGAGGGTACAGCAGAGAACGGTAGTGCGAGTACTGAAAATAGTAGTGGCGGTGATAATGGTCAGAGGAGGAGTACTGTCGGCAATCGAGGGGTCAAGACAAGACCAGGAATCAGTCGGTAGACAGGAGTCGTGTCTAACTAGCTAGAGTCGAGGGACTAAAGTAAGACTCGATTCGCAGAAGAGCGAGCGAGGTGAGTGAGGCTACGCTCTCCTCTCTACTCTACTTAGTGCCCAGCTAGTAGTCCTGGTTGGGTAATGCAACAGCAGCCGCTAAGTAGTGAGTAGCAGGATGGATTAAAACCAGGACCAGGAACAAGCGTCTGTGCAGGGCTGCCTTGGCGCGGTAGAACCTCTGCGTGCGCCTGCGTGCGTCTGTCGGTGGTGTTTGGGTCTGAGCGTGAAGTGAGAGATGGCTGAGCTGAGTGGGTTGGGTGAAGAGAAGTGGAGTTGAGGTTTGGACTAGCTTCCTGTTGGACTCTTCCTCCTCCTCTCCTCGGACTCGGCTGGATGTTTCGTAATGATGGTTCAATCCAACGCTCCCGCTGGCTGGCTGGCTGTTGGGCTTCCCGCACTACTGTGCGGTGCAGAAGATAATCAATCCCCTCGTCTGCACTGACTGAATGCAATGCAATGCGCTCAATTGTCCAATAACCCACGCTGGAATGCTCCGAGAAATTGCCTTGACCCGGCGCACTACTCAGATTTACTGCAGGTACGATCGAGCTACGCTCAAGCTACTGTCTGCTACGCATACGGGAAATGCAATTGCAGTCCAGTACATACGCCTTCTCAGTAAACTGGGGCCTCCTCCTCATTTCACGACGACCCAGACGAGACGCGAGGGAGATGCGCACCACCGAACACTCACAACTTGGTCGCTGGCGGCTGCAGCAGAGGCCCGTTTGAAATGAGCTGCTGCACAATTTCCGGCTTCTCCTTCTCTCCTTTGGTCGAGTCTAAGATGCCGTAGCAATGCTCCCAGGTCGCTAGTGGTCGACGATGGGGATGCACCGCGGAGAGTTTCCCGTGATGCTCGAGTGGGTAACTTGGCACTGTGCAAGCAGTTGCAGCGGTGCCGTGGCCGAAAGAACGTACCTTGATCAAGGATGGAGAGCGTCAAAAGTTGCTGGCGTGAGAAGTCGAGCTCGAAATGGTGGACGCGGAAACTTTACTCTGCTGCGACTCATGCATGTGAATGTAAAGGGAAAGTGGTCGCGGAACGGTACTAGCTCTGCAGTTCGAGATGCTCTGCAGGAACGGCCGTGGGAGACGCAGATGCATACAATACAGTCTTGGACCGCTGTGTATGAGATGCAGTGTGCGTGGACTGTGGTGGACCGTGAAGTGACGTTTGAGTGAGTGAGTGATGGAGAGAGAGAGAGTAAGTAAGTAGTGCTGAGTGAGGTCTGAACAGTGAGTGAGTCTGCAATTGGAGATCCCTCCGCGCATGGGAAATGCTCTCGGAATATTTGGGAGTTTAAGGTCGATCAGGGCGTCCGCTAGTGCACAGAGATCGCCAGGTGAGGCGGTGGAATGCGATATCTGGGCAGCAAGGGTGCAGAAGATGATGATGCATCGAACAAAAGAAGGCTTCACTGATGCAAAAAGCACACCTCCTCCCGCATGGATGGCGCCAATATTGGCCAGGGGAATGCAATATTGTACCTGGATTTGGGTTCGTGCGGATCTTTTCCAGACAGACAGAGAAGCAGAGGTGTCAGTCCCAGCTGAGCTTGTTCCGGTCGACCCAGACCCAGGTCCAGAAGAGTTAGATGCCGAGAAGAGCAGCTGGGGAGGCAGCAATCGCTTTCTTATTCTCTTTTCTTTTCTTTTTTTTTTCCCTTCAACCTTCTTCCTTTCTCTCTTTCTCGGATCTCCGTTGCGAATCGACAAAGAAGAGCAAAGACACGTACGAAGGTTGTATCTTTCAAGCACTTACTTAACTTACGGTACTCGGTCACGCATCATTGCCCTCTGGTTAGATCCTATGGCACCAACCCTTACCACCACATCGCCCGCCATGATCGCCATGAGGACCGGGGCAGCAGTTGCGGAAGTGTCCCCGGGACGATGTGGCACCGACGAGAAGAAGAAAGTCCCAGGTTGAGTATACCTAAAGCAAGCACCGTGTACGGTAAGTGAGGCCCGACTCCACGCCTGTGCCGAGTTTTGGTTGTAAAGTCTGATGCTAATCCTTCTTCATAGAGCCACTGTTATAGCACCGGACAGAACCGGATGGATAGACCGGACAGCTCACTTACTACTGTACAGCGTAAATACCAGCAGCCAGCGACTGGCATCAATGCAGCAGTACTCGGCCTGGTCAGGTCTGGTCTGGTCAGGTCAGGTTAGATTGGGCTGGGCTGGGCTGGGCTGGGCTGGCGGGGATAAGCTTCAGCCCTCAGCAGCATGTTGAGTCGAATCTCCAGCGTGCCGCGTTGCCCTAAGGAACCAAGGATAGAGTTGATCGCTGGACCGAGTACAGTACAGTACAGTACAGTAGTAGGATGGGCTCGGTAGGGAGCATTTCATGCATTCGGCGGCGGCGGCGGTGGCAGCAGCAGCAGCAGCGTTGGAGTTCAGCGCCCAGTCCAGTCAGGCCGCGGTGGCCCATCATGATCAGGATTCTTCCTCCCCTCGGGACCCTGTCTGCTTCTGCTGGACGTGGGTTCTGCGATGGGATCTTCCCTGAAACAAGTCGCATGGGTTTCTGGCACACGCGCAATGGAATTGTGCCCGACGAGCCAGGGGTTTGGGTCGACTTGGCTGGTTGGATGGAGGGAAAAGAAAGGGTCGTCGAGACTGGACTCGACTCGACTCGACTCGCTCGAGGGCTGGTCCATGTTCAACATGATTTTGAGGTGAGCGAGCGAGCGAGGTCGTTCCAACCCCGGCCGCTTAAGAGAAACGAACCCTGTCGCTGCACAACATTTTGGGATTCCTCACTGGAGGATCTGCACTAGGAGGACTACTGTGCTCGAAGAGGAGAGAAATTTCACCCGCTCGCACATCCCCCTAAGGTTACAATGTTACGTATCTATCGTTTTGCACTATTTTGTGTAACTTCGTTGTTCACAAATTCGTAGGAGAGAAGATCTACCGTATATCGCATTACGGCCTCAACTCCATGGTGCTTCCTCACCGGCCACGATGACAAGTCAGTACAAGTATATTAGGTACTGGTTAGCGGCAAATGAAATGTTAATTCCTCGCACTTGCCTGTAAGTATCTCTCTGTCAGCTCGTTCTCAACTCTCTTTCGACTCCCCGCCTTCTCGACTCTTGTTTTCCGCCAGTCGTCACTCTCCATCCATCCATCCATCCATCCATCCATCTTCCGAATCCTGATCTTCCCTCTGCTTCCCGCATGGGCCAGCATGGGAAGCGTCCGCCGCCCAATTTCAAGCCCCTTCAAGCCTCATCGAACCTTTTCAATAGCGTCGAGATCTTGGAACCGCACCACACGCCGAACATCATCGCGGCGCTGGACTCGTGGAAAACAAAACTTGCAACGCTGCCATTGACCAATCGAGCTCCCGCGCCCCAACGCCTCGCAAGTCGCAAGCAAAATTCCCGGCCACTCAGGTTCGTATTGAGGACAGGCAGTAGATCGATGTCACTCACTCGCTACTTGCAAAGTGGTTCCCCAACTACTTTGATTACTCAGTACTGCTCTACTCTCTCCTATTTCCCGACTAATGCAGGTCCGGTGTTGAATAGCGACGCTAAGTCACGACTCAGAAACAGACTCAGACTCCCCTGACTGTTCGTTCCTCACTCTTCCGATGCTGACCAATTTCAAACACCCAGCACACAGCACACAGCACAGTACAACCCACCTACGGAACGGTAGCTAGCTACCAACACCTTCTTGCTCTACTAAAATAGCTCTAGTATCTAGTAGGCTAGGCTGGGCTAGGTGCTATCCACGATGCCAATACGAGTTACGTCGCCGCTCTTCGTTTCGTCTATGTTGACTAGATCTGAGACCATGCCCGAAGAGGAAAACACAAAGTCAGCCCACTAAGGTTAGCACGAGGGAAAAGAAAGCTTCACACGCATGACGCCGCATCAATATCGAATTTCATGCGCAGACCGAGAGCACCACCTCACAATCAACAACCTTCTCCCCCTCCTGCTCGCAGAACCCAAATAATCAGACCAAACCAAACCAAACCAAACCCAAGCAAGAGACTCAGGCTGCTCTGCTCTGCCAGTCCGCGATGCGCTTCCGGGGGCCCAGTCAGGGGCTCGCAAGTTCATCCCAATGGAGGTGGGCTGCGATCGGCAGTAGAAACAACATCAATGCGCACCGCAATCCCTCGCTCGCATCAACAGCAGCCTCAGCCTTGCTAGGGCTGGCCGAAGATCACAAACGTCGTCATTTACGGTAATGGTTCTTGCACACATGGGCTGCGGCAACGAGAGCCAAGGAACACCCCTCTGAGCTCTTAAGGCTGGACGACGGTCCTAGGAAGGACCTTGCGACTCCACGTGCGGTGTCGGTGGTTCACCACGGAAGAAACATAATCCTGGACCTCACCCTCAACCTCACCTCCACTGACGGGACTGACTGGCTATCAAGCGGTAGCCTTGGTAGCCTTGCATAATTTGGATTTGCAAATTTCCCGTCGAAGGCGGGAGATGATGAAACTCTGCGTCGTATCGTACCCAATGGTTCTGCACACTCGAGAGCCTCGTGCTCGACATGCAGACAGCGACCAAACTTTTTGCCGCTCGCGCCCATTTCTCTCACTGGTTTGCAATGGCCCAAAGCGTTCCCCTGCGAGTCAAGTTCTGATCGACTTTCGCAAGTTGCGCCCGAACTGTAGGACAGTTCACTTCTTCACGTCAGTGACTTCGACATATGCTCTGCTTCGAATAGCAAGCCACCGCGTCTCACGTTGGTAATTGACGCTTCTTGGCCTGCCTTTGACAAATCCGCATCAACGGTCGTGTGGGAGAGATTACTACTTACGAAGCATGAGTAGTTTCACGCTTTCCACCTCACTTTCCCAGCACTGTTTAGTCACCGGAGACTCCGACCCGGAGATTTTCCTTTTAATTGCATACTTCGTGGGTCGTGCGTCCTCGTTGCGATCGTCTCGTGGACTTGTCATTTCTGGACTTGTCATTTCTGGACTTGTCATTTCTGGACTTGTCATTTCGAGACAACGGCATTGAAGCAGCACGGACCCCAGGTGACGAGGCTCTCGCTGCGTTCGAGAAGACCCTAAGAACAACTTAATTTCCACTGCCATGTGGCACGCATCACTTTGAGACATGATCTAGCATCCTTCTAGAAGGTTTCATACCCCGAGCTCTTCCAACCCCCGGCCAATCAGCACTGCATCTCGTCTCAGTGATGAAAACATGGGTACCAAAATTCAGGATCCTTCCATTCCCCCGTTCAAGATTGCATAACGGCTCAGCCCCATAAAATGATCTGATTGATCTTCGATGCCCCCCAGCCAGCCTCCCCATACGGACTTGTATCCCAATCGAGAGACCATTAGTCTTCTGTTTGAGGTTTCGAGGTCACGAAAATAGAACGTTTTCGCTCAGCACTAGTTGCGTTTCGAAATCAGTGTCTAGTTGGTATTCATTGGCTTCGTTATTTCTGATTAGCATGATTCATGCGCCTTGCAGACTATTATCGCCAGGAAATCCCTCATGGTTTTCGGATGTTGGCCTTTCACCCGAACGGCAGATAGGATGAAAATCGAAGAAATTGGGTATCGTTTGGCATCAGTCGAGGCGTCGTGTACTTGGTACCCATGCTCTACTGATTCATTCAAACCGATAGAGGTCAGAAACCGGATATGCCACCGAAAGCTAATCTTGCCTGTCAAAAAGGCAAACCATTATGCAATTGGGAGCTCAGACATTTCGGGTACTGATTGGGAGCCAAATCTCACATCAAGGACCGAAAGGTAATTACCTTTGTCCTTGGGTAAATAAGTCCCCCCCTGAGGGTTTTCAAGCCAGCCTCAACTAAGGTATTGGGTCAATGAGAGGCTAAGATGTGGTATAATTGTGGGGTCGAAAGTGCGAGAAGTGAATAACAGGGGGGGACTTATTTACCCTAGGACAAAGGTAGGCATTCCCGGAATCCTTGGACTTCGATCCAGTTCTGACTCTTACTTCCCGTGGCATGATATGAGAGTCAAGGTTCAAGTGGACGTTGTCGGTCACCAGATGCCTAGGAGGCTTAAGACATGATTTTCACTCCATGCAAGAGCGGCTGGAAGTCCGAATTGTGTCCTGGCGTGGAAGACGATCTAAAGCTTCCCAGAGCTTCCTAGATGGGCCAAGCCTCAAAGCCTCAATCTCGCCCTCACGTGTCCACGAACGAGGCACCGAGGACTTTCACATGCTTCCATGTTTTATTGTGCGGTACTTGCAGAATGATGTCTCTGTTTCTTAAAGTCTGACATCAACCTCTGGTCCTGAACGCTGCTGCTTGTATGTCGATATCTCATATTTTGTGTAGTCACGCTTGACATTAGAATGATTTTGTGTTTAATATGTTAGACTTGGCCTTCTTCATGCTACAAGAGCATTAGTTGGACAATTTTGTGTCAGCGATTGGTCACTTATTTGGAAATGGGGAACATCTTAATCCCATATCTATAATCATATCAGTACATCACTCTAAATAATACAAATTTTGATTGCATGTCTATTGTTCTCAATTTCGGCTGTGGGGATCTCTTGCTACACATGATTTGTCCTCCTCTCAGCCAACTGATCGATGAAGGTTCGAGAGCTTTCAAGTCCTCCGCCAATCACATTGTCCCTCCCATGAAAATGTCTGAAAGTATTCACTCTCAATGGAGTCTTAGATTCTATACATCCACGATTTCGAGCTCACGTCTTCGCTTTGTACAAACCTTGATAGTGACCAAGTCTACTTTTCCACTTAGCACGCGCAAGCCACAATCACCCAGGAGAAGACAAAGTTCCAGGCAATTTGATGGTTCTGGTAGTTGTTTGATGTCTAGATAAAGTGATATGCCGCGTCTGGTTACAGCCAAACCACACTCTACTCAACTATCTACACTCTAGTGATGTGAAACTACATGCTCAGCCTTTATGGAGAGCACACGAAAGCATGACTGTTGCGCGGATATGTCGATCAAGCACAATCCTTTCTCTTTTGGACAACATGAGAGAAATCTCATCAAGACGAACCTTGGAAACCAGAAAGTGGACCAGAATGGAAGTATCATTCTTTTATTGTCCTTTCCTGGGGAAGACCGAAGACGAGATTGACCTTTGTCCCAGAAATCCATCCCACTTCACTTCTGAAGCGGTTATATTTGAAGGATAGTCTTATACGTCCCCCCCCCCCCCCCCCACTGGTCATGAAGAATATATCATTTCCGCAGCTAGACCTACGTGCATGTATGGAAAATGAATTTGGTTTCAAAGTTGCAAGGTATCTTGGAATTTGGTTCGAGAGTCTTGCTACATCACTCACTCTGAAGAATCCAGTTGCAGTCCCACAACCAGCATGTATCGGTGTTACTACTTCGATAAGGTTCTTTGGTCACAGCCGCTTTCTTAGCTAGATTTAATTTGTAGGTTTTCCGCAAGGAAACTTGGCACTGTTAAGCAGACAGTATTTCGGCAGACCAAGAGCTCCAGTTAGAAACTCCGGGCGACTCCTTACAGTTGTCGGATTGGAAAACACATTTCAATCTTTCAACAATGGTGCCATTGACGCTGTCGTCGATGAGGGCCAGCTAAGAGTCAACGCAGTAAAGACAGGTTCACCGATCAACCTTGCCTACACTTTATGCTGATAACAAGTCGGGTGACTCCCGTTGCTGTCTGTCGACCTTGATCTGATAGAAGTGCAGTTGTACTTTCTGAGCATACATCTGGCTTGATGAAATGAAAATATATGCTCGATGTGTTTAGCGCAAATTCCCTTAGGCGTGTGACATAGTACTACTGCGCCCAAGTAGGCGGTGCGAGGCTTCCAAATTATGGCACAGATTCAGATCAGGGTGAAAATTCTGGATTAGTGTTGAGATACGTCTTACTTAACTTTCCCATCTTTCCCATGCTCAAAAGCTGTTCGGCCAGGCAAGTCTCAAAGTCTCTCACTAGGAGGAGCAGAACTACGATTTGATTTTCTGATCCCGGATACGATCGAGTTTTGGTTCTAGTTCAGCAAGAAGCGAGCATGAACAAGCTCTACAGACAGATGGTACAGTATCCGGAGCCGAAACCTATCACCAATGAGACGTAGGTCAACGACAGAAGTATAAACACATAGCCATAGATTTAAAGACTTAATTTTCCAAATAAGTAGAGATAGTCAAGCAAGTCTTTCAACCCACCCTAGCTTCCAAAAAGAGACAACTCTCTAAGGGCCATTGCAATATGTGCGGTATATACAGCAATGTTGAAACAGCAGATATACCAAAAGAAGAGCTGTGTGGTGGAGTTTTGATTGTCAAAGACCTCCCGAAATTTCAAATTATGTCGAATATTGATACTGGCTGCATTACTGATCTGCATACATTGAAATTAGTAGAGACACAACCCTGGACCGTCTGAAATCCTCTAAGCATAAAGCTCAATATTGCATACCGCTATTCGGAATGCCACATAGTAAGCATAGAAGATAAGTTCAAGAGTTCAAAGTGGCACTTTCCAAGATGCGAACTAAGATGAATATCGAATATTGTCTTCGAAGGTAGAGCGTTTGTAGAGAGATACATACTCTGAATTTCAAGAAAGTGTGGTGTTGTTGTTCTTGTTTGGAATTTTTCCCGTCTCCTCTGCTTCCTTGTAATTCAGTTGATTAGCAGATTTACTTTCGTCGATCTAGCGCCACTGTCATTAGCATGATTGGAACGGGTGGAAAAAGTTGCAAGCCTTCGTTCAGAACTGCATTCGAAGATTCAAGGTCCTGTATTGTGTTGAAACGGATCTAATGTCTGGCACGAGACTGACCGACGTGAGAGGTGAAGATAGCTCAACACTCAACAAATGTACTAGTTGTCCTGGACTGATCAAATTCCTCCTGCAGATGGTACCAACAATAGAGCAAATCGTGGCCAAAAGAAAGATCGGTCTTTTGCGGAGGGAGGGCCTGCGAAAGTTGCCAGAGCTGATGCTCGATGATGTGGAGACACGCGAAACTAATCCCTTTGCCAAGGTTTACTCACGAGTCCAACTCTATTCTCTTCTTAATGTTCCTCCAAATAAGGGACTCCTGAATTCGTACGTTGCTAGTTTAGCCGGGCCCTCTTAAGATCAAACCACCGTGCTACTGAGCTTGTATTCAGAAGCGCTCATGAGGCATTAGAAGTGGCGGGGATGCGGGATGTTGATTCGGAGATGATTAATTCGAAGCTTAGAAGGGAAGATGCTGTGGCTGAGCATTGCAAAGTCTTTCGGTGGACGGTAGTCTGATTTGGACCGGCTCACCTTCGCCATACTTGAGAACGACATAGAAACAAATAATCATTTCCCTGCCATAACGCGTCTGAAAACAATCTATTAAATTCATGTTTCCTGCAAATTTGTACTCAACTACTTCTTGCTTGAATCTGGTTATCCTACCTAGATACCCCGGTAGTAACTGGGCTGGTCCTGTTTCTTTTAGACGAGTCTGTGACGCCTTTAAGGAAGCAGTTCAAAGGGTGGATCGGGTTTCAACAGATGGAAACCATGTGCAGAGGATTAAACAGAACGCAACAAGATAGACGACTAAGCACGTGCACAGAATTATAGGAAAGAAAGACAACATATGGCCCTACGAGAATTGTAAGATTGAAGTGAAAATGAACTGATAAAATTGAAGAGGGTAACGCCTGGTATTTTCATTCTTGAGAGACACGAACCCATAGCACTAAATCTGGGATCTCTAGTTTCCACACCCCGATACCTTTACCAAAGACTGACCTCGAGTCAATCACCTTGACGAAAAGAGACGCTGGTCGTGAACTCATAAATCCAGCTCGGTGCTCATATCCTATTAGAATTGATCTACACATGTTAGTCGCAGTCCAGGATTCACAACTTACGCAGATGGAGCCTGTATACTTACCTAAAGTCATGCTCATGCTGACATCCGTATTCTCCACCATCTTCGTAAATTCCTCGAAACTGATCTTCCCATCCCTATCTAAATCTGCCTCCATAATCGTTTTGTCGACAATCTGTTGCAACTGTTGGTCTTTCAAGTTGCTTCCCACCATCATCTTCAGCACAATGAATAATTCTCCATTGGAAATGTAGCCGTCGCGATCGATGTCGTAGACCTTGAATGCGAACCGGAGTTTTTGTTCCTTGTTTCCTTTGCTGGAGAAGGCAGAGAGTCCCGAAACGAATTCTTGGAAATCGACGTCGCCGCCACCATCTTCGTCAAGAATGGCAATCATTCTATTGATATCTATCAGCGACCTGGTCATATGCCTGTAAGATGTAGGACTGACCTGGTTGCAAGAGGGTTCGAGGAGATCTGGGGAAGGCTGAGAAATTCCTCGCGCTCGATAGTACCTGAATTGTCCTGTCCTTCGGGTCAGTCCCTGCTTCCATTCCTCTAAGGCAGATCTGCAAACCTTATCCAACTTCATAAACCTCTTTCGTATTCTCTCAACCTCATCTCGGTCAACTGCACACCCCGAGTCAGTATTGGTCTTTTGCTACTGCAGAGAGAAAGCGAGGAGCCTCGTACAATTTGAGCCTTGCACAATGTTCTCCAACACTGCGCTGCTGGCGTTACCCATCTTGAAGTTGGGTTTGGGTGGGTTGGGGGGAATATCTGGGGAAGAGGTGTCGTCTGGTGGGGTTTTGAGCTCAGGCTCAGGTCCCTGAGATGTCGGCGAGGGGGATTGCGCTAAACTGTTTTGGGTCACGAAATCTCCACTACATGCAAGATTTCCAGAACCCAACTACTTTTATGTTGCTCGTGGGAGAAGATTTTCTATGATATTGCTTTCTTACACATGGTCGTTGTGTAATTACTGAACTCAATACTTCATCATCACCACTCTGTACTTGAACGTTCAGTACTTCCTACACGATTTCGGTTTGTAGGAAAGAAAATGAGATTAGAAGCTGGAAGCAGAACAATCTTCTACCATGTTTGATATTAGTAACTTCGGAGGCAAGTTTATCCCATCTGACGAATTTTATAGTAGTGCATCAGAGACTTAGTCCTGTAAGCTATTGAACGTGCCGAGACAGAAAAGAAGAAAGTGAATGAGACAAAGATGCGGGGTCCCCGCAACCAACAATTAATAGCATGCGATTGGAAGATTCATTGTATTTCATTCCAGCTTCCCAAGTACTGCTCAGCCACTAGACTAAAATGTCTTTGCAAAGGGGAGCAAATGGTTCTCGTGTCTTCTCAAAAATGTACATTCCACGGCTGACTAGTTGCAGTTTCTGCTACTAACAATGGAAGCTCCAATCACTATCTGTAATTTCCTCAGATTTTTGTACCGGGGTTAGGCGTTGGGAGACCAGTATTGAGGGTTCAGATGCCATGCTTTGATGGGGACTGAATGTATGGTAGAGTGCTGTAGTTTGCTGGACCCGCAACACAGTTAGCGTACGAAGGATAGGTGAAGGCTAGCGCTAGCACAGGAGCTATACGTAGATGGAATACGCAAATGTCAGTGAAGATGAATGACGAGTTTTAGAACACGTCTATCGAACCCTAAATAGCATTTCGGATTTGGAGACCTGGTGAAGCTGACTTTCGATCTGGTCAATATCTCGTGGGCAGCCGTGACCCCGGTCCATTTTATTTTGATATTCGCTTCTGGCCACAACGCCTGCCTAAACCCCATCTGGAAGGCTGCGAACCTCCGCCCTTGCTCGTGGCCCACCGACCACCACCAAAAAACTCTGCGCGCGCAACGACACATGAGGCAATTCGACGAGATTCATCAAAAGCTCAACCACAACGCGGAAAAAATGATCTTCTAGATCGATGTTCATCTGAATATGAGTCCAAAATTCGATCGGTCCAATTTTTTTTCGCGATCGCGCGTCGAAACTGACCTGATTACATCGTCGCACTCACTATCATCATGCGGTCACAAGCCGCGGCCGGGCGGGCGACGAGAGTCAAAAAGCTCGCGAAGAACACTGCTCAGCAGGTCTTGCGAGAAGATCAACTAGATTCTGCAGAATACAGTTCCCTTCAGACTCAATCTAACATCGAGACTGGGGTGGAAAAGAGTGAAGAAAAGGCACGTGACTACTTTACAGATCGCTCGTCATGTGACGTCAGAACTTCTACTGACTCTCTATTAGGAATACCATCTTCAAGCTGCCTTGAAAGGAGGCTCGGGTGGCAGCAAAGATGCGGAGGAGATTCCTGCCCCTCCTGCCGAGGAGACCCCTGGTCTGGATTACGATGCCCTGTATCCATTAGTTTTTCATAAACCTGCCACCTACATTCGCTTCTCCCAGACAGTCGAAGAGACTACCGGGTGCCAGTATAATATGACCTCGGAAGATGACACCTTTCTCAAAGCATACAATCACAAGAAGTCCGCTGGTACCAGATGTTCCGAGGATGATTTCGAAAAGATTATGGAAGTTTTCGAAGACACTGCCGCTGATCAAGTCCCGTATGCATCCCTCGATGGCACCGTGATTTCCTTTGATGGGATGAAGATGTCGATTAAGCAACAGATTCATGAAAAGGCCCATCCATTTGCCAAGGATATCTACGAACACTGGCGAATATGCAGACAGAATGCTGGGAACCATCCACTTCAACCCTCTCTAAAAGTCGAGAAGAATATAGAAAAGGATGATGGTGATCCATATGTCTGTTTCCGACGACGAGATGCTCGTCAAACTCGGAAGACTAGAGCTCGCGACACACAAAGTGTGGAGAAGCTGAAGAGATTAAGGAAAGAACTCGACGAAGGACGCCAATTGATAGACATGGCTTTCCAAAGAGAGTTGACCAAGAGAGAACTTCTAAAATGCGACAAGAGCGTCTTCGAACAACGTGCCAAGGTCAAAGAGACTAAGGTCAAACTGGGAATCAAGACTGACGATGAAGATCTCATCAACCAGAGAGTAAGTGAAGTCATGAAGCATATCATGCTCACCGCTAATGAGTACCAGCCTCAGAAGAGAAAGATGACAGACTTTGGCCAGTTGCAACGTCCTCCTGGAAGCCAATTACGCTTGCCTGGCCGTTCCGATGGACGTCCTCTTGATGCTGATCTTATTATGCTGAGTGATCTGATGGCCCAGAAAGAGAATACGCTCCAGATTGAGATCGAGGAGAAGGCGCAACAGCATCGGAAATGGAACATGGGCCATGTCGACTTAACTCGCGAGCCACTGTCCCCTGTCCATGGCCAAGGGTTCGAGGCTGGATTCCGTCCGGCAACAGCCCAATACCAATATCTCATGACACCTCCTTCTTCTGTGACCTCCGAATCCTTCGATCAGCCCTCGCCGTCCTTGGAAAAACCAGAACCATGCGCATTGGGTTATAACTCACCCTCGGAAGAAGAAGAGCCTCGAGGGCAACCAGCTTATCGCCGTAGGATAGGCCGCGGAGGTCGATTATGGATTGATCGTCGAGGCATGTCGTCGGCCGCTAAATTGGCTGAGGCAACTGTCTCGGATCGTTGGAAATACGATCAAGATGATGACGATGAGCAACCGGTGTACGAGATGGACCCATATGACACCAAAGCTCTCCGATTTCGAGCAACAATACCCTACCCACCACATCTCTTCTCGCAGCGACCTCGACCAGAACAAGCTGGGCCACTGGCAAGAGTTGCTGGAAACAGTCCTGCGCATAATCGAGCAATTACTGCTGCTGGTCAACAGCCACAGCAAGCACCACCCTGAAAGAAGAATAAGCTTACCGTTTCGCTTCCCACACCTAATCCTACCACAAGCCGCCCCCCTTCGCGCCAATGAAGCGCTCGTGTATGAATAAACATTCTGCTTTGCAGGACATCGCTTGAGATGTGCCTGGGATTGAGGCGTTACCCAATGAAATGGGCTCGAATGTGTTGGTATTAGATGTTTAGCTAGTCGAAAACACCTCGAGGATAGGTGTCTGTTGTATTTTAGTGCTCACACGAGCAGAGAAGATGGCGAGGACACTGGTGGAATGCTTGCTCCATCCAAAGCCTTGTTTTCCATAGCTAGGGAACGTTACTCACTTGCATACCACAAAAGAAAGCCGTTGCTTCATCGCTTTCTGGCCTTCTTGTTGTCACCGTCCGTCTGATGTTGTCTCCTCTTCGTTCCGCTAGCCACGACTTCATTCTCCCTTTTTTGCCCCCTCATTCTCTTATCACTTGCTGTGAATGTGGCTGCTTCCTGAATAGCTTTTCTCAACACTTGCTTTTCGCCATGTCGAACTTGAACAGCCATGGCCTTTCGATGAGGCAGATTCTTGCTCTGAAGGATCAGTTCGTCCTCTTCAAGTGTAGTGGCGTATTCTCTTTCCCTGAGCTCCAGGAGCTTTATCAAGACCTGGCCTACAAGTCCGGTTGAAAGCTTCGACCGACTTGGCAAGGCAATTTCTGAAGCCTTGATTGCAGCAAGATTTTCATTATCCAGAAGGAGAATGTACAGCAAAGCCAGGAGCTCATCCGGGATGCTAGGTCCATCTGAATCAGGGTGTGAGAGATCATAGGCATCTTCATAGATAGCTTCCCTCTGGGCAAGCTCGATCCTCTTATTGAGATCGGGAAGTGGCAACGGCTCTAATGCTTGGTGGCCTGGAAAATGCAGTGCTTCTCTTGCACGAAATTGAGATAGTATGGCGTGCGTTGATAGCTCAGCCACGTCGTAGACGGCATAATTGTCCGTCAAATATCCATATCTTCTCAACAAATCAGACCTTGGCAGTTGACCATAGTCGTTGAAGATTTCGTCTCCGTCAGATATATGCCGAATAGCTCTCATCTCAAGGTCTTCATTGTCGCAGCAGAGACGAGCGTTGTTTCTGTCTGCATCGGCATTGAGAATATCAGCCAGCGGCACTATTGAGAGTATGGTCTTCTCGCCGTTTCCATCGTCGGATACCAGCTCTTCAGCATCCTCGTCTTGATCTTCGTTATCCTCCTTGTCTGCAATCTCGGGTATGTCGAAGGCGTATGCCATAATCACAGACGCTACTTTGTGGCACATTGTCGGACTGGCGTTCTCAATGCCTAACGGCGCGATATGATGCTTGAACATCTCCTCAGCTGTAGCTTTTCCAATCTTCTTTGCGACCATACTGGCTTGGAGCTCAGAAAGCTCGGTATCTTTCCAGAAGACGAGACTGTCGAGATGTTGCGGTAGGATAGCAAAATACGGCGCCCATTTCGACTCCTTTCGTGCCGCTTCAACAAGCATAGCAGATGTCAAAGCCTGTGGGTCCGAGAGTGAGTATCGTCGAAGGTGGTGGGAGCGGGTCGTCTTACCAGCCAACTTGGCATCTCAGCTACAGCGTCACGTAGGAACGAGAGTTGCGAATCATTGAGAGCTGTGTTCGTATTGAAGACTGAGGAGCGGGGAATAGTGAAAAGGATTTCGTCCTCTTCAATGTCTGCAACTGCGACTGGTTGTTTTTGTTAGCAGTGCAATGTGACAAGAAGACAGAACTGGAGTTCTTCGGAGGGTAGGTGTGCATGTAACATGTATAGAACATGCAAAAGGTCCGTTGTGTGAAGTAGATGAAGAAACACTTACCAGCGCCGCGATTCTTGCCGGATGATCTTAGGTCAGCTATAGCAATCTTGGGACTGATTTGAATGCCCAATCTTGAGAGCCAAGCAAGAAATGCTGCCGTCGCAGTCTCGAAGTCATCTACCTCCATCTCTGTTGTTTGTGAAATGCAGAGAGTCTAGAAGAATGAATGGTGGTGAGCTTTCAAAAAAGTAGAGGCGCTAATATTGGCAAAATGGTGTAGAGAGCACAAGGGACGCTAAAGAAAGTAGCCGAGCAGGGGTCAGCCTGGACGCACGAAAATAATTGCCAGAATTTGTTCACCGTCCTTTACTCTCTGCCTGCCATTGATTCCTGCTGTTCCATGAGTAACATACCTACATAAGAAGTATGTTCTGACTAATGTGACAAAATAAGTGAGGCGGTTTGACGCTCTTGCCCTGTCTGGTTTCGAGTCAACTTCCGATTAGAGTAGCTTTCTTTCTTATCGCATTTTCAGCCTTGCGGCGGGGCTCTGATCTAGCTGCAATAAAACAAGAAGACCATCACCACGAGTATCCTAGTATCGAAAATGATTGCAATCGGTCTTGAAGGTAGTGCCAATAAATTGGGTGTTGGTATTATATCTCATCCCGGTCCTGGCAAACCAGCGCAGGTACTCTCGTATGCTGTCCATTCTCTTCCTTTGAGCCTATTCGAGATTCTGTACTAAAGGAGAAGGCAGAAACATCCGAGATACTTTCAATGCCCCTCCTGGGGAAGGCTTCCTGCCAAAGGACACAGCTAAACACCATAGATCATGGTTTGTCCGACTCGTCAAGCAAGCCATGATCGAAGCAAAGGTCTCAACCCGCGATATCGACTGCATCTGCTACACGAAAGGTCCAGGCATGGGTGCCCCCTTACAAAGCGTTGCTGTTGGTGCAAGAATGCTTTCACTACTATGGGAGAAGGAGTTAGTTGGAGTTAACCACTGCGTTGGCCACATCGAAATGGGCCGCGAAATCACTGGAGCCCATAACCCAGTAGTTCTGTATGTCAGCGGAGGCAATACTCAGGTCATTGCATATGCAGAGCAGAGATATCGCATATTTGGAGAAGCCCTTGACATTGCTGTTGGAAATTGCCTGGACCGGTTCGCACGAACATTAGAAATAAGCAATGATCCCGCACCTGGCTACAACATCGAACAACTGGCAAAGAAGGGAAAAGTGTTACTGGACCTACCATATGCAGTTAAAGGAATGGATTGCTCTTTCTCTGGTATACTGGCATGCATCGATATCTTGGCAGCAGATCTCAAGGCGAACCCGAACTGGCGAGATCCTATCACGAACGAAGTCATCACAACTGCTGATCTATGCTTCAGTCTACAGGAAACTGTGTACGCCATGCTTGTTGAGATTACAGAGAGAGCAATGGCCCATGTGGGAAGCAGTCAGGTTCTGATTGTTGGAGGAGTGGGTTCCAACGAAAGACTCCAGCAAATGATGGGATTAATGGCTCGAGATCGAGGTGGCAGTGTCTTTGCCACAGACGAACGTTTCTGTATTGACAATGGTATTATGATTGCACATGCAGGTTTAGTGGCGTATAAGACCGGCTTCAGAACACCATTGGAAGAAAGCACTTGCACGCAGAGGTTTAGAACTGACGAGGTCTTTGTCAACTGGAGGGATTGAAGTGTCGAAGGTGCGGCAGAGGAGCATTAGACATTTCAGAGCTTTACTGCAACAACGAGAAATGCCTCGAACCCAATGTTTGGTACCGAGACTCTGTTGCAGTCATCAGATCAGAAGCCATCTTCGGAATCATCGTCTTCTTCGAGAATGGTCTGACTCAAAAGTCCATGATCGTCGCTTCTCTGGGTCGTGTTCCTCTCCACCCACTCGGCATACTTTTCCATCGAGATGCCATCCTCTTCCTTGATTATGGAGCTTTGCCATACTTGCTCCAGCTTTTCTTTCTCCCGTGTAGCTCGAACGGAAGCAGCAGTGCGGCCATTGTCATCTGGACTAGGAGTTAAGTTGAAGAGCGACTCCAGCATGCTAGATGATAGGTAGAGAACGGTGCCTGTAAAAAGACCAATCACGGCTGCAACCCCAAGATAGATGTAAACAGTCTACAATGGTTAACTAGGATCGAAGTACGTTAAGCCAGACTTACTTCGAGCTTACTCAACAACGTGAGGGGCAATAGACAGCCTGCGATTATGTACTGTCCAAGATAGAGGAAGGGTGCTAGTGGTACAAGTAGCCAACTAAGAATTGTGGTGATCGGTAGAGAGCAGTAATAGAATACGGCACTAAGTGCCGAAAACCAAGTCATATTTGCTTGTTGGCCATCCGTCGAAATGTGGAAAAGAATCCAAGCCTACAGCTTCTCGAATTAGAGACTGATATTTCCCTGGGTTGTATTTACCCTATGCTGTTTTCGTCCTATCCGAAGCTTGATTCCTGGCCTCTTCCAACGCGCTAATAGTCAAGGAGATATTGGCGTGTTGTTCCTGTCTTCGAACATTGAAATGCTGTGAAAAGCTTGAAGCTGCTTTATTATCAAAACATGACATTGACTCGGTCATCAATGTTCCAAGCAGAGCCAGGCGAAGTTCTGAGAAGACCGTGCAGTAGCGGCAAACCAGAGGAGCAAGGCTCGCACGGACCTCCTCAACCTTATTCCTGTCCAGCCCAGCGTGGGGTTGATCTACTGTACAGTAATGTACTGTGCCTGGACCTTCGTTGCTAACCCCTCCTTCGTCCACGACAATTCCATACCTTTGAGCCTCGTCTTCTCCATTCGCTCTTGGGCTGGGAACTCTTCGCCAGCTGCAGAGCTGCGTCTGGCTGTTAAACTCTATTGCGTCTGTGGTCCGATTCGTCCTACGATGCCCAAGTCTCCACGCTGATGAATCACACGACCATAAAGTACGATATTCCATCATCACCATGGGGAATAATCCCTCAACGAACAATCGCCCTTCTCACCAAGCCTCTCCCTCCCCGAGCCATGACTCGTCTCGAACCTCGTCCACTCGGAGAAATCCCAGGAATCTGATACAGGCTCAGCGAGCACCCGCCGAGCCTTCGATGGCACAAGCCCGTGGAACCACCACTGCTACACATCGTACGCGCAATTCCCAATCGCATTCGACAGCTGCGCCGTTCAGTACTTCATCGCCGAGTCAAAGCGTCAACAGTCCTTCTTACCATAGCAGCGATTCGCAAATGGGCGCTCAAATTTCGAAGGACGAGCCCAAGGTTGAGGTTCGGGATCAACCCAGCAAACCGGTCGATGTTCCCGCACCTACTGCTATGAATATAGAATCTGCATCTACACGATCGTACTCGCAATCGATCGAGCCATCGGGGCCACCCCTTACACAAGACATGTCATACCATCTCACCCGGCCCCCTAGACTCCCGCTCCCCATAGAAGAGGAGGTTCACACCCCAGGATCTCCCATCATTGCACCCGCAGATGTTGATGCTCCTGCTCTGGATATAGAGTCACTAGACCACGAAACGCTCCCAAGACGTTCTTCCGCTCTGAGCAACACCACAATAGATGAGGAGGATGCCGAAGAATTACGGGTTGATAAGACAGGAGCAACAGTTCCTACAACTTTCGAATGGCAGCAAGGAGGGGAGAAAGTGTATGTCACTGGAACTATATTTCAGTGGAACAAGAAGCACCGATTGCATCCCGTGTAAGTTAGCAGTACAATATCTCGTCCATCCAACAGAGCTGATCCAGATCTTAGTCCTGGCAAACCAGGCCTTTTACGAGCTGTGATTCATGTTCGACCAGGAACACACCACATCAGATTCATAGTAGACGGTCTGATGCAATGCTCAACCTTGCTGCCCACTACCGTGGACTTTGGTAACAACCTAGTCAACTATATCGAAGTGAGTGCCGATGATCTGCCTCGAGAGGTCCCAGTAGCTGTAGAGGGCACCGGGACCCCGGTTTCTAATGTCCAAGCTCAAGCACAAACTCCACCTAAAAACGCTGAGCCCAAGGCCAATGTAGAACCTCATGCCACGAAAGTCAAAGTCCCTCCAAGAACAAAGCCCGTCATTCCTGTGGGGAAGTTCTCCTCGCAAATACCTCAATACCTGGTGGATCTAGATAAAGCGGAAGACTCGGCAGCGTATCAATATGCTGCTGCAGCAATTGAGAAGCTTCCGACGCCACCAAGTCTTCCTGGATTCTTGGGGAAGCCGATCTTGAATGCTGCTACTCCTATGAAAGATGATAACAGTGTCTTGACGATGCCAAACCACACTGTCCTCAACCACCTTGCCACGAGCAGTATCAAGAACAACGTGCTTGCAGTTTCGGCTACGACACGATACAAAAGAAAGGTAAGCTACAACTCTGTTTTTGGCACATCTTTTGCTAACAAGGATTAGTATGTCACAACGATTATGTATAAACCTACCGGGGACGACTGAGCAGCATCACAGTGGCCTGAAATAATAGCATCAATGCACCGTTGAGCATCAAAAGGTCTACATGAAGTTTTCATTACATTCACATTCCGGATCGAGTCCTTCTTTTTCTGGGTTAACCACGTCGTTGATCCGCATGACTCCGATGACAGATTGTGAGGTGGGTTAGGTCTTCGATAGGAGGACAGGAAGCCAATCAATGAACAACTTTCAAAACTACTCCTCTTACCTATTTCCTATTTACTTTGCCTGTTTCTCACGTATTTTTGCCTCAATATTACTCTCGCCTGGTACATACTCTTTCTTCGGCTTAATCTTACAAGTAATACAATCGATCCTTGGCGATTGGCGTTATAAGTGGGCGATGGGGGTAAACGAGAGGCAACGCTGGATTATTACGAGTGCAAAGCCATGCCATTTATCTAAATACATTGGTGCATAGAAATTTACAATTCCCAGTCAAACTTCCTTCGTTTGATCCTCACTCTCGTATCATGCACTGGCTTGGAGACAGCAGACGTCTTCACCTGTTCTGGAATCTCCCACCCTGCTCTCTTGTCTGCTGGCTCAAGATCCCAGAAAGCTAGCACGCCAGCCACGAGCGTTAAGCACTCCTTTTCTGCATAGACCCGGCCTTTGCACATCGAGGGTCCTCCGCCATATGGTCGAATAGTACCGACGTTAGTGGATAATGAACCATCATCGTTGTGCACGATAAACCTCTCTGGATCAAATGCCATAGGGTCTTTGAAGTATTTCGGATCTCTCATGTGCAAGTCATGCGGTAATGTAACGTATTCTCCTTCATGCATCACGAACGATACCGGATTTGAAGCTTTCTTATCTCCGGTGATGGTAACGTCTGTAGCAATCTGACGAACTGACCAAGGTTGGTTGAACAATCTGAGACATTCCAGGTATGTAGATCTAAGAAGGGGACAATCTTTTGATAGTGCGTCGTGAGAGATAGTGAGTTTAGGGGCTTCAGAAATAGTGCCGATCGAGAAAGGTTTAGAAACTGTAGCGTACGGCGAGATCTCAGCTCGTATCCTATCCAAGAGTCCGGGTTGGGCCAGAATGTTGAGAATCTGCCAATAGACCACCAAGTTTGCATTCACGACTAGGGCCCAGAGAATCTAGGTGGCTTATTAGTATCAAGGAACTGGAATGTTAGGAGTTAGGATAAAACATACACTGAGATCTGCCCTCTCTTTCACCTCAAATCTTTCATCTGTTGTGCACTGTTGGCATCATTGACTCACAATGCACGGAAGGATATTCAATTTACCTCTGAACAACTTGTTTCTCTTCATTATCAATTCACTCACATCGTCCAGATCTCCCCAAGAAGGGTCAACTGGTTTCCCTTCGGCTGTTGCATCGAGAGCTCTCTGATGGTCGTCTAAAGCTTGCCACAAACGGAAACGAGCTGTGTGAGCTCTAGCAGAAGCTGGCCATGGAGTCCATGCCGGCAGACCAGCTAAGAAGAAATATGTCCCCTTGTCGAAGTCATAGACATCATGCAGAAGTTCTGGATACTTATCTAAAAGTGCACGCCCGAAGAAAGCAGGAACTGAAGCATGGCCAAGCATATCTCGCATGAGAGCCATGAGATTGACCTCTGTCTCTGAGTCTGAAATATAAGTCGCTTTCCCGAATCGTTCCCATGGCTGTAAATCTACCTCGGTATCGACGAAAGTCAACATCTGAGGAATATTCCTTTCGAGATTTTTGGTGGTTGCTTTGAGCGTGTTACTTAGATGTGGCTCCTTCATCAGGAAGATAAAGTATGTATTAAACTCCTGTATGCTTTTATGAGCCTCTGCTATCATTAATTGACGGATGAACGAACCTCCCAATTCTTGAAGTATTTGGCTTTAGATCGTTTTGGTACGCCAAAGAACTTTGAACGTTAGCCTTGAGGCGTGACTTTGATGGCAAGTACTCTTGACCTTTTGGACAACGATCCAGGCAATAGATTGAAAATGCACAGCAGAGTCTTTTTGTGCTAACAGGCTGAGAGATTAGTTCCCAGACCAGGTATATTCCAGCACTCGCAGCCTTACCTTGAGACCAGGGACGGGTCAGATACTATTCTTAATTTTAGCTGATCATGTAGTGTGTGATTCATGATATGGACTCCGAAGAAGAGAGAGCCGAGATAGTCAAACGTATATATACTTACTGACATTGTAGGTAGTGGCACCAAGATTCAGTGCAAAGATGCCATGAGGGCTCAGGTCCCTAAGAAATACGTGAATTCATGCACTGGTCCTGCGGGACTTTCAACACACCTTGCCTCTTGCATCAATTTGAACGGATTATAGAGACTACATTTTGTCAGTAAGCTGAGGATCATTCCAACTCCTGAATACCTGTACTCACAAAGAGAACCCGTGACCTATGAAGGGTAGCCAGTACGGCAATATGCCAACCGTTCTTCCATTTCCACTGTCGACCAGCTTGGAAGGCCGTTCACTCAAATATCGAGTAGCAAGTATGACAGCTAAAAAAGCAAGTAGAATGGTCATGAGCATACTTGAGGGAGCTGGAAGAGCATACGTCCAAGCGGACAGCAGATTTGCGGGTGTATCCGAAGCATCAGTAGAATAAAAATCGTCGTCCATAGTATCTTTTACGAAAGTGAATTAATCGTGCAACTCGGCGAGCATTAAAATATCATAGGAGGAACCCAGCTCGAAAACTCACCTTTATACCGCTGCTGACGGGTGAGGCAACTCGATTCGGGTGCTGTTTGCAGGGGTGGCACGTCCATTTCGAGAGCGCACTTTATATATTCACCTCGATCAGCAGAAAGTACTTCAACTCCTTGATACGTTCACCGTACGTGGGATCTCGAGTACCTACCGACTTTCTTGAAAACCTAAAAAGAAAAGACACCCACAATTCCCGCGCCAGGTTCGCTGCTCTACCTCCGCCATCTGGAACCATGGCACCCAAGCAGCTTAACTTTATCACGGGCAACAAGAACAAGCTCACAGAAGTGAAGGCTATTCTGGGCGAAACTATTGACTTACAAAGTCAATCCTTAGATCTTGTTGAGATCCAAGGCACTATTGAAGAGATCTCAGCAGACAAATGCCGAAGAGCTGCAGAAGCTGTACGTATGCTAGCTACATATTTTAGTTTCCATTATTCACAAATTCACAGATCAAAGGTCCTGTCCTGGTAGAAGATACTTGCCTATGCTTTAACGCCCTGAAGGAGCTTCCTGGACCATATATGTGAGGCACTCGATATACTTGAGAAATAAACTTTTATTAACCACTTCTAGCAAATGGTTTCTGGAAGCACTGGGCCACGAAGGACTCAATAATCTTCTTGCCGCATATTCTGACAAGTCTGCTCAAGCTGTGTGCACGTTTGCCTATTGTGAAGGTCCTGGCCATGAGCCCATTATCTTCCAAGGTCGGACGGACGTAGGTTCCCATCCCGACACAAACTATGTTGCTGCTCACAATTCATAGGGCAAGATAGTACCAGCACGAGGTCCTACCAATTTCGGTAAGCTATCAGTTATAGCCTTCCTTCCTTCAATTGCTCACTGTTGTAGGGTGGGATCCAATCTTCGAGTATGAGGGTCAGACGTAAGTCGAGATCTTTCTGCTTCCCAAGTTTTTCCACTGACCTACATAGGTATGCGGAAATGGATAAAGTCGAGAAGAACAAGATCTCCCATCGATTCCGAGCACTAGAGAAGCTGAAGAAATGGCTTCAAGACTCCTAGAGTGACAGAGAATGTATTCCATAGACGTAGACCGCGGTTTATTGAGCTTTTGCAGCATTGTCCTTTTTCCACTGCTTGATCCACCCTTCAATACGCTCAACATTGCTCTCCATCTCATCGGACGTATTGCTCGTGAGCTCGACGACTATCTCCTCATCGTATGAATCCCTCGCCTCTTGCAATAGAACTTCCATGATCTCCGAGTCTAAATTCTCCTGTAGTTTGGCTTCTGGGTACTCTCTGTGCCTGGTCAGCTCGGATGTATCAGACAGCAGGTTCATGAAATGTACCTTGCTTTCAATCGATCGTATAAGAGGGTTGAGTCCACGCGCAGCACAACCACCAAGTCGATCCAGCTTTTCGGAAACAGGTCGCATGCGTGCCAATCGATAATATAACCTCCCTGCTTCACCTCATCTTCTATCGCGTCTAGTAGCTGTTTGAATTAGAATGTGTTGCTGGTGCGGGGGCAAGAATACAAACCTTGTCTTCGTCTACAATCCAGCTCTTGAACTCATCGTCGTAGCCATCGTGACAACCCCGCTCCTTCACGACATTGTTTATGGAGAGATGCTTTAAGCCAGTACTTTCTGCAAGACTCTCGCAGTGAGTAGTCTTACCTACTCCTGGAGTTCCAGTGACAATGATATTTGGTTGAGATCTCATCGTTTGAAGTTCGAGGTGCTGTGTTTTCCTGAGCGTCAAAAATATTTTTTTACCCCAGTTCGGCTTATCGATAACAGACTTGGAGTGCGAGGGACAAGAATGCGGGGAGATGGGACGAGATGAGATGAGGATATGATGAGGCTCAAAGTCAATGAATGATAATAGGTCACTCAACAAGTATTTTGTTTGTTAAATTGTCTCATTCATAATCGCATTGGAGTATTAATGCTTCTTCTACTCCATGCATGCTTCCGAATCCTCCAGATGAGGCAGTAGAAGTTGGCCTTTCACTGTCCGATTTCCTGAAATCAACGCCAATTACAAAATTGTACAAAGTACAATGCACTAGATATCTCCTGTGCAATCATTCAACAATAACAAGTCTCGCATTAGACATGAGATATACGCTAACAAGGGAGACGTTCAATATGCAAGAGGTCTGTGGAAGCTAATGGCAGCATATCTTCGTCCAGGACATCGAGAGAAAATGGTACAAGAGAAGCGAATGAGGTAGCAGATTGCATGATGATGTGGGTTTCCAGGGTGATTTAGGCGCCATTGAGTTCGCTGTCTGTGAGATCGTTGGTATCTTCCTGTGAGTACTCGAGTTTCTCCTGCTGAGCGATGGCTTGTGCCGAAACGATCTCTGCCAGACGTTTCAAGCGTGGTGTTTGAAGCCCTGAGGATGGATCAATTAGCGTTCTAGGCAGGTAAGGGGGCTCGACTTACAAGATGGGGTGTAGGTTTCCAACGCCGTGATGATACGGGGCTCGGCAATCTCATAGGGTCCGCTGTCATCCATGTCCACTGCGGTGAGAAGGAGCACATCACTCTTCTCTGTAACACGAGACGCAACAGCTTTCATGATCTCCCCATTGATGGGCTGTTCATAATCGGCGACAAGGTATTGGTTGAGTAGCTTCTGGATCTGGTTGGGGGACAGCCTGTAATCACATTAGTCAAGGACTCATAGCAACGTATGAATCAATACTTACATCCAGCAAATATCTTGAATGATCTCAATGTCATTCAGTGTAGCTTTCTTCAATTGAAGCAGCTTCGTTGCTTGCTATAGAACTGTTAATAGAAGGTTCTCTAGGGTCTGTTGTGACAGTAGAAACCTACCATAAGATGCTCCAGCTGAAGTGTACCCTCGGGCATGTCATGGCTTTTGCACCACTCCTCGATGCGAGTAATGTTATAGTTGATTTGAAGACCACGCTTCCAAGAGAGGAAATTCCTTCGCATCAGCAGATCGTTGAATGCAGTCACTCCGACCAATCTCAAGAGCTCAGTGATTGTCTGAACGATTATGGAGTCCTCAAGATAGTATGCCTTCATTGCCTTGAAGACATTGTTGAGCAAGCTCAGCAGATTGTCCATGCTGTAGGCTGGGGCGGAGTTGCTTTGGAGAAGTTTGCCCAAGAATCGATTGCTTTCGTTGGTTACGAAACCCGGCAGTGACTGAGACTCGATGATAGCTGGAATGATCATCTTTTGGAGCTTCTTCTTGAGGACTTTCATCCAGGTATGATAAATGTTAAACTCCAGGCTCTCGAGATCGTGCTTCACAATCTCCAACAATCGATCGTACTCATAGTTGTCGGTCTTTTGGGTCTCGTACCAGTCTTCCGCGAGGAAGACGAAGGAGAGCATCTCGTGAACATTCGAGAGCCAGAAGGCACCTGGATTGATAGCTTCTTCGCCCTCATGCTGCATGACTTCTTGTTGTATCGATTGCATGACGTTTGCGAGGAATCTCTCCGACTCCTTGACGAACCCATTGTTCCACATTTCTGAAGTCACCAGATTGATCAAGTATGATGGGAACAAAACTTCCTTGTCAGTCGGAGGTGGAGTGCTTCCAGGAGCTGGGATCTTGAGGTTGCGGATTAAGCCCATGGTGACCTCGTCATTGAGGCCATCCTCGTCGGCCAGTAAGTTCTCAAGCTCAAATTCAATGTTGTCAACACCCGGAATGAACCCAGAGCCTGGGAGTCCTGGGCGGTGCAAATTGGTGCCTGTGACAGCCATAGAGACAGGACGAGGATTGAAAGCCGCGCTGAATCGATCAATTTCACGTGGTTCAGCACCTGCACTGCGTCTCTTCGGTTTCTTAGATGAAACCAAGTTGATGAGACCATTTTGCTGGGGTTGTGCGGCTGCGCCGTTGGTAAGCTCGCCATTCGTGGGCATGGCCGGAACCACACGTTTCGCAAGCTCGAGCTGGTCTTGCAAGTCAGCGAGTTGTTGTCGGAGAGTGACGGTCTCAGCTTCATGGAAGGAACTGTTTCGCTTTGTCTGCTCGAGCTCTTGCGAAGACACCCTGAGGGATTCGCGAAGCTCCTTTTCTTCTTCTTGCAAGCGTTTGATATTGGCGGTTGACTCGTCGAAACTCGAGCGTAAGGTCTTCATCTCCTCTTCCATGGCGGCCAAGCGAGCTGCTGCAATGCCAGCCTGGTTAGCCTCGCCCTGGAGTTCTTTTGAACGCGTCTCAAGAGCGTTGTGTCTATTCTTCCAGGACTTGATTTGATTCTCGTAGTTCTCAACCTGGCTGAGCAGAGTTTTGTTCTCTCTCTTCATGCTTCCCAGTGATTGGGTGAGCTCAACCACCTTATTCTCCAACTTGTAAGAAATCTGCTTGAGATCGCGCGCCTCTTCTCGGACCTTCTTGTAGCCACGTCGGGCAGTCTTGCCTCTCCACAGACTTTGGATGATCACAACCTTGCGCCTGTATTGCCTCCAACTCTTCATTTGCCGTCTTGAACGCCAGACTCGTTGTATCAGAACAGCAGCATTGCCCAGACGAGTGTCCATGATCTCTCTCCTTCGCAAGAAACCCTTCGCTGCTGCTTGTGCCTGTATGACATTGTTGCGGATGGCGTTGAAACTTTTGCGTTGCTTCTGGCCACGCCAAACTCTCTGAATTGTGGTAGCAGCTTTGATTTTGCGGATTTCTTGAGCTCGCTTCCGTGCGAGATGCCCTCTGGTGAACGATTGAAAGGTGAGAATGGCGTTTCTCGCGTCCAAGTACTTCCGGCGATAATACTTTGCCTTGAGATTCTTCTGGATCATGATGGCACAATCGTTGAGACGATTCGTGCGAAGGTTCTCAAGGAACGCTAGCATACCAGCCCTGAAGAAGATTTTGGTTAAACCCAGTTGGTACTTGTCGAGCCCTTGGCCATTGCTGGTACCAAGCGCTTTTGTGAGGATCTTGTTTGCCATGTCTCTGATCTCCGATGTCCATGATGCTGACGGGACAAGCATGTAATATCTCAGCGCAAATTCTTCATACGTCCACCTGGTAGGGTAACCAGCACAGCTGATTCTCACGGTTTCCAGTACACCACACGCTCTCAACTGACTAAGTACCATGGGTCCCTCGAAGACCCATGATTCCTTGCTCTCGTTTGGCTTGATACATCTGATGTAATGGACGTCTGTATTGTTTATCGTGTGCATCAGCTCGATCAGTGAGGATTTGAAAATGCCCCCGAGAGTGGGCTTTCGATTCACAGCAACACCAATTCTTCGGCCAGCTGCGGGTTTCACTGCTGCGGATGCGGCAGAAGCAGTGTCCTTTTCTCTGACTGCTGATGCTGCGTCCAGCACTTGTCCCAGAAATTTGTTCGAGGATGCTCTCAACACGGCCATGTGTTCATCAGGCACAGTGTCACGGTTCTTGTCGATGAAACCATCCGATTCGTAGGTAACATCGATAGCGTAATGGCAAACTGTAAAAGCAGACTTCCCGAAACGCGGCTTCTTATAAAATTTGTTCTTATCTGCAGCGTAGTTGTGGTGGAGCTTGGTGACAAATTGCTCATCTGAACCCATTGGAAGCCTAGATTCTTCATCCAAGAGGGACAGAATACCAAGTTTTCCTTCAATCAGATCGATACATGGCTGATTGTCCGAGAAATCGATGAAAGTCCAATCGATCTGCTCTTTCAGATACTCTTCTTGTTCCAGCTTGAAGACGTGGGCGTTGAACTCTTGTTGCAATTTCTCGTTGGCATAGTTAATACAAAATTGTTCGAATGAATTCTTGGCGAAATGTTCGAAGCCGTAGATATCCAGGACACCGATGAAAGACTTGACCCTGCTGAGAACCTCCTCCGTAGCTAAGGCATGATTGATATTTTCTACCAACCAATCGAAGAGACTTGAATAGACGAATTTGGCGACGGAATCACGAACAACAATAGCCTGCTGTTGGGTCAAGTTCGATGTAATCTTTTCTCCTCTTGTAATCAGTTGCTTCTTCACCGTCCACTTCGCAAACTCCACCGGATCAACGCCAAGTATGGCAGTGGCTTTTTGTAGAGACGGCTCTGTTGGTGTAAGAACAGAATCCGTCCTCGATGCAGTAATATTGACATTACCAAGGTGGAGTAAGGCGGCAAGGAGCTTGAATATTTCGGACTGTTCACTGGTAGTGACACCTATTGTTGACAACGACTTCTTCAGAGCTTCAAATTCGGCCTTGTCATCGACGCCATCGATGGTTGGGGAACTTCCTTGATTCAGATAGTTGAACTGCTCCGCCGGTAAGAGGTCCAATTCCAGGCGTTCAGCATCTGATGCTCCAGCAACGAGCTGATAGAAAATGTGGTAATTTCGTTCCTTTAGCGGTTGGAAGACCAGTCTCGATCGTTCCAACAAGTATGTCCGAATCTTGGCACCAATAATGCTTGTTGTATCGTCGAACATGATTTCGATGTATTTTCCAAATCGAGAGGAGTTGTCGTTTCGAGTGGTCTTTGCGTTACCAAATGATTCCATGATCGGGTTGGTAGCAAGAATCTGTTCTTCCGTTTCACTCATCGAATCTGCCCCTCGTCTCCTTGTCCCAGGCTGGTCTGGAGATTCTCTGGTAGCAAAATACCGCATTATATATTTGGCACTGACAGTCTTCCCAGCTCCGGATTCTCCTGAAACTACGACTGTCTGGTTCTTCCCGCTTCGCAGCATATCACTATCCCTTCTTAGCAGCATATTCCGCAAGAGTTTAAGGAAATGGCACATACGCAAAGGCTTCCTCAGCAATAGCAAACAGATGGGGCGCTTGCGTTGCTCTCTGTTTTCCTGCATAAACCTGTACCATGCCAGGGACATATAAGGAATCCACTCGTGCAAAGGGATTTGTGGCTATTAGTACGATTCCACTGTAGGTGTAGATTTCCTTCTGGGAGTATCGGAGTCGAATGGCTTGGAGCACTGTGTACAACACTCAGTATCAACCTCAAAGTAGAAGTAGATGGGGACCTACCTGCAGGTTCATTGAGATGTGAAAGATTCGTCAGATCATCGCTGGCTTCAAGCATCGTAGGATTCATCAATGGTGGGAGTTTCGAGTTGTTTGAGTCTGCTAGAGCTTCTTCTGTAGTCTCTATCGATTTCGTCTGCAAGCATCACCAGTGTCAGCTTCGGCGGAATCACAGAGTCACGGCCGGAATGCCATGGAGCTTTGAGTGTCAGACCTCGCCGTTTGCCAGTGTGAAAACCAGTGTAATTTTGTCCCCATTCGCAACCTTCGAGGTCACCTCGGAAGCCACCCATCCCTCTGTGGCATCCGGCTGCCACGCTTTCGTGCCGACATCATAGCTGTGCGCCATCTATGCTGTGTTGATGGGAAGACGCAACTCCGTTCTGGACACTCTTCGACGACGGGCAGGACGATCCGGGAGCGACAGCTGCAGAATCAGCCTGCATGAACAAGACGCGAGTTGGGAAAGCAGGGAAAGAGCGAGATTTCAAGTGACGATAAGCCGTTGTTCGGGGCTTCGTGGGCCGCGGTCGTGGATAGAGAATTGTGAATGAGAGAGGAAGAAAATGTCTTGTTGAATATTCCGTGAGGTCCAAGCCGCGTTGTTACTCGAGTGGCAGGGGTGTCATAATAACGAATCCCGTAATAGGGGTATTTTGTAGCTGAGGGTCTGAGAGTGCGTCTAAGAACTTTTCAGTTCCTGGAGATTCATGCGACATGCGAGCGAGCCTTCTCTTGCAATGATCTGATCTGATCTGATCCATGGAACACGTCTTCTGCTACGTATCCGCGCGCTTACCGCTCATCTGAGGACGAGGAGAGTCAATAATTACACCGCCGAAGGTTATATTTGTTTTACTTGGTGAGGTGCAGCTATCTGTTATCTTCACGTGGCGCACGCAAGCTAGGTAGGTACAGTACGCCGTACGCCGTCCAGCGCAGTCCCGGCATGTGCAACCAAAACACTGACTGGCTCACTCTTACCGACTGTGCAGCTGAAGCCGAGAAGGGGGCGCCGAAGGTTGCGCTCACTCCTGCACTCCCGGACAGTTATGTTTAGCCCTTCCAGATGTCCCAAGCCTTCTGGGCCAATCATGCAGACGCCTGAAGATCCATGAACGGTACGTCAGAGTGCCACAGAAGGAGGAGACCAACAGAGTATCCACGACGACTGTACTGCGAGCTAACGGCAACTTTAGATGGTGAGATACTGGGTGACTTCACACAGCCACCAATCCTTCCACATGCCAGTTCTCTTCAGCCGATTCACTCCGCAAAGAGTAGACACATGATTCCTATTTGGGATCTTTGTATCATCTGCCGGTTATGCATTTATCTTGTGTACTCATGAAGAGCTTCTCTAACCAAATTCACTACCTCTTATGTTGAAGGGATTCCGGTCCCCCTGCGCCGCCCACGCCTTGTTGAATGCTAGAAAGACAGCCACTCTTAGATCCCATTTTGTTAGAAAACGTATTGCCCACATCTACCTAGTAAAGGACCCGTGTCATGATACGAGCTATGTTTGTCAGTACCGAAGATAGAGTTGGAGCAGGTCCCACTTACACGGCAAAGCTTCCAAACTTTCAAATATTTCCTTGATCTCGGTCGGGCTGACATCACTGACATCAGCCATCAAATAGGCAACATCTCCTTTGTTGTCAGTGATTTGCTTGTCAACGTTGTGGTCTCCAAGAATTTCATTGACTGGCACCATGATCAGTACTTATTATGTCTTCAAACTTGTTTTGTGAGTAATACCTTTTCTCAAGACACCAGGAACGTTGTGATGGATATAAATGACCTAGGGAAGTTAGCTTTTGCAATATCTTTAGGGATATTTGTACTCACTCTTGCATGGTTTTGTTCATCCGACATAAGTGATCGAAGGTTGACTTCGGGCAGATTTACAGCTCCAAGAGTAACTCCCGAATTGACATATCTGACTAGTGCATCGCCAACTACCTATCGTCAGCAAGTTAATAAGGGTCGGTGCGAATGCTTTACCTTCTACTCCAATGGCGCGCTGGGCCTCCTCAGTACTACCTCCGATGTGAGGGGTGAGGATGATGTTCTTGAGACTGCGAAGATCTTCTGCCCATGCGTTGAGGCTGTTGGTGAAATAATCACCATTTCCACCAGGCTCACTTGGATAGACGTCCAAAGCAGCGCCAGCAATCTTGCCATTACGCATGGCATTGATCAAGGCTGGAATATCGACAACAGTACCTCGGCTCGCGTTGATAAGATAGCTCCCTTCCTTCATCTGCTCAAATTGAGTGACTGAAATCATATTCTTGGTCTCGGGAAGCTCTGGTACATGGCAAGTTACAAAGTCCGCTTGGTTGAGCAGAGCATGTAGTGTCGGGACTTGTCTTGCTGTTCCGAGTGCCATTAAGTTAAGGACATCGTAGTAGATGACTGACATGCCCATCGCCTCTGCCAAAACGGACAATTGAGAGCCAATGTGACCATAACCAATTATGCCTTTGTCACTCGTCAGTATTAGATATCTCTGATAGCTTCCTGACTTACGTACCCAAAGTTTTCCCACGGATTTCCCAGCATTTGGCGCTGACCTTGTTCCAGGTTCCCTTGTGGAGCTCATTTGAGCGGTCCCCAAGTTGACGGGCAAGAGAAATAACCTCGGCGATGACCAACTCTGCCACGCTCCTGGAATTGGCAAAGGGGGAGTTGAAGACTGCAATACCATGGTTGGCGGCATATTCAAGGTCGACTTGGTTTGTTCCGATGCAAAAGCATCCGACCACAATCAAGTGCTTTGCTTCACGAAGGACATTTTCCGAGAGCTTAGTCTTTGATCGAATGCCAATAACATGAACATCTCTGTGATATGTTGTCAGCTAGTGCCTCCTACTGGGCCATAATAGAAGTGCGAACTTGATCTTCTCAATGAGCTCTGCCTCTGGCAAGGAAGACTTCAATGCCTCTACATGGTAGCCCTGGTCTCTCAACAATTGCTGCCCGCTTTGATTGACATTCTCCAACAGAAGAATCTTGATGTCCTCCGCAATGAAAGGTTTTAGAATCTTCGGTCTCGTGGTAGTTCTGGAAAGAGGAGCCCCGAAGAAGTTTGATGGCGAATGCAGAGTATTGGGATTGGAGTAAGTGGCGGTAGGGGAGGTCGATGTAGTGACACTCAGTGAATTGCTCAGCGTTCTAGCAAGCCCATTGACAGTCTTGACTGTGGGAATATCCTTCGCAGCTGAACCCATGTTGCTGGTTTGAGAAAAGGACCAAAAGAATCAGTTCGTGAAACGTCTTTTCGGTTTGTGACTCAGGTTCGTTGGTTTTATGACGCGATGGCAAGCAAGGCTGAGAAATGAAAATTTCGCAAGGCTGGTTAGAGGGGCGCTTCGGAGCACAAGTTTCGGCGAGAATGGAAAAGGCCCCGAATCAGAAACGTAAGATTTTAATGTGCCAGGGGATAACCTAGGTAGTGAGTGAGTGTTTCCAATAGGCGTGATAGGATACTGTCATGGTTACGGAACTCTGGTATGTGCCCTACAGCTGTGGTCGACTCTCAGGATGTTGCAGGTACAACCCCGCCAATCATTCACATGCATGTGACACGACGAGTTTTTTTGCACAACTTTTCAATTTGACATCTACGGAGAACGCCCCCGATATTTGCAAGAAAAAAGTGATGCAGGACAACTACGAAAGCAGAGCATGCCTCGAGAGCTGATTAGACTAGTCTAGTAGAGAAAAAAGCTTTCCTTCATGCATGTAGAAAAAACCGATGCGTTGTTACCCCAAAGGATTTATGCGCCAAAGTATTTCCACGTGTAAACGCGGACTCGATGTGGCTCGACGGGTCAAAGAGTGACTGGCCGGGAAGGTCTGAATGTTCGGACATGGGTTTGACTGAAGGTTTAGCTTTGCTTGCACTCAGCAGCCTCCTGCTTAGGTTTCGCCGCATCATCCTAGAAATTGATTAGCATAGGAGCAGACACAGTGCTGTAGGAAGAGCTACTAACATCCTCATCAGATTCATCCTCGTCATCATGGTCCTCGCTGGCATCGTCTTCCTCATCATCTTCGTCCTCAAAGTCACCCTCCTCCATGTCATCGTCCAACTCCTCAAATTGCAAAGCCTCGCCAGTGAACCAATCAATGGCACGGGGGATGAGCTTCTCCTTGATATCCTCACCCAATTGATAATCAAGCTCAAGGCGTTCTTCAATATCAGATGCAGCATCGTCGTCATCCTCATCCGTGGGAGCCTTAGGAGGCGAGAAGAAGTTGAAGAACGATTCGGTTGGGACAGTCTTCTTTACAACCCGAGTCTGCTTGGTGTCTAGAATGGGAATTAGACATGTTCTCGCTTAGGTAACAGACACTTACTCTTGTTTCGTTGCTTCTTGCTCTCGATCCGGACGGTCAGATCCTTGCCACTCTTCCACTCAATCTTGTCACCTTCAGCATGATCGTAGATAAAGTCTCCACCGTAACCACTCTCGTTCTGATAGAAGTAGGTCTTTGTGATTGTCTTGTTTGCGAAGAATTCGTTCTCAGCAAACTCGAAGATCAGTCGGAATCCAGGCTTATCGAGATACTCCATGCGGACGTCGGTAAGATCCTTGAGGGCAGCCTCATCTCTGTCGGTAATCATCTCGGCCAGAGAGACCTGATTCTTCATAGCAGAAAGCCAGAACTCAGGGATACCCTTGACATCAGATGGCTCTTCTGACTTTTCTGCGGGCTCCGCCTCATCTTGCTCCTCGTCCTCCTCTCCAGATTTGATTTCCTCAGCAGTGGGTTCAGCTGCACCATTAACGATCTTGGCTCGCTTTTGATATAACGGTGTGAACTTGGCGAAGTACTTCTTCTCCAACTCCAGAACCTCCTCCTGAAACTCAGCCTCTAATTTCGAGTGTTCCTTTTGCACGCCCTTGAGACCCGCGACGCGACGACGAACAGGTGCGGGGAGGGACTCGACATAGCCTGAGGATCGGCCAACGAGAGATCCGAGTTTGCCTTGAATCATCTGGACGAGCTTGGGGTTTTGGGCGAAGATGGATGCAGCGGCAGCACGGTCGAACTCCTCTGGTACAAAAATTTAGTGACTTGCCGCGAATTTCGGTGAGGGGCAATATTGAAGTATTCACCTTCCTTGATCGTTCCGACGCCAGGTTGCTGAGCGTGGGAGGATATGGGAGCATTGTTCATGGGAGTATTTTGCGGAGTACTGCGCACGATGAAATATTAGTTATCACATATTTTGTTGATTGTGGGGTTAGGTATTGGGGGCTTACGGAGCGGTTTGGGAATTTTGTTTTCTTGGAATTTCAGACATCGTGACGGTGGTCGTTGAGTAGACGCAGAGGGGAAGCGGGTGCAATGTATTTTCTGGAGACTGCGGCTTCAATCGTTCGCGACGATGGCCAGGAGGAAGAGGTTGAAAAGCGGCAAAGAAAGTTGAGATTGAGGGAGGATACCTTAGGCGCGCCTCAACGTAGTGGGATTTTTTGAAGGTGGTGCACTAGTCAAGCAACTTTACCGACCCACTTTTCGAGCCTCCCCAAAGGAAATCTGCAATGCAAGACGCAACGTAGAGCTTCCTTTCAATCTGCACGCGGACAGAGCGTGTCAGTCTCTGCACAGGAATGGACGAATCCAACGGGATGCCCATTGTGGGTGCACGGCGGAACAGGTCGCGGAGCAATGGCGCTGCAAATGGACATACCGGGCCCTTATACAGGAGGGACTCCAATATGTCGACCTCAAGCTTCCTGGACGAGGTGGAAATGGCGCAAGACGAGATGTTTGCGGGCCCAATGGGCGAAAGTGTCCCTACGAGCGTCTCCTCTTTTGCCCATCGACGCGGCAGAGCCGATTCCACCACCAGCTTTACATACTACCAGGAGGACGAGGATGAACCCCTCCCACCCTCTGAGGACGATAGTGCTATCTTGGATGATGAGTCCGAGTTGAATTTTGAAGGGGATGAATCCACAGATCTGGAAGCCGGAGAACTATCTACTATGCGAAGAAGTTCATCTGGAGTTTCTCGAGGTTCTGTTCATGATCGGTTGCTCAGAAGTGACAGTGCAAGGACAGACGGCAGTACTCTGGGGCGTGGACACCGTACCAGCCAGAAGATATACATTGTTACAGAAGATCTCACAATTGTTGTTGCAGGATTCCGAACATCGGCTGTGGGATTTGCGATGTACGCGACAATTTGCATTTTCACTCTGGGGTTGGGATATCTTCTCTTCCGTTGGGTACCTCGTTGGCAGGTGAATATCATCGGAGTTCCATGTCCATTGCGAAACTGTTCATGGGTTGTCATTGAGGTATGTTCCATTAGATGCCTAGTGGCGCTCTCTAGACTTTCTAGAAGTCTGTCCATTATATGATACTGGTGATTAACTGTCGTAGAATCAATGGGGAGAGTTCGTAACCCAGGAGGTGGAATCCAAAGAATATGGACGCTCTCTATCCACTGTATTTGGAACTTCTGAAAAGCGTTATATCATGTCCTACGATGAGGATGACGATCCTGTACTTGAGGACCTTAAGATTCTAGATTATCGCTACATGCGATTTGCTTTCCATCCTCTGAAGGACAGATTTATGCTGAGCAACAGCTGGAAAGATCCTGCCTGGACTGACGTGAAGAGTATAAGAGCGGGTATTGATGGGGATGAAAAGGAGAACCGAGAACTAGTGTTTGGCAAGAATCTGATTGATATCAAACAGAAGACGATCCCGCAACTACTCGTTGACGAGGTCTGTAGTTTATTCCATCGCCTATAATACCCTGCTCACACAATTAGGCATTCCATCCATTCTATGTTTTTCAAGTTGCCAGTCTAGTCCTCTGGTCTCTGGATGAGTATTACTACTACGCCGCCTGCATTTTCCTGATCTCAGTCGTCAGCATCACCACAACCTTACTAGAAACACGATCTGTGAGTACGTTTCTATAATAGTGATCTGCAAAGTTCCTAAGTTTCCTCCTAGACAATGAAAAGACTTCGAGAGATATCAAGGTTCGAATGCGACGTGCGAGTGCTGCGAAACTCTTTCTGTAAGCATCTCACTTAGCTACTCTCACTTCAATAGCTCATACTCATAGGGCGTTATGTTCCTTCGAGTGAACTCGTTCCTGGAGACGTGTATGAAGTCACGGACCCTGCTTTGACACAATTTCCGTGTGACAGCATATTGCTGGCTGGCGATTGCATCGTGAACGAGAGTATGCTTACTGGTGAGTTCTAACCTAATGGCTACACGCAAGAATTAAACTCATCATTGTAGGCGAATCTGTGCCCGTATCTAAAGTTCCTGCGAACGATGAATCACTTCGTGCTTTGAATCTTGCCGCCTCGTCAATAGCACCCGAGCTTGCTAGACATTTCCTTTTCTGTGGTACTAAGATCATTCGTGCGAGACGACCTCAGGACGATAAAGATGACGAGGCTGTGGCACTTGCTATGGCGGTACGAACTGGCTTCAATACCACCAAGGGTGCACTTGTTCGGTCCATGCTCTTCCCGAAGCCCTCTGGCTTCAAATTCTACAGAGACTCCTTTCGGTACATCTCCGTTATGGGAGGCGTCGCCATGTTGGGTTTCGTGGCTTCATTCATCAACTTCGTCCGCTTGAGACTAGCATGGCATTTGATCATCGTCAGGGCACTTGACTTGATCACAATTGTTGTTCCTCCAGCCCTTCCAGCGACGCTGACTATTGGGACGAATTTTGCATTGTCTCGGCTGAGAAAGAAACAAATATTCTGTATTAGTCCCCAACGGGTCAATGTTGGTGGCAAGCTTGACATCATTTGCTTCGACAAGACCGGAACTCTCACTGAGGATGGCTTAGACGTGCTTGGACTCCGGGTGGCACAACGACCTTCGAATCGTTTCAGTGAGATTCTACCAGATGCGTTGTCTCTCCTACCAGGGGCAGCTTACGAGCGAGATCCCACAATTGAATATGACGCTCACAAAGCAGCACTGTACACGATGGCCACTTGCCATTCCTTGCGTGTCGTGGATGGCGAGCTTGTTGGGGATCCGCTGGATGTGAAAATGTTCGCTTTTACAGGCTGGTCATTTGAGGAAGGCGAGCAGGGAGGTGCCGACATTGAGGAAGAGGAACAGGGTGACCTCTCTCCGTCTATTGCACGTCCTCCTGCTGGTATGGAATACGACCTGGACGACAACGACACCGCGCAAGGTTCAGGCGTGAGTCCGCTTCCTGATAAACCTTGAGCTTGCTAACATAACATACAGAGATCTCCTATCGAGCTTGGTGTCCTGAAGACATTCGAGTTTGTATCCCAATTACGGAGAGCAAGTGTGATTGTTAGGAATTTCGGTTCCCCAGGCTGTGATGTTTACGTCAAAGGCGCACCTGAATGCATGAAAGATATATGCAGAGTAGGGAGCTGTAAGTCTGATCCGTTATGCGTGTCAAATTTTATTGCCGCCTGCTGACTGAAATGATACAGTTCCCGTTGACTACGAAGAGCTTCTCGCCTACTACACACATAGGGGCTTCCGAGTTATTGCTTGTGCCACCAAACATATCGCCAAAATGAACTGGGTTAAGGTCCAAAAGATGAAACGAGATGAGGCAGAATCAGGGCTGGACTTCATTGGGTTCATCATTTTCGAGAACAAATTGAAATCCAGTACAGCAGGTGTACTCGACGAGCTCTCCCAAGCCGAAATCAGAAAGGTTATGTGCACTGGTGACAACATCCTCACAGCTATCAGCGTTGCACGCGAATGCAATTTGATCGATAAATCCGCACATTGCTTTGTGCCCCATTTTGCTGAAGGTAAGTTCCAATCGTACCGATGCTATACTGCTTTTTCGGCTGACCTGTAATCTGCAGGCGACTGTCAAGATCCCAAAGCACGCATAGTATGGGAAAGTATAGATAACAACATTTTCACCCTGGATGAGCACACTCTTACGGTAGGGTGCCCGCTTTTGTCCAACTTCCATGACTGACTTTCGTAGCCGTTACCTCCACCAGCGGAAGGAGATGCGTCTCTACCATATGACATCTCGAACTTGCGAAATTATTCCTTGGCAGTCAGTGGCGATGTGTTTCGCTGGATTATTGACTTTGCTCCTCCCGAAGTATTGCAAAGGGTTCGTATCCTCACTACCTTTCTAAAGTCTATATACTTACAGTTTCAGATGCTTGTTTGCGGACAAGTCTTTGCTCGCATGTCTCCAGATGAGAAACATGAACTAGTCGAGAAACTGCAAAGCATCGACTACTGTTGTGGATTCTGCGGGGATGGCGCCAACGACTGCGGTGCCCTCAAAGCAGCGGACGTTGGAATCTCTCTTTCAGAAGCTGAAGCGTCTGTCGCTGCGCCTTTCACGAGTCGTGTGTTCGACATTACATGTGTGCCGGAAGTAATACGGTAAGAGCTCCTTCTCCATGCTTTCAAATTATTAATAAATAGTGCAGGGAAGGTAGAGCTGCATTGGTCACAAGTTTCAGCTGCTTCAAGTACATGAGTCTCTACTCGGCTATACAGTTCACATCTGTGAGCTTCCTCTACGCATCTGCATCGAATCTAGGCGATTTCCAAGTAAGCTTGCTGTGAAAATATAGCTCAAGTTAGTCACTAATAATAACAGTTCCTTTTCATTGACCTTCTCTTGATCCTTCCTATTGCCATCTTCAGTGAGTAGTCTCAATGCTCCCAAATTGCTCGACACTTACATCGAAACAGTGGGGTGGACTGGACCATTCCCTGTTTTGTGCCGCAAACGACCAACTGCCAACTTGGTATCGAGAAAAGTGTTGACCCCCTTACTTGGACAAATTGCCATCTGCATATTGATCCAGGCGGTTGGTTTCGAAGCTGTTCAAAAGCAATCTTGGTTTGTTGCGAGATAGCTCGTCTTTCGCATCCTTACTGACATTTTCAGGTACATACCACCTCACCTTGATAGAGAAAAGTCGAATATCACGAATTCCCAAAACACCACATTGTTTCTGGTATCCTGTTTTGAATACATCCTCTCGGGAATAGTATTGAGCGTTGGACCACCATTCCGTCAATCCATGGCACACAACTGTAAGCCCTATATTTGACAAAAATGTTATGAATTTCCGCTGATTTTCTACAGTGCCTTTTGTTGTCACCATTGTTGTGGCTCTGCTCTTCACCTCCTACATGCTCTTTGACCCCTCAGAGTCATTCGCGAGATTCATGCAATTGACGCCGATGAGCTGGGATTTCAAAACCTTCATTCTAGTCCTTGGTGCCGGGTACATCGCTCTCGCTTGGACAATGGAGAATTATATGTTTCCACGGCTGGCGAAGTATCTAGGCATCCTGAAGACTGCAATTATGAGAACGCCGAAGAAGAGAAAAACCTATAAGCTCGTCTTGGAGGAGATGAAGGCTTTCCAATAGCTTTCTTTGTATATATGTGTAGAATACAATAGACAACGTATATCACGTTTAGATACCCGAATATTACTGTAAAGTGAACGTTGAGAGAATGACGTAGATGCAATATTTTGAGGTTGTCGTGGTTTTAGTACGGTAAGCGATAGGTCGAGGCTATGATGATACACCGCGCTTTGGTCTCAAACTTCAAACAATCAAGACACTTCACTCATCCATCACGTTCTCTCGATCGTCCTTTTCTAATTGCTCAGTGGTTATTCACATCGAGAAAACTTTCGGAACTGTGATCATGAATTATGGTAGAATTCATAATCCATTGTCACGAACAATAACTAATGGTTCCAGATTGGATACTCGATGGGGGCTACCTTCCCCATGCTGTGATCCGCATTGGGATTCGGCGCCAGCTCCGAGACCGTATTGAGATCATCAAAAGTACTTCTCTTGAAGAGTCATACAAGCGTAAGATGAAATACGTCGAGCTTCTCCGCACCCGTCCCATTGCCATTGAGACAGCAACGGCGAACGAGCAACATTATGAAGTCGGCACGGGGGTCCTTCAAGCTTGCCTTGGACCTAGAATGAAGTATTCCAGCTGCCTATACCCGAAAGGTAGCGAGACTCTTGCCCAGGCTGAAATTGCGATGTTGGAGACCTACGTGGAGAAAGCACAATTGAAGGATGGCATGAGTATATTAGATCTCGGGTGAGTTTAAGTTCAGGCTTACTTCGTGCTCTAACCATTGCTAAACCAAGTTTAGTTGTGGTTGGGGATCTGGAGCTCTGTACTTTGCTGAGGTTCTTCCAAACTCCAAGGTCACAGCATTCTCGAATTCAAGGACGCAGAAGATATATATTGATTCCAAGGCTAAAGAAAAGGGTCTCACCAATTTAACTGTCATCACCGGCAATATCGTTGATTATGAGTTTGAGAAGGACAGTTTTGACAGGGTAGTCTCGATCGAGGTAAGTCTCCATGCGCATACTGGTTTGTCTTGCGACTAGGTATTGATCTTTCTAGCTTTTCGAGCACATGAAAAACTACGAACTTCTTATGGCTAAAATCTCAAGAGCCCTGAAACCTTCTGGGAAGCTCTTTGTCCATATCTTCAGTCACAAGACCTCGCCATATGATTTTGAAGACGGCTGGATGAGCACACACTTCTTTTCTGGAGGGACAATGCTTTCAGCGGATCTTCTACTTTACTTCCAGCGAGATCTGAAGCTAGAGACCCAATGGTGGGTTTCAGGCAAGCACTATGCCAAGACCTGCGAGGTACGTCCCCATGCCCCACTCCTTACACTCACTCATCATTGGCACAGGACTGGCTATCAAAAATGTGTGGCAGCAAAAAGGAAATTTGGCCACATCTCACCGAGACCTATGGTGAGAAAGATACGGCCATGTGGTACTATAGATGGCAGATCTTCTACATGGCGTGTGCCGAGCTGTTTGCGTATGAGGGTGGTGATACTTGGGGCGTATCTCATTACTTATTTGAGAAGCCCGCCTCTAATTAGAACACTTAGAACACTAGATCATAGATAGTACCTCAAACTCGATGGGCTCTGGATTCATTGCTCCTTCTTAGTATATGTACAGTGCCCTAGTCTCTAAAGCGAACCACTCCTTTCAATCGAGAACCGTCTGGCCATGCCTGTAGTTGTGAACGTCCGAGTCTCCGCTAGCATATCCATTTACCTCGTCCTCAGGAATTCGTAATTCAATGATCCCAAGGATGCTTCCAACCTAACAACGCGGGGCCTGCTAAATTGTCAGGAGGCATCGAGCAAGTGGAAACAGGTCAGTCGTACCATCTTTCTTCGCGCGATACATCAACTGCGATGGAAGTTAGTATTTAGACAATATGCAATCAATTCGATATGCCAATACTCACGAAGAACCACATGCTTGCTCCAAGGCCCGTGGCTGCAATGCGATATAAAGGTCGGACTGGGGGTATCTGAATCGAATGTTTCGGGGCAGCCATGTTTCTATGCCGATAATTAGATATAGAGAAAGGAAGGCGGATCACTTGGGGAGCGCCTACGGAAATTGACAGCGGAGTTGCTGCCAAGTGTGCTGTTAACAAACTGGATTTCGTCTTCGAAGGTTCAATGTCGCAGAGGTTCTGAGAGGCTCAAGCTTGGGCCGAAGGGAAAAACATTTCTCCGATCCGCCAAACACGTCAAGCTAGGAACGATTTGCGAAGGTGAATGCTCAACGGCGGCCATTACTATTGTCTTGTATCGTTACCGATCCGATTTACAACACAATGCTTAGGGCTCTGGTCTTGAGCATGTCAAAACCCCACTAATGAAGGATTTTATTTCTCCAGACTTCCTCCTTCTACGACCAGATACCTCCCTTCCAAAACCCTCCGTCAATCATCTATCGTCTATCGCAATCTTTGCGCGCTCTCCTTCAACAGCACCGATCAAGCTCTTCGACTCTCATCGATTGCACCTCGCTCGACAGAGGATTTCTCGAACCGATGGCGACTCCGCAGATGAGTCCGCACAGCAATGGCGTATCTCTGATTGCCTTTGCTAAGGAACATGCGCGACCTGCAAATACCTTCCAAGGATGCTCGAGCATCAACGATTACGATATTCTAGGCAAGCTTGGAGAGGGAACGTTTGGCGAAGTTCATCGTGCAAAGTCTAGAAAGACGGGTGCCATCGTCGCGCTGAAGAAGATCCTCATGCACAACGAGAAGGATGGCTTCCCAATCACCGCGTTGCGCGAGATCAAGCTTCTGAAGCTCTTATCGCATCCCAACGTTTTGAAGCTGGAGGAAATGGCCGTTGAACATCACACAAAGCCGACCGACAAAAGAAAACGTGCTATCATGTACATGGTAACTCCATACATGGACCACGATCTCTCTGGACTTCTCGAAAATCCAACAGTTAAGCTGCAAGAATCGCATATTAAATGTTATCTGCTTCAACTCTTGGAAGGTCTCCGATATCTACATGCAAACCAGATCCTACATAGAGATATGAAGGCAGCCAATCTACTCATTAACAACAAGGGGATTCTACAAATCGCAGATTTTGGTCTCGCTCGACATTACGATGAAAACCCTCCAAAGCCAGGGCAAGGAGGAGGTGAGGCACGCAGAGACTATACTACACTGGTCGTTACACGATGGTATCGACCACCTGAGTTATTGCTGCTGTTGCGGAAGTACACAACTGCCATTGATCTCTGGGGTGTTGGGTTGGTGTTCTTCTCGCTTCCAGAGCTGCCCTTTACTGACTGCTACTAGCTGTGTCTTTGGAGAAATGCTCATCGGCAAGCCCATTCTTTCTGGAGATAGCGATTTAAACCAGCTCAAAATCATTTTCGACCTCGTCGGCACGCCCACGGATGAGACTATGCCAGGCTGGAGATCGTTGCCCGGGGCTGAGAGCATGAACTTCTCGCCACATCCGTCTACTTTGTCCCAGCGCTTTCGACAGTGAGTTTAATCATAATCTCATGCTCTTGTAAATGCTGACATTGCAGATACGGCTCTGGTGCTATTTCTCTACTCGCCGAACTTCTTAAATTGGATTGGAGAAAACGTATCAACGCAATCGATGCACTTGAGCACCCATATTTCCGCGATTCACCACTTCCCGCCAAGCCAGGAGATCTTCCAACCTTCGAAGACTCCCATGAGCTAGACCGGAGAAAGTTCAAGAGTCAGAAGGCTGCTCCTCCCCCAGCTCCAAAAGGTGGGACAGTTGGCATGGGACCTGCTGCAGCAGGTGGTTGGGGAGGCGAGCCGACCGGCAATGGTCATTATGTCAATGGAGATAGTCATAATGGCCATCGACACCCGAACGGCTCTCGCTATCCACACGGTGACCATCGGAATGGTGTCCCCCCACCACCACCTCCAGGTGAGCGAAGACCAGCATGGGCTCGAGGCAGGGACGAGCGACCGGATACCCGACTTCCGCCTCGACCTCCTCCGGCAGAATACAACTACGACGGCCCTCGGGGCGAACGGCCAGAGAACTACAGATCTCGATCTCGTGATCTTGACCGTGGCCCACCCAGGAGTAGACCGGGAGGACCTAACGTTGACACATATATTCCAAGCTACGGTCCGGACGGCGGCAGAAGAGATGACAGAGGACCGCGAGACAGAGATGAACGACCTCGAGACCGACGACCCAGGGACGATCGTGATGATCGTCCCAGACATGATCGTGATCGATTAGATTACGATGATCGTCGAAGTAAGAGGACTCGCAGCCGCAGTCGAAGTCCTCTTCCTGATCGCGACAGGGGGGACAGACCTAGGGAGCGAGATCCGCTACCGCGAGTGGATCAGGAGCGAGATATTTACCGCAGATAATTGATTGTGCTTTCTTGGGCTTGGTCTGGTTTGCTTCGAGGAGTTTGAGAAAGGTGATCAATCATCAGGCCGGGTCTACGAATAGGCTTTGTAATGGTGTGGCGTTTTGGCTTCATTGTGTCGTTCTGCAAGGCGTTCGAGGACTGGCATGGTTGATAGATCGGATTCTATATCATCGTCTGCCTTGGCGATTCTGAGACTGGAAAGAAATCGAGTTCGAATGAGAGGATGATGCAATATCATATACTTGCTACTGATCAATGCGTTCTTTGTTTTTCAATGTGATCACTCCAAAAACGAAATGGCTCGGCCTTTCTTAAGATACTTTGTCTGGATTTTGCGATGACTGCTCATGTTATACATTGCTATCCACCGCAAACCAACTCCATTGAATGCACCAAAACCCCAAGTCATGCATTCTTCACCGGCCCCCGCTGAAATGCTACTAATGCGCTAATATGACATGCTTCACAAAGCTCCTTTGCAAAACGCCAATCTATGCTGATCTTTCTGGTCTTTATCCACGCTCTTCGCCGCTTTGCTGATTCTTTGGAGGGGTCAATCTACGGTCAAGTCAATAAGTCATCCGTACCACTAATTTGAGAGACTTACTTGAGTATCTCAAACTCGCCGTATCTTCTCAAATACTTTACGCCACGTCGATAAGCCTTCAGTAAATCCCCAGGATACCTGTGAGTGAACTCGGTTCCAATGAGCTTGGTGACATCGGCAGCATCGTGAAACATAGGATCAAAGACGATGATATTCCTTGAGCCATCTTTCTGCTTCTCAAAACCAACGATCGTCATTGAGTGACCTTTGCAAGTATAAGTAACCTTGGCAGAGTTATGAATAGTTAAGGGAGTCTTACCGGGATGCTGGAAGTAGATCGGCGGCAAAGATGTACGCCGGACTTTAGGGTCGTAATCTGTACAGCCGTTTATGAAGTAGTTTTCGATGGCGGTGAAGAGAAGTTCGGATCCCGGCTGAGAGTTGCTTCCCTTCTTTGGTTTGAATGCTTGGGCACTGCATCTAATAACTTTTTAAGTATATTCGAAGCGATGCAAGGGTGAAAAACTTACGCTATACCTAAGACACAGAACATTGCTTGAGCCTAATTTCGAGTTAGCAATTTGTCCTAATTCGAAGAGGTTTTTGGTGCTATAAAGCACACGTTGTTGTTGTCCTTACATCAGGTGTGCCGATGTACTTCCTTGTGCCACGAATTCCCCCAGTCTCGATACGACCCTGAGAATTGATGCCAATATCCCAGGCAGATTCGATGTATTCTTGAATGTCGAATATAGTTGGTACCTTGTCACCGAACGAGTCGTGGCCCTGAGACCTGGTGCCTATGATGTAGGAACACAGCACTTGGATATTTCGATAACCGCAGAATCCGCCTCGTAACATTAGCAGAGGTTTTCAAAGGAAAAACCAAAGACAATCACCTTCTCTTCTCAATTTTGAGACATGCTTAACAGCTGGATCACATAGATATGCGTATGAGGTAGTCTCATTTTGTTCGAGAAGTTGTGCCAGGACAGGGACGATGCCGGCAGTTTGATTGGGGGAATATTGGACTCTTCGAATTTTACCACCGCTGTCCAGCCTATTACCCATCTTCAAAGCACCGTCCTCTTCTAGTAGTTTTACTAACCATGCCGGCATCTGCTTTTCGTGTGCATGGGGACCAATTTCGGATTTCTGGAAGAGTAAGCTCCACGTGATCCGAGGGAAATACAAGAAGACTTACACCCAGACGTTTCTTGCTGCTGTTGGCTATTGGTACGACTTTACTTTCGGCTTTTGAGGCAGAATCGGGCATCTTCAGGATGCTCTTCCAGGTATTCTTTGCTGCCGTCTGAACATCATGTGAAGACTTTTCGTGGGCCAAATGTCCGTCATCCTCGTCCAAATTTCGGAGGGCATACGATAATTTGGTGTCAAAAGATGCTTCAACTCGAGGCTCAATCTTCAGCCTTTTCGGTGAACGGCTTGACTCGTCGGATTCGCCTGGACTATGGCTCTGTTCCTCTTCGTGCATCTCGATATGGTTATCGAGCTCCGTCAATAGGAGAGCTTCGCCACAACCATCCACAGGACAATTAACGTATTGCACATCCTCTTCATCTTGAAGTGAAACCAGTGCTGCAATACTCGCGTTTTCCTTGGCCACGAAAGGAGACTCTCCGTTCTCTGGGTGTAAGGTCTCCATGTGGAGCTGAGGATACTATCAGTTGGGGGCATTCAGAGGTGTCGAGGGGTCGGAGCTGGCGTACCATAATTTGGTAGTCTCCTTCTGCTCTGAAGCCACAGAATGGGCAAGTGATTTGCTCTGGATCCTCCATCGTTGCGCGCAGGGTTCTGCACTCGCGGTCTGGAATGTGTCGAATGCTCAGCCTTGTTTGATGCGCGTCGTACTACCAATGCGGCGGTATGCGGTGCTTCATTCCACGGCCGTGAACGCGAGTCGATAGTCATCTACACTTATCCTCCAAATAACCGGTGTCTCGATATGGAATTCACTGTACGGTACGTCAAGTAGGACAAGTTTGCGTGCGGTTTGTGGCACAAGTTAACGTTGAGCTGGCGTGGCAGTAGGAAGTAATGCGAATGTATTCGCTTTAATTACGGAAGCGACGATTTTCCACGGACTCAATGCATGAATGGGCAGACAACACGAATAAGTCTCATCTACACCAAGTACTTGTGAATCGTATTCATTTCGCTCGCTTTTCTACTGTGAGCAAAAGTCTACAGTATAAGTCTTGATCTATCTTCATTTCATGGCCGAAGATTTGTTCCTCAACTCCAGCCATCAACTTCAGGCTTGACTCAAATACACGAAGTTTTCTTCACTTCCCTCTGCTCGCTACCTTCAGACCTTGAGATCCTTCAACTTATCTGTTGCTGCTGTCGCTCCCTCGCCAACAGGCGCAACCTTAGGTTTTGATGCCTTGTCACCCGCCTTTCCCTTGGTCTTCTGAGAAGTCGAATCCTTTGGTAGCTCCTTGGTGAACGGGATGAATTCCGGTGCGCCAGGGAGATATTTCCGAAGTGGCTCTGGAACATTGAAGCCCTGCACAGGTATTAGGTTCACGATCAAGTAGAATCAGATAGATTTAACACATACCTCTTCGGTCTGGAAGTTTTCTAGTAGACAGCAGAGAGCTCTTTCGGTAGCGCAAAGAGTTGAATTCAATGCATGGACATACTTCTTTTTGATCTCCGTCTGCAACTTGGCACCAAATCTGATTTCGAGAGCTCGAGATTGATAATCTGTGCAATTGGAGCAAGAGACTAGCTCTTTGTACTCCCCTTGGAAAGGAAACCAGGCTTCAAGATCAAACTTCTTTGCTGCGGCATTGTTCAAAGCTCCAGAAACGATGGCGACAACTCGGTAGGGAAGTCCAAGAGATTGGTAGAATTCTTCGGAGACAGCAATCATGCTGTCGAACATCTCCCATGATTTCTCGGGATTTGTAAGGACGAATTGTTCGATCTATTTGACGGCTCATTAGACTGTGCAAGTATCAATACTGATCCATGGTACTCACTTTCTCAAATTGATGAACACGGAAGATTCCCCATGCATCTCGTCCATGTGAGCCAGCCTCTCTCCGGTAGCAAGAGCTGAAACCAGCATATCTTAGAACAGTAATTAGCAAGATCCGTTTCCTAACAACAAAAACTAACCTGATGGGCAAATCCTTGTTCACTAACCACTCATCAGCATGGAAAGCGGAGATGGGCTGTTCAGAAGTTGCAATGAGGTATTTGTCGTTCTGCGCGTCTCCATCAATGACCTTGTAAAGCTCCTCGTCGAATTGCTCCAACTGTGCCGTCTTTGCCATGTACTCCTTCAGCATGAATTGTGGTGTTTGCAGTGGTGTGTATCCTTTTGCGTCAAGAAACTCTAGACCATAGTTGATTAAGGCTTGGTTCAGAAATACACCCCATTTGCGCAGGAAGTATCCGCGGTGCCCAACGACCTTGACTCCTCGTTCTGGGTCATAACCGTCCAATCTCGTCAGAACCTCGTGGTGGGAAAGGACATCACGCTTTTCAACCTTGACTCCCTCGGGTGCCCAAGTTCGCTGTAGTTCGTTGAAGTCCTGTAGACAAGTTAGTCCAGCTCCAATGGTTGTCGCGTGCTTGACGGTACCTCGTTGTCATTGACTGGTACAGATTCGTGGACGATATTGCCAATAGTACCAATCTTTTTCTTCAATGTCAAATCCTTCTCTGCGGCAGACTCCACCAATGCCTTCTTCTCCTTCTCAAACTCGACCTTTTGCTTCATCAAATCATCCGCATTTTCCTTTGCTTTCTTCTTCGCGCCAATTTGTTTTTGAACCTCGTTGATTCTTGTATTGACTTGTGTCGCGGCATATTGAGCTGTAGAAGGTTAGAACATGGTGTATCCACAGTGGAGGTCGGTAATTACTTCTGCGGTGGTCTTCGTAAAGCGCGATCACTTCGTCCACCGCTGCCTCAGAGGCATAGCGGCGTCGCTGAGACTTCTTGATTGACTCGGGATTGCCGCCTTTCTCGACAATGAAATCAGAAACGTCGAGCATGGTGGGTAGTAGGTCTGCTCTTCAAGAGCTGCGAAATGGGTATCTACGATGTTTATGTTGTATGTTGCCCGATTTGACTCACACGGTAGAGTCAAAATATTATCAGCCTTTTTTGGAGGGGCAGAGGGGTCGACTAGCGTCCGGGCCTTGGACCCACTTTACGAATCACGTGTTTGGTCTCATATAAAAAGACCTCGATTGGAACTCATTGCTTTCATCCTCTGTTGCGAATGTACGTTACCCAAAACGCCATGAATGGAAGAGTACCCGTCTGCAAACGCCGACGATAAAGTAGTTGCCAGATTCACCACCCAAATCTCAGTCCACCACCCTATTGTGACATTCTCTCTTTTCATCTTACATGATCTCGCATTTGTTTCCTCCTGTGGGCTCATTCGGATTCTGTGACTTCTCAATCTGTCCGATCATCATTTCGAAGGCCTTGGTAACATTCTCATTGTACCTTGCACTAGCTTCAGTGTAAGCACAATTAAACTTCTCTGCTAACGCCTTGCCCTCTTCCACCGAGACTTGACGTTGATCTGGACGCAAGTCACTCTTGTTGCCAACGATCACAATGGGAACCCAATCCGAGCCCTGTTTGAGTCAGCAAGAGAAGACTCTCAGATTGCTGAAGGTTCATTCGACTTACAAGGTGATTTAAGATTTTATCCCTGATAACCTGCACCATCTCAAAAGATTGCGTCGAGGCTACCGAGTACACAAGCATGTACCCATGGATCCCAATAAAATGCTTTGAGTTCAAGATACTGTATTCATCCTGTTCAGAAAAAAATATTAGCCATCGTAATGAAACGACATTCCGATATGTGATGTAAGAAGGCTCATACTTGACCCGCCGTGTCGACAATCTCGGTGGCGTATTCGAGATTCTTGTACTTGATGACTTTCGAGAAGGTATTCTCTATCGTGGGGTAGTAGCTCTCAACAAAATGGCCATCGACGAATTGAACCGTGAGCGAGGATTTGCCTGGGTTCCCTGTGAGCAAACGTGATCTAAAATAGTAGGCGACAGTGAAGTCTGTTCAAGGTGAATAAAGGAGGATTGAGCCTTACCCACGGATCTGCTGCCCACGATGGCAATCTTGCGTTGCTTTGGTGGCATAATGACAGCCAGCTAGATTAAGAAGGACCTGTAATTCCGCGGATGGGGGTCCTTTGAGAGTTTGATGTTTCGATGTCGTTGGGCATCAAGTACCTTTTGATTAGGTTTAGGTTACAAGGATTTGCGCTACGGTGGGCGGGTTTGGTTTTAGCCTGCTCGTCGAGTCGAATTCACTTCTACCTACATACGAAACGGAATCGAAAGGCCGCAGAGATGATTTTGACTTGCGAGTACGATGAATCAGTCACATCTGGTCAGAATCATCCGTGAATTATGTCTCTCAGCCAGACTACTCTTATCAGACCTGCAGACACAGCAACGGTCTGATGAAATTGCTTTACCTGTTTCTTTCATCAATGCTTCCTTTTGCTTTGTTAAACAATATCAAAACTTGGCCAAGATCCTCTCCATCCCTTTCCTTCTCCATTTCGGGCTCAGACTTTCGCCGACGGCCAGCTGCTATCGGATGAAGTGTGAAAATCCTACACAGGAAGCGGCTGACCTGCTGTCGTTCTTTCTTTTTCGCACGTCTTCTCAGCTGCCAACCATGTGCAAGCCTCAATCCATTCTATTGGAACTGTACAAGCTGTACCAGGGGCCAGATACAACAGTATCGCAGGCACGTGTGTAATCCTGCCAACTTGAACCTTGCCCTCAAACTCGTGGTAGCATGTGCTATGAGACGGCCGGGAATAGTTAATCTTGTGGCTCAAGTGCTAGCACCGCAGAAGAAGTTCATAAAGTACACTAAGACTCAACGTGCGGGCAACATAGTCCTCGTTGGCCGTGTCTCGTGTCTCGACTACCATGTCATATACCTAGCACGAAGATATTTCAATGGACGTCACTGGCGGCGTCAATACTTCTCTCAATGTTCACCTTTGATTCGTGTCAAGCGGTACGAATCGCAACTGAACAAGGACGGCTATCTGCTATAAGTGTTGTGGGTTAGAAGAATGGATGGAGGGTATAATTAAGGTAGAGAATCGATGAAGATGTCCGAGAATCAGTTCTTCGCTTTCACTGTCACCAGAAGATATTTGATGCCTACGCGGGTAGTCTTTGAAAATGGTCTCTCACAGGCTCTGATGCCAGGTCTTCCAATGTCTTCCCATCTGTCCGGCATGCTGCTTCTAGTGTCCAACAGGAGGATCTGCCAAGATAGCATCATGTTCGGAGTATAGTGGTAAGAGGTATGTTGTATTTTAGTATTAGGGTCATGAAAAACCCCAACCAACCCCCAACGCTGTCTACAGAAGTTTCAAACAATAGAGCAAGTGTATTGAGAGTTATTCGTTGCTACCAAAAGTTCACAAGCTCAAGAGTGCGGGGTGAGCTTCAAGTGAGCGACTCACTCAACACAGACCGAATTTGCCTTTCAAGGCAACCATCTCTCTCCGAATCACCCAAAACCGCCCCTAACTTTACATGTAGAAAACAGTGAAGCTCCCTCGCCAAAAATTTGGTGATTCACGAACAATGAACCCGCACATAAATACAACCTAAGTGTCATTCTCACTCTCACCACGAAAACAATCACCTCCCTAAAATACCCACAACGCAACACAACGTAACACGACACAAGTCAAAACACACCTCACCTTACTCACCCACAATGTACTTCGAAACAATACAAGCCTACACCGACTGCGAATGTCGGACCCCTCTCTCCGGCTCTGTTCACACATTCTCCGCACAACACCGCGGCGGTTGGGCGGTACGCGTCGACCAAAAGGGCTGAACAAGAGGAAGCAGTTTGCGCGCTGTGGTAATAAGAGAGGGAGGAGGGTTGTTCGGAAGGGGTGTTGTAGTTGTGGTGGTGGTTATTGATTCATGTGTGGAGAAGGGAAGGGGGAGGTAGAGGGAGGTGGGCGGTGGTTTGGCATGTATGTTTAGCGACGATTTTGATGAGAAGGAGTGATTGCTTGGTTCTTTGTATTTGTTATTGGAGGGAGGAGTTTGGGAACGGAATCATGGAGAGGGGAAAGGGAAGAAAGTTTAGGGAAGAAAGTTTGGGATAGGGAGGCGGACAGAGTTTGGGATTGCCTTGAATCTTTGATGTGTTTAGGGTGAATTGGTGTGATCTTGAGCTCAATATCGATGTTTTTCTTTCTCCCACCATCATTTTAATGAAGGATACTCGTAAGTTGTCAGTATTCTATCTCAAAACAGAAATCTCGGAAAACCTTCCACCAAATAGCATTCTTCTTGAAAAGAGCTACCAGAACAAGCCTATTCTTTCGGAGGAGCAAGATGGAAGAACATATGTCACCGAGCACGATCAAAGAAAATTCAAAGCAAGAAAATACATTTACAATATTGATTATACTACTCTCAGTCAATTGGGGTATCTACGGACCTGTAGCTATAAATCTCATCTCGTCATGATATAACGCACCTTAAAACTTGCTGCACAATAGCCATCCGATCCAATACACAATGCACCGACCTTCAAACGCCTGGCCCGAATCGTCAGAGCCATGAACAGAGCGCTATGCACCAAACCGTAAGATAATCTCCCAGAATAATCCCCCTCAAGAATTGCCATTTAAGCCCGTCATAGTCGTGGTTCTGACACTTTCCTCGTCAGGGTCATCTACCTCCATCCCATCTGGTTTCCTTGCAGTGACGATCCGCACCGTGAACCCCAACCCATTCGAGCTCGGATCGAGGGCCACCTCCCTGATAGACTGAGTGACGGTATCGCAAAGATTTCTGATCTTTTCAACATCCCATTCCATCTGCTCCGCAAAGGGCCTCAAACACACCGACTCAACCCCGCACAACTGCGCGATCAGGAAGTGTTTCCCTAGCTTCTTGTCTTCCTTGTCTTCAGGCCAAACTCCCATTGGAATCGTCTTCTCGGTAACATGAACATCGATGAAACCTGCAGAAGTAAAAACCTCTGGTCGAAGATGGGCAACTCCTCTAGGCCGCCCGGACATCTTGGCACACTCGTTTATCGTCTTCAACCAATCCGCAACCTCCGAATCCTTGCCAAAGAAACTCAAAAGTGTCCTATCATGGCTATCAAAATCAAGAACCTCAATCCAACCACCTGGCTTCAGACTTCGGCACGCTTCACGGTAGACCTCAGACCAATCTGAAAAGGCGCCTGCCATATGTCGGAAATGGACAAGATCGAATTCGTCGTCTGCCCACGTCCATCCGCCCTCTTCTTCTGCATCGTCAATCTCGAAGAAGACGTTCAGAGGCACGGCACTAGGCTGGATCTTCGCTATGTCTGTGCCGATTATTTCTGCATCTGGGTATTCATCTCCCATGGCCATGGCCCAATCTCCTGGTCCGGTGCCAACATCGAGAATCTTTGTGGGGGAAGAGAGGGGCACCGTGGTCAAGCTATTTGAGAGGAGGGAGTAGTGTACTCCATGGAGGATTTGCATGCGCGTTTGCTCCTCCTCGTCGTTTGGCATATAGTATTCGCCGCAATATCGACGACCGTGGATCATATGGTAGATAACGTCTGTGTCGTATAGGGAGCGTGTAGAGTTTCTGTGTTCAAAAATTAGCAATGCCATTGTGTATCTCTGGTATGGGTACTTACACAGTATCGTTATCTCCTCTCGGTTGGTGGAAGAGCGTCCGAGCAGCATGGACTCGCTGCCGCACAATCTCCTCTTCGATGTCGTCGTAGGCCTCATTGTCAATGCTCATAGGATCGTCATCGAGTATCAGGGGGACTGCTGCAATCTTGGTAGGGAGCGAATCCTCCGATGAACTTCCTGCTGGCGCGCCGTTCATATCGCGAGCCATCCAGCTTGCTACCATGGATTATATGTATGTAGCTTGCAATCACCGAGTGAAGCTAGTCTTTCCAATGCCTATCCTCCCAATTGCCAATATTGATTCTGTGTTGGCCGTGTAGATTGTCATATCCACATCAATGGGTATTGGTTGCCGGGGCCAAAGTGAGAGTCGTCCCAAGTCCGTTTGTTCTGAGCATACAATTATTATTATACGAATTGCGAAAAGTCGACCCTCTCGAATTACAGTTCCAGCATCGAAGGAACAATGGCGTAGTTTGCTCTTGGCTGGGCCGGATATTGTACGAGGGGCGGGGAGAGAAATATAAATTGCGGTGCAGGAAGACAAGACGAAGAAGAAGGAAAGAAGGCCTGCGCCCCCAGTAGCAGCAACAGCAGCAGCAGCAGCGAATGGATATCAGAAGGGTCGATAGCCTTAGTAAAGGACAAGCCGAAAGGCAGCCCAAGCCCAAGCCATTGGGACCGCGAGACCAGAAGCAGCATCGAACAGGCTAAATGCAGGTCCTGGAGGAGGGCTAAAAACTTGACGGTGGGACGAGGCGGAGAAAGGAGAGCGCCCAGTCAGAGCGCCGGGAATGGTGAATTTGGTCTGTGGTCTGGGTCTGGTCGTCGGGGCTCGGGAGGAGAACGAGCGCGAGCCAGGGCCCCGGTACATGGAGAGAGAGAACCGAGGTGGATGGATACGGAGTGTGGATATGGATATGGATATGGGACTACTGTAGGAGTGGGAGACCGACAGAACAGACCCAGGCAGACACCGCAGCTGGGAGAGGGAAAGATGGAGATGGGTAAGCAAGTGCAAGTGCAGGTGCAAGGAAGCAAGGAAGCCAGCCAGAAGCCGTCCATGATCATGCCTTCGATGCGATGCACCGGGCACCATTCGCATTCGAGGATGCACGCTGCATCACCCAGCACCAGCACGCGGGAAGCGAAACCTTCGAATGAACGACGTGCAGTGGTGCTGTGCTGCTGCTGCATTGACTATTACCTTACCTTACCGTCTATGTCCCGAGTGCGGATGGAGGACGGCGATTGATTGTTCGACAGGGTTGAAACTGCACTGCACCGCAGACCGTTGAAGAAATCCAGCCAACTGGAAGAGACCCTCATCTGCGGGAACTGCCCTCGCTGCCAGGACCAGCGACCAGGCTTTCACTGCCCATGCATCGAAAAGTCATGTATAATACCCAAACCAGATCGACAGTAGCTGGCGGTCCCGACTCTGATGATATGCATTGTCTGAATTCGGAACCAGATATACCGGTACGCAGGATACATAACCCGAGAGATCTTGGAGACCAGAAAATCATAGAAACGAGGGTCATGTCTCAACCCGGGAAGGAAAAAGAAAAGAAACCACACGCGGGAGTCGAAACACCTGCCTTTATAGCTGTAGCACTAAAAAAGCGAGTATATAATTTGAGGCAAGAAGCTCTGAAGAAACGATCGGGAGGAGATTGCCTGGCTCATCGGGCCGTGGGATGTTGGGTCAGCTCGCAGCCTCACATGCAGCATTTTGGTCAATGCCTTCTTATTCGGGAATCCTGCAGTGAAGAGAAATGTCGCTGCATGATGCAGTGTTCTTCGGCTTCCTTGTCCCTTCGTTGGAACGACACGGGAAAAATTGCTGTGCAGTCTCATGAGAACCCGGCATCTTGGGACGTAACACATCAAAGCCCTCCCGCGACGCCACCCACACCGTAAGATCATATTTCACGTTCCCGAGAGGCAAGGTTGGGAAAGTGAGCATCGTTCTTTTGACCCGTCTAAAAAAGCTCCACACATGCTCAAATTAAATGTGGTTGTACCCGACCAAAACGTCCATGCAAAACCAAACTGTCTTTTTTTGTGAACACCTAAGCCTGCACTGCTTGCGCTGTGGAACCATCGATCTTCCTCTTCTTTGCCAGGGTCATCTTGTCGTCACTGTCCACAAGCATATCATCGTTAATGTTCTCAACTGGCTCTTCGCTGGCAATGACATCGGTTCCGGCAACAGTTGGGAATGGAGTAAGAACTTTGGTGATATCACCCCACCACTTCTCACCAAACCTCTTGTACCAGTCAACCGTGATGGCCATGCCTGCCGAGAAGCTGGTCTTCTGCTCCCATCCAAGCTGTCTCAGCTTGGTTCCATCTACAGCATATCGGTGATCGTTGAAAGGACGATCAATTGTGTGCTTGACCCACTTGTGAAGCTCCTCTTGGGTGCTGTGGGGAATGTCCAGGTATGTAAGGAGTTTTGAGCACAAAGTCAAATTGGAGATCTCGTCGTATGAGCCCACGTTATAGATTTGGTCCATCTGGCCCTTGTGGAGAATCGTGTCGAATGCATCTGCGGCGTCGCCAGCAAAGAGGTATCGTCTCGTGGGAGTTCCATCTCCGTGGAGAACAACTGGTTGCCCGCGGTGGAGCAACAAGCTGAACTTGGGGATAATCTCTGCATTTCTGATTAGCAATGGGTCGGTCGAGTTTCTGCGAATAACTCACTCTCGGGGTACTGGTGAGGACCATAAACATTGTTACTTCGCACAATGATTACAGGCAGCTTGAAACTCTTCTGGTAAGAGTGAACAAGCATTTCGGCGGCAGCCTTGCTTGCGGCATATGGGTTGGTAGGAGCGAGAATGCTGGTTTCCAACAGATCATCCGCATCATCTCTGACCTCTCCATAAACCTCATCGGTGGATATATGGATGAACTTCTTGATTCCGTGCTTCTTGGCACTCTCCAGCAATACGTGTGTTCCGTACACATTTGTGTGTGTGAAGGCGTATGAGTTACCGAAACTTAAATCGACGTGGGATTGCGCGGCGAAGTGAAATATGGTATCAATGTTGTGTCTGGTCAAGCAGTCCATAACCTCCGACGGATTTGTGATGTCGCCATGGTAGAAGGTGAAATTGCGCTTGTCGTTGAGCGCCCGCGTGTTGTTAAGGGAGGAGCAGTAATCGAGCTTGTCGAAAGAGACAATGTTGTACGCATTGGGGTAAGTCAGAGTAAGATGTCGTACGAGCCAGCATGCACTCCATCTGTTAGCAATTACTTTCGTACTGCGGCGCCTGCCAATGGCTTACATGAAGCCAGCACCTCCAGTGATCATAATATTCTTCACATCTGGCAGAGGCTCGAACTTGGTGCTACCAGTCAAGATTGGAGCTTCCTTCCAGATACCAAAGTCCTCAAAGAACTTGAGGGTATTCGGATTCGACGCCGACGCAGCTATCCCACCCGGTCAGCGCATGTTGGGAATAGCAGGCAGGAATGAAGGGAGTATCCTACCGTGTCCATTTGTGTGGCCTGACATGATGATGGTGATGGATTGGCAGAGTAATTAATAGAGGCAGATACAAGGGATGATCTGGTGGTTCGTCTGCTCTAGTATAACGAGAGGAGGAATACTGGAGATAATGTTGTGGAGGAGAGAATACTTTGGCACAAAGGGGGCAGACCGCCTGGTAGAAATTCCGCTTAGCGAGATATTTTGATTAAAGCAGACCTAAATGTCTGGCAAGACTTTCGTAAATCAGCCCCTACGGAATGAATGACTTGATATGGCTATACGAGTCTCACGAAAAATTTCTAGAAGGCTGTACCATAGCAGTATATTTGTTCATGAACCCTTGGACGAGCCTGATTCAGCACGTTTCTGCCACTCCGGTGCCATTCTAATATCTCTAGACAGAAAACGGTCGGCGGCCGCATATCACATAAAATTCCGTGCACATGAGGCTGGTGTGGCACAGTGAATAGGAGATGGGAGCTGCAGGGCTACCTGAATCACAGACGGGAGGGAGGTATTATGGGATGCGATGCAATTGGTGAACAGACACTCTGCATGTTGTTCGTGTTGACGGGTGTAAGATGACGAAATGGGCAATCCTCATTCCATCGTGCACGAGGATAAAATGAGATACGAATAGAATCTGCCAATGCTCGTGTTGATAGCAGGCTGGCGATAAGAGCCCCTGCTTTCAGGGTCCGCAGGGAATGTGTGTCCTTTTCAGAGTTGCAAACACTCAACCACCAAAATTCATCCGAAATAGTACTGTAATGATGAGCCCAAAGTCTCAGATGGGCAACGTGCATCTCTCACTCGACAGTACGTCGACCTCGGACGATGATGTTGCGGCAAGATGCGAAAAGCTGAGACCAGACGATCGATCTGGAGTCCACGAATCCACTCCACCAGAAGAAGGGGATGAAGGGTTCAGGGAGCAGCCGACACCCCACCAAAAAATGTTATTTCAGCCACAGGGGCTTCAACTGGGGCGACAAAAGGAAGCTGAATAAATAAGTCAACTATCGGATTGCGAATCCCGAGGAAGCTGGACGCTGTACTGTGCTCGGGTGATGCTCAGGGAGAAAACAGTTGAAGTGCTCCACGACATTACATAGTAATTCTATGATCTACAGCACTCTCAAGATACGAGTCTCTTTCAGATCCTCGAAATACCTAGGTATATACTAATGAGGGGCAGAATGACTGCAGTCGTTTGACAGTAATAGCTGTACTCTAAAATCCATAATGACACACCTCACCGACTATTCTCAGTCACTATTCCCTGTTGAGGCTGGCGGTTTGATTTTCCTCTAGGCCGCGCAGCCTGCATTCCATCCCAGAATCGTAATCCCTACATTTCTCTAATACGACACCGTGCCTCCACTCAAACCTCGAACTTCGCTTTGCGACGAACTTCTACTTCCATCATTTACACCAACTTACCAGAGGGGAATGTCGTGATATTTTCTCTTGGCATTCATTCATATTCTTTTCTTAGTGTGTCTATTTCGCGATCGATTTTCTGTCCTTTCCAGCAACCATGACCGAACGAGCCGTCGACCGAGAGCCCTCAATCAGCTCCTCCGTAACGGAAGCAGAGGCATTCGACGACAATGAGAAGAGCGGGAGCTCGACGGAAGGGGGCTTCGTAAAATTGAAGAGTCCCGAGGAGATGGAGATCGGGGACGACCTGGAAAGAGCAGAACTATTGCCAGAGGAGCACGACGAGAAACCACCACCGGCACCGAAACAGCCAGAGACTTCCATGCGAAGTTCTATAATATGGATGGTTGTGAATACATTGGCCACTATCGGCATCGTAAGTCCTGGTGTCACTGCAGTTCTTCGCACAATAGCTGACGCTGTAGGGGTAGGTTTTCACGAACAAAGCAATCTTCTCGGATCCTTCCTTGAAACTCGCACAACTCACATTCGCTGCCTTCCATTTCTTCATAACATGGCTGACGCTATTCACACTCTCCCGGCCTCGATTCGCCATGTTTGTTCCGAGAAAGGTTGCGATCAAGGAGATTTTCCCTCTGGCCATCGCCATGGCGTTGAACGTCATCCTCCCGAACTTGTCTTTGGCTTTCTCTACCGTCACATTCTACCAAGTAGCTAGAATTCTCCTCACACCGACAGTCGCGCTGATGAATTTTGTCCTCTACAAAGCAACCCTTCCCAGAAATGCGATCTACGCCTTGGTGCCGGCTTGCTTTGGTGTAGGAATGGTATCATACTATGATTCGCTGCCCTCAGCAGATGCCAAAATCAAGACCACCAGCAGCTTGGGAGTTATTTTTGCCTTTACTGGAATCTTTGCCAGTTCTCTATACACTGTCTGGATTGCCAGCTACCATAAGAAGCTTCAGATGAACAGCATGCAACTGCTGTTCAACCAGGCTCCACTGGCAGCTTTCATGTTGCTTTATGTTATTCCGTTTGTCGACACTTTCCCAGTTTGGACCGAGGTGCCAGCGAACAGATGGATAATGATCATGATGGTATGCTGTGTATCATTGCGTTCTAGAACTCAGCTAACATATCTCACTTCAGTCTGGATTTTTCGCCTGCATAATCAACATGTCGCAATTTTTCATCATTGCACAAACAGGTCCGGTATCAAGTACAGTCGTTGGTCATGTCAAAACATGTTCAATTGTCGCATTGGGTTGGGTAACTTCAGGACGTGCTGTAGGTGACAAGTCAGTGATTGGTGTTTTCATCGCCATTGGAGGAATTATCACGTAAGTCACTTTTTCCAGCTTGCATCACCACGACTTGCCTTTGCTTCAGATTTACAATCAAGCATTTGCTTGGTTTCACCTAGCTGGAGACCAAGCTTTTGGCTCCGAGTACGACTCCATACTCGGTCCCGAGAACGTCACCAAGCTTCTCTACGGGATGACGCTAACAATCACGCAGCTACTCCATCGTAATGCTGAAGCACAAGGCTCAGCAAGGAAAATAATCATCTGATCCATAAATACCAGATCGGATCACTACAGCCGGGGTTTCGCTCTCGATTTCTCCGCCTGGTTTCAGGACGCACGTGCAAACGACAAGCGGATCCCGTACACGCGTCCTTGCATCGAAGGACTTCTGAGCGACCCGGTTGTAAAATCATCAAACATTTTGTTAGTTAAATTTGCAGGGCGTTACGGTATTCAAGAGGAAGCAAGGGGTTCGTTTTTCTAGAGATTTGGGAGACCGGAATATGAGAGACTCAAATCAATTTCCACCACGGAGCCTTTAGGAATGTCTGGAATGTTGATCTTATTTCTTTTCAATTGTTGAGACATTGAGGTTATGCCAAGGAACCCCCTGATTCTAGCCAAGCAATTACGCAGTAGGTGCCGCTGTATCACCTTCTCAGACATCCAGATGTCGCTTGTAACAGATCAGTAGTACAGGCATCACGATACACGAAAATGATCTAGATTGTCTTGGAATTCTTCATGGGGATGGACAATTACCCTGCTTCTGTTTCTCAACTCATAAGGGTAATCCTCTGCGTAATCCCTATCATATGCCAACCCTTAGAACTCCTTACACCTTTAGTGAACAATGTATATGGTAGAATGAACACTGAACAACCTAACGCCCGCCCCTCCGCCCGCTTTCGTTACCCTACTATGCTTGACATGGTCTTTGAAATGACCCAAGATTTTGTGAAGTTTTGGTGTCAAGTTTTGCCAGAGAATATGGTGTGCACCGAGTAAATGCAATGCAGAAAACAAACAAACAACGATTCGAGTCTACCAAGGCATCAGCCCAGCTGGTAACATAGGATATTCCTCTCCATCGATCCACTCCGTCTGGCCCTCACTCGATCCCATGTTCCCGTACATCCCATCCCATCCCTCCTCCATCCTCTTCCAGTTGTTGTGACAATCTCCTGGGACAAACTTCGCTGCGTCCATCTCAAGCATCATCTTCACCTCTGGGCAGTATCCCCAGATATGTTTCCTCATCTCTGGCGTTCCCCAGATACCCCCATGCAGCGTCCGTCCGGATCCACCAGTGTGGTATCCCATCGGCTCATAGAACCCATCTCTCCAATCATCAATGCCCTTGATCAGTTCCCCAGCTTTCGTAGGATCAGAATTAGGCTTCTTCTTCTTGCCCCCCACCTTCTCCCCTTCACCACCATACATCTCGCCGCTGAACGTCAAGCTCACCGTCCCGTTGGCGAGCTTCGCATCCGGTCGATGTCCCAATCGATCCGTGAGCCACACATCCTCCGGCTCCGTATTCGGGATCCGTTGCTGGTTCCTCAAAACATCCACAATCTTACTCACCCGCCTCAAACTCAACCCTCCATTCCCTCCAAATCGCCCATTGGGGTTCCACGGTGCGCCGACCCAATCGTAGTCCAGCCAATTATTCAGACTCTGTCTCGAATTCGCACAGAGCATACTATCCGTCTGGAAAACCAGCAGCCACTCCGCAGGCTGCAGCACCGTCTCATAAAGCCAGAGCGTCGTCAAGAACCGGGAGATCTCCTCTTGAGATCCCGTCGTCATGTTCGCGGGGATGTATGTCAAATCCAGCTTCCCGCTCGCGACGTGGTTTCTGATCGCTCGACTCTGGTTTAGGTACTCGACGGATTCGTCGGAGCCCATGAAGCGGAATCGCCAGTCGGGGGGCACGACGGACATGAAATGGAGCATCAGAGGAGCGAGGATGGGGTTCTTCCGGTTCTCGATTAGGAGGGCGACTTTGGAGACGTTGTAGGGCGATTCGGCTGGCGCATTGCCGTATTCTAGGTGGATGCTGGGTGCTTTTGGGAGATGAGGGATGGTGGGTATGGAGGGGCGGAAGAGGAGGAATGACATGATGCTTTGAGGACGTCAGCTTGCTGTTCGCTCTTCTGCGTTTCGTTCTCCATCGTGACAATTGCAATTTAAAACTGGAGAAGACGGTTGAAAAGTATAGCAGACACAACTTACACAAATATTAATACAGCGCCTGCAGCGCGCATCCGCCGCGTCGTCTTCGACCATGCTGCCAACACGGCACTCTTCGTATATTCCCACGCATCGTCAATGGTCATATCACTCGCCGCAGACGCCATGCTGACTGCCTGCTTCTCGCTCCTCGTCGAGCGTCGCTGATATGGATGAGACGAACAGACAATTCAAGGTCCTGTCGAAATCCAAGTCGTGGTCGACGAAACAATGAAAGGGGCGTGACCACCAATTCTCGTTTGTCACTTGGATGGAGACTTGAGTGCTGAGGTTTAGCTTTACTGCCTGTGGCTGACGCGGCCTGAGGTTTGAACTTTGGGCTTGATACTTAGCGACAGTTTTCAGGCTTTTGGGTGCTGGAAATAGGGCTTGATACTGTAGGGTGTCCTGCCCCCCGTAAAGAACCTTGTAATTGCAGTGGAAGGATGGGAGCTAGGCGGAGATCTGCAAGGCCAAAGGATGACGGATCGAGGCTGTCAGCGTATGAATAATACGGTATCGTGCCGTCCTCGTATAACTGTGATTACTGCTGAAAAAACTCTATTCGTAAATTACGTCGGCCAAATTAGTACAGTAAATGGGATTTGTTCACCTCGAAAAACAGAAGTTTGTCGCCTTTTTGAATCAGAGCAGTGAGCAGTATGATTTTCAGGGTTGTGGTGACATCTCGACTCCCCATCGCTTCTAGCGGGGCCCAAGAAGCTGCTGAAGCAGATTTCGCTAGCTCCCCCCTAACCTGGTTGGTAGCGACGACAGGGGCCTCTAGCACAGCGCTGAGCTGAGATGCTTATTTTCGTTTGATCAACTTACACGATACACACGAGCACACACCTGATTTCATTTCATTCCATCTTCCATCTTCCATCCCTCATCTCATGTCTGTAACGTGTGCATGTCACTCGCTGCAGTGGTGACGGACAATCGTTGTCATATTTTACCTGCTCAATTATATTACAGGTCTCCGGCTGCATCTCCGCAGCTGCACAAAGTCGATGGATGACCATCAGATTTCCCGCCTATCACCATTCGGGCCTGCCGCCAGTCGCAGAGTGAGTAGATTATATCGAAGGCGCATTGAAACTCAATGGGGGAAAGGTTCAGCAAGCCTCACCCCGAATATAGCCTGAGAATTGAGAATTCATGCTGCGCTGAAGCCAGACGCCTGGAAAGACAGAAGATCTGAACACGGTTTGTCGGTTTCCTGCCCTCAGACATCCCACGTGGGAGAATAGCCAGAAAGGGGTTAAATATGGCGAGTAGGGCTGGGGTGTATTTATCAAAAGCTTAAGTAAATGCCTAGGCCAACAGGGATTCGGCTGAGGCATGTCTACGTTGGCCTGTCTGATTCGTCATTTCAGCTCGTCTCCTTTCTTCCAGATTTCCACGTCTCCAGATTCGTGGAAACACGCGCGGAGCCTCAAAGGGTATAACATTCCCCGTTAAGTTAACATCCCTTTGCGATCCTCATTTCTCGCTCATGTCTCGCCAGTTTCTACTCCCCCTTTTCTCAGATCGCCTAAAGCCAACGCCAAGAGGCATTCAATACTTCAAAATCAGACAGCTGGCGGAAGTTTCCTCAGATCTCGTCCAAGAACTCGTCGACATTTCATTCGCAGGGATTCTAGCTGTGGAGATTTTCTCGGGTACGCGTCGTCCCAAACCAAAAATGGGACTTCTCGGCCCCATCAAACTTTCTGATGTGCTGAAACAATGCCGCGATACTAGATACACTCTAGACCTTCACCAATGTCAAGCTTCTTCCATCGAGACTTGCACATCTGCGACTTCCACTACCACTTGTGGCCCACTGTGGAGATGGAACTTGGACAGCAGATGCTATGATTTTCCCTTTTTCTTACGATCTGCAAGATCAGGTTTGCATCTTTAGATGAACTCTCTCTTTTCTCCTAAGTTGAGCGTTTCTACTTCTTCAATATTTCCTTTTTTTTACGCAGTCTTGACCTCTGAGACCTCCGTAGCTGCTTCCTGACTAGGTCAGTATACGCCCAAAGTAGCCATTTCTACATTCTTGGACAATTTTCACGTGCCCTCACGTCCTGTTCTGAAATTCCGTCCATACGCCTGCCGGTGGCTTGTTATCTCCCTGTAACCACGATTTCGAGAACTTTGGGAGGTCTGTCGATAGCTGTCTGAATCCTCGATCTTTGACGGTTCTCGGGGACGTACTGGGTTGGATGGCGGAATATACATTCCTCTGAACATTTCTCAGCAGGCATCGACCACATCCTCAACCCACCAGACTGTCGCCGGTCGCTGACCATGGCACTCAGTACCGTTGACGAGCGCCGGCGCAGGTCCCGCCATATCTTCCTCGCAGCCTTCTTATCCCTCGTCTTTATATGGATAGTCAAGTTATGCTATCCTCAACACACTCTCATCAGCGTCTACCAGTCCAACCAAGTAGTGACCAAAGTCCCAGTATCAGAAGCTATACCCACAGCAACTTCGGAGGAAGAACCTGTACCAACTGGTCAACGAGGCGATAAATGGAAAGACAAACCTAAAGAGGGGACCATCCTCGCCGAAAACATCTTCAGTGGCAACGTAACTACCAAAGCGGCCGTAATAGTCGAGACTCGATTCCGAACCAATCTCGTCCCTCTCATTCTACATTTCAGCAGTGTCCTCGGTCCGACATGGCCGATTCTCATATATACCTCTCCGGAATCAGTAGGGCAATTTTCATCTTCCGCGGCCCTGGCCCGGTACCTGAGGATGGGAATAGTCCAGGTGCGGATGCTGCCACAAGAAGTTCTTTTCACGAACTCAGATTCAGTCAATGCGTTTATGACGAAGAAGTGGTTGTGGGAAGACCTGGCACCAGCGGAGCATATTCTGATTTTCCAGAGTGATAGTATGCTGTGCGCGAATGCCGCCAGGAGCGTCGATGATTATTTCCAGTATGATTTTGTGGGGGCGCCGATTGCTGCCGGGTTGGGCAAGGGATATAATGGTGGATTGAGTTTGAGAAAGAGGAGTACAATTATGAGGATCCTGGAAGAGTGGGACTGGGAGAAGACGAAGACAAAGGATGTGAGGTTTGAGGATCAATGGTATTATGATAGGTACGTTTCTCGTCTTTTTTAACGTTTGCCATATGCAGAGCAACTAAATTAACCAATTATAGGATGTTGAAACTCCAAAAAACAGGCGATTCCACAGGAGATGAACTTTCCATAGAACTTCCCAGCATGGAAGTGGCGCGAACATTCAGCGTCGAGACGATCGATTACCCGCATCCGTTGGGTGTGCATCAGGTGCATAGGTGGCTGAAAGAGCAGATGTTGAGTTTGGATAAGTGGTGTCCGGAGTACCAACTTTGTAGCGAGGAACATATCAAGGATACGTAGAGTGGTGTTACACATGCATGCATTGTGCTGGAGTTATGGAGAATTAGATGGGGCATTTTGGGGGTGGTTTTTTGTGTTGTTATTTGCGTCTGGGTGTACTGGATAATGCAATATATCTTGCTGTAAAGATCACTAACTCACTCATTTTGGCAATGAGATCCGCATCGACTTCACTCCAAGATCATAATTTTCATTCTTCTTCCTGCTGGTGCCTGGTGGGCTCTGAATGAATATCGAGTTCTGCTTTCTTTGCACAAACATCGAAACTGCTATACTTCCTCTCACCCTGCGCCTCACTTAAAGACTCCACCAGCTTATCCTCCTCTTTACTCCCACCGGTACTCCGCACGAACATCGTCTCAAACGGATGCACACTTCCTTTCTCCATCGCTGTCCCATTCCCATAAGGCTGCTTCCCCTCTTCTCTTCTCTTACCACCGCATTTGGTGTCTCCTGACATAACATCAACCTCATACTTCATATCTTCGAGCAAGAAAACCGTAGTGCGGATCTCAGCTGCTTCTTGATCCTTTTCAGACTTAAAGCATTCCCCCATAGCTTCAGGGTCTAGAAGCGCAGCGAGACCGTCGGAATCGGTTGCCCAGATTAGAGACTCGATGTGTGGTTTGTTAGTAGAAGCACAGGTAGATGTTGCTGCTACTAGCTATTCTTGACATCAGCCCTCTTCTTGCATCGAACAATAGCAGGCAAGACATACTTTAACTTTGTGGTTGACCTTCCCCAGATAAACATCGCTCCAACAATCCTTACTCCACTTCGGCACGAACGGTCCCTTCGCCTTACTACTCAGCAGTATAAACCTCTCATACCGCTCCATCAATTTGCTCTTCTTCGCCTCGTCCCTCGATTCCAGTTTCCTTAGTTTCCCTGATTCAAGACTTGTCCTCCCTCGCTGTTCCGACCCTCCTTCCATGTTCAGAATCTCGGCATGCGTACCGAGCTCAAAACACGTCCCTTTCTCGCGCTCCAGCACGCGCACATTACCTATGTCCTTCGGCCATATGGTCTCGTAATCGTACTTCCCTCCCGCGTTCTGGTCATCTTTCTTATCCAGTTTCCCGTTCAGCACGAAGATGAAATGGGCGTCAATGTAGAGGCCGTGCTGGAGGAAGAATTTGAGGTTGGCGTAGGAGGATGGGGATTCGGTGTAGACGTATGTTATGAGTGGGATTTTGGCCTTTGCTGGTTCGATTTCCTTGCGGCGAGGGCCACCGGTCGCCAGGTTGACTAGCTGTTGGTGGGTGAGGGGTCGAGGGGGGTCGATTTCGTCTAAGGGTCTCTGGGAGGATAGCAAATCTGGGGGATGATGGAGTTGGTTTGCGGCTGAGAGGGGTTGTGGTTGGGTAGAAGATGAGTTGAGGGCTGGTGCGTGGGTGGTGAACTCATTTCCACTGGAGTTGGGGACGTTTTCGTGTTGGGAGGTGAGAGACTGGCGAGTGTTAAAGGGGGTCGAAAGAGTCAAAGTATTGAGATATAAGAAGCAAATCGAAGCAGAGAAGAAGGAATAGGTCTTACAATGAAATTAACGGTCAAGGTACAGAGGAGAATCAGAAGCAAGGCGGGAACCAAGAACCTGATATTGGAAATAACACCAGAAGCGAAATCGGCCATTGGAAAAGAACAGTGCCAAAAAGGAAGTGCAGAAGAGACAAGACAATAGAAAATTGTGGTTATTGTTGAACTTTCAACACATGTTCTGACACAAATACAGATATTACCTAGACTTGTATCATTCATTCCTGTCTTCTCAAAGACCTACGAGTGAGCATTGTGCAGCAAGCTAGAATAGACAAACAAAAATAAAGACTACTAGAACTTTAACATTGCTCACGTCGACTATCTGTGATTCACAGTTAGACATGTGGCTGATCGTTCCCTCTCCTTACCTGAAAGGGGAATGTGGAGCAACCCAGGCCAGATCCATCCGTGGGGGGGCTTCTTTAAAGTCTCCACAGGTGTCAAAATAGAAAGCCCTCGCTTAATATCAGATTACGGTAATCATCCCGAATATCGTGACGTGTTTCAACAGGCCACCGAAGCCTCCAGCCGCACTTTTTGACAGGGTTAGGGGGCCGCAGTCAGCGCGATTGCTTGGCCAGAAAGTCTACACCCAGTCGTCGTAATACCGGTACGAGATCGAAACTCTCAGTTTCGGAACAATTCAATTACTCTCTTCCCTTTCCCTTGTCACTTTATTTTTGCTCCATCGTCGGAAGTGAGTGTTTGCACTGCAACTTATTGCAGAGGCCATTATGTGCCATCTCCACGAACAAGCAAATAATATCGCGAAGCCTTAGGAATTTCCCTCGACACCTCCCGTCAATCTCGGAACTGCGTGGCACAGCGCCGCCGCCATCCATCGCGATCGCAGAACTCGAATTTCGAAGGAGGGAGTGCTCCAGGTCGCGGAGACAATGTCGACCTTACATGCTGGCTCCAGCTCTCCGGGCACTGGCATATTTGTCATTAACAGAGCGAGAATACTCGTGGTGGTATCGTTAATATTGACGTGAGTCGCCGACTATCCTCACCCCCAAAGAATGTGAGCTGATATGCGATTCTTCAACTACAGATGGACAATTGCGAGCCTGTTACCAAGATATAAGCAAACGGTCCTCGACCTAGGAAGAGAAAGGTACAATGATGCCATCGAACATTTGCCCGCCGTCAAAGTCGACTGGCACCCAAAATACGACCCGAAATCCCAATTCAATGCCTCGAAAGTCGCCCTCATGATCGAGCCTCGCCCGCTCCCGCATCTTGTTCCCCAGATCCTGCACATGATTTCCGTGGTTCCTCCGGACTGGAGATTCATGTTCATCGGCTCGAATAAGAGCGTCATCAGCGTCTCCAGAAGCTTTGCAACCCAGTACCAGGAAGCAAATGGGAAACTGGATCTGGTGGTCCTGCCAAAGCCCTGGTCGATCGAGAGCAAAGAGGGCGTCTACAGGTTGCTCACGGATCTGCGATTTTATGATGAATTCATGCCAGAAGCCGAGTGGTTGTTGAAATTCGAGTCCGATAGCATAATGTGTGCCAGATCAGACGATAGCTTAAATGACTGGCTGCACTACAGCTGGGCGGGAGCTCCGAGGTCAGTGTAAAAACCATATTCTGCCTTTTGCCGCATGCTAATGATATACTCACAGATCCGCAACGGACCGGTTCGCTGGAAACGGAGGACTCTCCTTACGCAGAATATCAGCAGTCAGACAAATATTGAACTTCCAAGCACGATATAACGATACAGAGCCAGAGGATGAATGGTTCGGGAAACGACTTACGGTTCTACCAGGAGCGAAGATAGCGAATGGACAGCAAGAAGATCATTTCTCGGTCGAATCAGTATGGCATGAGAAGCCCATGGGATACCACGTCCGAGACGGCGGAGAGAATCTCGCAGACGACGTATGGAAGGACCCCCAAAGGAGAAAGGAGAATTTCGAATACTGCCCAGAACTCTCGATGATCATGCCCATGAAGCTGGAACGAGAAAGATGTGAAGGCGACAACAAGCAGGGTGAAATCGTTGGAGAGAGGAAGGGAGGAGGCAGAGAGTAAAGATCTGACGGTCTCGATATTGGGAGATCATCTGTTCTGTAATTTTAGCGTTCCCAGTTCGCCGATTTCTATGCATGCATTGGAGATACGCAAATAGGAGATATCTGGGGATGGTGATTTTCGTGGTCTGGTCTGGCGTCTGGGGGTGTCCGGATTTTGATGCTCAATTGGAAAAGGGGTTCGGTAGAAGATACACAACAAATCCATGGCCATGTTCATTCAATTTGCTGTGTTTTAAGGTGTTTGTTTGTGCATACTTGATTATATTTGGGATATCACTATCAATCTTTCCGGAGGCTTCATGTCATCAAGCATATCAGGCATGGTAGAAAACATTCTGAAGGAAATCCAAGCTGATCTGAGGTTCAAGGACATTCATTTCGTTACTGTCAATTTAGATTATCTCCAGTCAAGCTGCTTAGAATCAAAAGAACCTCCCATTCATCAGGTCATTCCCACCAAGACGGACTTTCTTCTTTTCTACTTGATTGCCCTTATCTCGTTTACGGCAAGCTCAAGAAGTAGTCAAGCATCTTCGGATAGTTAGGAGTTCCTATTCTTCAGTAAGCCTCCCATTCCCTATTACGACAAAAACGAATACTCACCAAGTCCCGTAGCTGGGTCCCAGCCTGTCGCAGCTGGAAATCCTTTCGTTGCACAGCCTGGGTTCGATCCAGTCGTGATGTCGTTCAGCACATGTGGATTGGCATACAAGGCTGGGTTCAAAAAGCCTAGGGTCTTCTTGCCGATGTTGAGACGTTGCTCGTTGATTCTGTTGATGAGGGAGGCCCACTACAACGAATTAGTACGAGGCTTCCTGTCAAGAAAGATTCCTACTTACGATGGGAGTAGCAGCACTGGTTCCTCCTTCTACCCCGGTCTCGCCGCCAATAACAACGGCAAGGTTCCATCCATTTGCTGATACATCAGGATACCTGTTTGTTCATGAGCATGATTAATTATGCTCTGGACTAGCACTTAAAGTGTGACATTGAAGAGGCGAGAACTTACCCACGGCCACTGCGGTTGTAAAGCCCATCTGTTGTCGCCAAGCTCACATTCCCACGGTAGTATTTGTAGCCAGGGTCATGTCTTTGAAGGTAGTCATAGACCGCTGAATGCTGGTAGGAAGGAACAGGGTAAATATTACTGAAACCACCACCAGACGAATATCCCCAATCTGGATAGTCGGCTACACTCTCGGGTTCGTAGACGGTGCTGTTTGGATTTATTTGCGTGGCGCCAACGCTCGTCACATAAGGACAACTGGAGAGAGTCATTGTGTTAGTAATGAAATTGGGAACAGAGATTTACTTACCTGGTGGGAAATCCTGGACTGAAGATTTGTCCGTAAGTTCCAAGGCAGCCATCGACGTTACCATCCCCATATCGACCAGCCACACCGGCGTCTCCAGATGCAAAGAAGATAGAAGTTCCTTGAAGACCCAATTTCATGTATCTAGGTTATATGAGCATGCAGAGCATATTTTTAGATCAAGTCTTACTCGTTACACTGTCTTTGCTGGTAGTATGTTGGCCAGTCAGCTTCCGAGCCGCCGTATGAGACCGATATGACATTAGTTGGCTACCTGTCATGAGCGGATGATTCAAAATCTCTCATACAACGTACTTCGTAGACACCACACATCAATTGGCCTTTATACCCCCCGGACCAGACTGTGTCAGGATAGACCGGATCAATAGCTTAATTATCTTTAGTCGAGGTTTTAACGGGATCAATTGGGAGCATACGATCATTACCAGTCTCGCCGAAGGCTGAGTATGTACAGTATGACTATTATAGTAAATTAGTCTCGGTCACCGTAGGAATAGCTGTCAATTTACTCCATCAATTGCGTCCAAGAACGTGTTAAGCTGTGGAGCAGTTAGTAATATGCTTAGGACAGCGCGTAATGTACACAATAGTCTCGGTCTCCCCGGACAAGAATGTCACTCACAAAGCCGCGAGACGTATATGCGCTATACAAATCATCTGTCTGAAATAACGTTACGTTCTGGGGGTAGATGATGGGATACGACAGCTGGAGATCTAAGTCAGACTCTGGTCCAGCATCATACTGGGGCACGGGCGCCTGTGCTCCATCAATGAAGGCAGGCACTGGATGCGTTCCTTGAGGAATATACGGTGTGAAATTTGCGAAAAAGGTGTCGAGATCAGCCTGATCATAAAAGTCGCCTTCTTCGAAGATCCCAAGAGAGTTGTCGGTGCGTGCCTGACCACCTGGATACTCAGGCGTTTCCGGAAATCCGTACAGAGCTCTGAGGCAAGCAGGGGTTAGGGCATTGTAGCATTGAGAAAGGTCGTCATTAGTCGAGATATCTGTAGCCCTCTGGAATGGGATAGAACTGTGGATCCTATTGCTAGCAGAGCGAGCCTTCACTGAACGCTTGCTTGGTGCAGATAGCTTGATACCGGGCGTGATGTAATCCAAGTGTTCTTGAATATATTTTGGGACGTGGTAGCTAGACGAACGTCAGTGTGACATCAAACAGACAATTGAACTTTGGTACCTCTCACAAGCAGCCGTAGTCTGGCCATCTACATGTTCATAGAGATGATATTCGGTGAGAAGAAGTGTTTCAGCTTCTTCGGTGGTGGCATCAAAAGCAAGCCAACCTTTATTGTCAGAGTGGGTAAGACGCTGAGGAGCGATCCCCGAGTCAATCAACCAAGCTCGTACGGCATCGACTGTTTTCTGTTCAGGGGCAAACATCTCAATGACCTCCTCCGACGTCCAGTGTTTGGAGTAATTGGGGGAGCTGGGATCAGATCTACGTCAGGTTAGCAGAGAGTTCGATGAAATTCACGATTGGACATACATATCCATAAGAAGATCATGTCCAAGATGCAGGTTTCTCTGCTTCAATCCAATTCTCATGGGAAGACGAGCATTGGCGGAAAGTCTCCCTCTCTTCTCCCATTTTTTTGCAACTGCAGTGTCCCGCTTTTCGTGCACCGCATGGGTATGGGGAATAGCGGCAGCTGAAGCTATTGCAGCAAAGCCGAAAACTAAGCCCAAGTTCAAGAAACGCATGATGAGAAGTAGAATTTGAAGAAATCAAGATAGGAGTGGGAAAAATGAGAGATTGGCAGAAAGCGTCCATTTTGAAGTACTGTCAAGAAGCCGTTGGACTCTTCGGGGCACACGAGCACAACTGGCAGCCGTTGAGCCATGTGCCATGTTACCTCATGTATGCCACGTGCCTTGATGGTTATCTTGGAAGAGGAGAAAGGAGAAAGTCTGTCATAGTGAAGAGCCTCAACAATAAGTTGTGGTGTAACTGAACGCTTCTGGCAAGTGAGGAAACTCCAAAAAAAAGGTAAGTACAAGTACGACAATAGCGGCTCACTGCTTAGGAAATTGCTACACAGCACTTGCAGCTGCTCGTATTGAGAAGATTGAGAGGTTCCCCTTCATCGTGGATGTAGATCCGTTCCGTTTGCCGGTCAGGTACAGCATTACCAAGGACGACGGTATTGTTTGGTAGTTGTGCAGTTCCGCGCATCGACCAATCTGCGGTCTGTGCTGCCGACGTAAGTGACTCCTAAAAATCGAAGAAATGAAGAAACATGAGCAAATTGCGCATGAACAATTTGCATTTGAACACTTCATCAAGAGACGCTTGCCATTGCCGAGAGGTACACAAGAGAAGAGAAGAGTTGAGATGTCACATAGATTGACTATTCTCTGAAAACTTGCGTGCAATGGCGGCATCACCATTCTGCACTCATGGTTCTCGGAGAATTTTTTCAAAGAGACAAGTGACTCACAGTCCCATCTTTAACTTTCTTATCCCTTATATATAATCGGTGGATTTCCATTTTCCTTGGCCTGATTGATATCTAGTGCATAGCATTTCGAACTTTCAACAGGTACAGAGTTGTGTCACGAACGGCTACCTGCACCATGGATGTACCTATCTCAACCGCTGGTCTCGACCTGTCCCTGAATAAGGAAGAGGGACCGATCAAGTACTTCAGCTGGCCACAGCATGATGCATTGCAAAGCTTTCTTCCTACTCTGCACCCGTACCTTCCATACAGCAACCCTCTTTACAACCGCATGAAAGCACCGCATAATCTCCCCTCAAGACATTGTCTTTTCGCTGCAACATTCTCGCCCGGGACAACAACCATACCAAAGATCTTCACGATTTTGTTTGCAGATCGCTCTCGACATGAAGAATCCCAGATATGGACGTTCAATTCGTTGAACAGCACCACCAAGCCATTGACGGCATCCCAACAAGAATCCCTGACAATGCATATGAATGCCGCTGTCCGTTTTCTCAAAGAATCGTCAATACCAGAAGCTCCGGGGTGGCCATTCTCACCGATTCTGAAGTTTGCTTGCCTGCATGAGCATCTGACTTCAACACTTGTGGCAATCGGGAATCCGAGTAACGCAGTGCCACGCCAAAGTCACTGGAATTGCTGGCTGGTAAACACATCCACCATCTCCCCCGCATCTGAGAAGGCGTTATCAGAAGGATACACAATCACACGGGTTCCAGATGACCAACTGGACATTGTCATATCCACATCTTCCATTCCTCGGCAACCTTCCACGTATAAGCTCCTTCCAAGCGTCGGAGTTCTAGATCCCAACGATAAGTTGATTGCTTGGGGCTATGTTGGAATTGATGGGTCGTTTGCAACCTTGTATGTTCTCCCCGACTTCAGGGGCAGAGGAATTTCTAGCATCATAGGCAGGGAATTGCTGAGTCGACTGAACAATGGAGACTTCTCCGACATGGGGTATGATGGGAAGAGTGGATGGGTGCATTCTGATGTCTATGACGGAAACGCAGGGAGCGAGGCTGTGATGCGCGGCTTGGGAGGATTCATTGCCTGGAAAAGCAGTTATGTCTGGATTGATAGTGCCAGACTTTGACATCAATTCTAGGTTTCCTACAAGCCTTGGTACAACTGCCCCGCAGGCCTTCCTCCGCCTCTCTTTTACCACAACCTCATCGCAACGTGTGCGGCATTTCTGCAGAAGTTTTTACTCAACACCTAACCCACAACATCTTCTGTACAATCTTCGCTCTTACTCAGATCCCCCAACCGAAAGCATCGTACTATAACGTCCAAGATTAGCAGCTATTTTGACAGCCGTCCTAGTGGGCCAACTAACCTTGATTGCAACATCCAACAGCTCTGGGTACAAGTACATATCTTCGGCGATGCTATCAATGAAGCTCTTGACAAATGCCTTCCTGTCCTCGTACCGCTTCTGCTGGGCATTTCTGCAGTCTGTGAATACTGCATTGCGTTGTCGAGCTGCTTCTTGATCTATGGCCTCTGCTTTCTCGCGTTCTCGGAGCTTGGCATACGATTGAATATAGCTACGACCCTCGATAGGTTCGATTTTTGGAATTGCATCTCCTGTCTCAGATATCAGCTTGTCCCGCTTCAGGTTCAGCGAGTCCTGATAGTGTGTACCCATCTTCTTGCTACTGAATACCTCACCAGATTCTAGAAATTGAACGTCAGCGCGATCCTTTCAGGATTGAGGGACAAGAAAACATGCCCTCGACACCATTTCTATCATTGTACTTCTTCTTTCTGGCGTTTTCTGATTCTGTGATTGTGAAAATCAGCCCGTATTCAGAAGTTAGAGGATAGGGGCAAGACTTGCCCCGTAAGTAAGCCACGCGCATCTTTCGCTCTAATTTGGTGATCCTGCTGGTATTAACCAACATCTTTGCTCGAGAATCACCAAGCGATAGTTCCGCATAGTAATAGGCCTGCAGCTTCTCGGTGATCACTGCTTCGTTGCGCTCCTCCAGCTCAATCTGTGCAATGAATTAAGTGACATCCATTGCATCGTCCTTGAGAAGACCTCTTCGGAATATTTGAAAGTTGGCAAAATCAAGTGTATAAATAGTGCGCTATTGTAAAGAGCGAGTGCTGTGATTCAGCACTGCGAAAGCTCGTCTTTGGAAAAGAAGTCAAGATTGTGCGATGAGGAGATATTGAACGGAAGTCCTTATTTCTTCAAGATCAATTTGAGATAAAGGTGGAGCCCTAGATTTCCGGATTCACCACTATGTTTGAATCCATCACTTCAACTTTGAAACGGTTGTACCATACAATAGAAGATGCAAGGATGAGCTAGAAGTCTATCTGAATGCTGCTTGAAGCTGATTGGAAGATCTTGAAGTCTAGTAGTAAGCATTCTTGTGTTTTTTCTATCTTTGACATCTGAGTGGGTTCATTGATGCTTGTACTATAAAGTATAGTTGTCGTCTTTGATATGGGATCGATAAATAGAGCTTTTGATTCGGTAAATTATCCTACTTAGGACACCTATTTCTTTGGCAGAATTGGCAATATCTGTCTTTGTGTAGAAGGATTGAGTAGTGAAATAGAGGAGGTCGATTTGCACCAAGTGGCGCTTCCATCTGTTCTTGAATGGAATCGACTATGCCCTTCTATCGCACTGCATGCGCTTCCCTGTGCCATCGAAGCCTTCACTTGATGTTTCTCGCCTAGTGTGAAAGAGCTTGAACTATCTGTTTATCGTTCAAGATCAGCCGTATTGCTTTCACAAATACGGCCTTTATGCGAGTAAAGCTCCCCATGAGTGAAGTGTGCAATTTTCATAGAATCTGCCTTGCTCTTTCTTCAATTTTTTTTGTCTTGGTCACACATCAGCCTCGAATCTTGGCAGCATTGTAGCGCAGGAAAGATGAACTCTTCTTGCTCGGTCAATCATGCACACGATAGAGACACCACACACATGGCATAGACGCTAGTCTCGTCTTGGATGATCAGGAGCAATGCTGAGGAATCCTTGTGTACTGAAGACCTGCGCCATCGGATAGGCACATGTCACTTGAAAGGAAAAGAGTGACAACACAATGCCAGCACACTCGTACGACCCTTTCAGCTGTGCACACTTTCAACACCTTCCATTCGTTCCGTTTGCTTTGTATCTGATCGGCGCTCCTTTTCTATTCATTCGGCACCTACCCGTACAAGTGATGAGGGAATGTGCGATCGTTCCTTGTGTATAGCAAATGGTGCAACGAAATTGCTTCCCCTGCGGCTTGTATCGTGACCTTGACCGAGCAAGCAAAGTAGGCTGTAAGTTAACCACTGACTGAATAACAAGAGTAGCCGCATGAAATCTGAAAATTACCTACCTATATAAGATATACAAGGAAAGGTAACTACTCCATTCGAAAAAGTAATTGAGCGTGATGGCATACTGCCTATTGTTCTATAAGTCCTCTCACTCCGTCCACTTTGGTAAGTACCGTGTCTTGCAGTGGACATTGCATGCGAGCCGGCTCATTCCGAGGCGGTGATGGGGGCACGTTCCCCGCAAGTTGCTTGCATCAAGTTCTTGTGGAGAGGTTTCCGTGGAGCAAAAATTCCCGTGGAGCGAACGTTCTTGTGCTAGATATCCCAATCATCACTGGCGTTCCTGAACGAGAATTGCATTGGTCGAGTTGACCGCGCGTAGTCAACATCTCCGTTGAAGTGACGAACGACTTCCCTCACACACTGAATATGCCGAGTACCTTGGTTGTGGTTGAATTCACTTTGAAAGAGTCAAGAGCGAAATATCTTTGCAAACTCATGTCGAGCATCGTCTTTGTAGCCCCTCTTCCCACTCATCATCCTGCAGCGGTACGTCATTCCCACATGAACATGCTTTGTCCATGCTCGGGATTGTGGCCCTGGAAGTCTCCTCATTCGCACGTCTTCTGTATACTTCTGAGTTGGGACCCGTCAAGAGATGGGATCAATCTGGCGAGATATTCTATGACTTCGTATTCTTATAATAATATATTAATGAAATAGCGCGCTAGCGCTATGTACACAAATAGCACGATATGCACTTTCCACAGAAAACAACACTTAGCTTATGTGGTCACGCTCTCTGGTACCTTTTCTTTGCCTTCTTTTGTGGATGATTTAGAGAAAGGAAGGCGGTGAGAGGGGTATTTATATATATCTTGCTTCAAGTTAAACGATTTTGCCGTCAAAAACTTCACTTTACTAAACTCACAAGATCTTTCAATTTTAGTGAGTTTGTGGATTCACCTACTTCTGGTTTTGGGTGTGTGTTATATACCCCTCCTCCCTCTACTTCCCTCACCAGGCCGTTGCAATTCACTTTTCGATCACAAAACCCAAGGACAAGTCGGCTATTGGTGAAGACGTTACATTCACTTTTCTTCCTCCCATCCTTGATCTTACACATTCAAAGCTATCCCACACTTCGCTGCAAGTGATATGCGGAAGTCTACCATCTACGACTGAACTGGATTGATTCCCATGAAGCTAAGATGCTTGTTTGCCAATCATCCCCAATGATCACCAAAGTCGTCAACAGGGAAAGTAGGCCTTGTCCCCTTTACCGGATTGTCGAGAAATGGGCTTCAAGAGGATCTTTGGTGATCGAGGTCATGCTTGTATGTAGGATCCAGGACGAAAAGCGGGATGAGTTCACGGCATCGCCACGAATGGGGCCCAGGGTATAAACCTTTCGCTCATCTTCTTCAAAGTCATCATCATCCCATGGTAATGCTTGGCTTTTCGGTACTCCTTCCAATCCACGAAGAATAATGTTCCATGCTCCCCTTCACTCGCTCTGCCCTACCACCTTTGACAGAGATCAATGCAGGATATATTCAAAGAGCTTCTTGCACGACCTCGAACGCTTGAGCTTACCTTTCAATTCCCTTTGCGAAGCCGCCTGTTGGCGATCTCCGCTTCGCTCCACCCGAGCCGTTTGAATCAAAATTCAATGGCACTACTTCAGCTACTATCAATTGCATCCAATTCTGGAGCCAATTTATCGAATCAGCCTCCTCATCAGAAGACTGGTCAGCATTAGGTCCTCTGAGTAGTTCTGCTAAGCTGAGAACTCTTAGTCTGTACCTGAACGTCTGGGTGCCCCCAAATGCTTCACCATCGTCCAAGCTTCCTGTCAAAGTCTGGATCTATGGAGGAGCGGACGATGCAGGTGGGGTTTCAAATCCACTGTATGATGGGTGTCGTTTGGCATCGGGAGGAGACTCTGTGGTAGTGTCTGTTAACTACCGATTTGGTCCTAGTTGTCCTTGGTGTAGTGACATTCCAGATACAGCTGCTGCTCTGGAAGCACTGGCCCCACGCATAATGCTGAATTCCGTTTGTGCTTGGAAACGTGGATTATTTGCAGAGCTTTACGGCTGCAGAGAAGGAGGTATCGAGGACGATGATGAGCTTTTGGACGGCGATGGCGGAGACGGGAAGTCCTTCCATTGAAGAAATGGAATGGCCGGCCCAAGATATAACTTCTGGTTATGAGGTCGTGGGGTTGAACGTGGTGAACGGGACAATTGTTGGGATGAAAGATTATAGCATTTGCGAGTTTTGGGATGACATTGCTGAGCTGATTGAGGGTTCGTACGGAGTCAATCTGTCGTCCTCGGTGTGATGATGGTGTAGCTTCAAGAGCATGCAATAGATCGTCCTGACTAAGGACTTGAATATCAATCTCTATTCGTCTGCGGTCATGGTGTCTACAGTCGTTTTATTGATTCAGAAGATACTGATAGTGAACGTAACGATCAAACATACCTCATTGATGGGTGGGAAGGAGTTGAATTCAAAGTATTTGAGGAAAATCCTACCCAGTTATACAGATGAGACACAGTATGAGTGGTACTTCTTTACAGAACCTTTCGTTTCACAATCAGCATGTAGAGACGTGGGCAAGATGCTTCAATGACTAGCGTAGACTTGAAATACAAAAATAAAGGGTATCACCGCTGGCTCTCAAGTCTCAAAGTACCTAGGTGACCCATTTCCCAAACACCAAACATTGAGATTTCTTCCCGCAGTTCCCCACCACCCAGCGTCATTGCTCATGTAAAGTGAACTCCTAGAAAAGTCAGTACACGACTAACTGGACAGAGTGACGAATACATACCATCAGAGCGTGACTTAGACACTGAAAAGAGTCCCAAATCGTCTCTCTCAAGTCCATAACCCAGTGATAACACCAACGGCTGCTTCAATGCTTGACTTCGTCCTGCTGCGTACCGTGGCGAGGTTTCTGTCTTTGCTGGGGAGGAGCTTTACGCTTGGTGCCGGTCCACGCAGAGTCTAGTCCCGGAGTGAATCTTTCAGTCTACCATTCTAGTTTTCACAAGGTAATATCACTACTTACGAGAGAATGTGCAGCTACCGCAAAGGTGAACTCCAGATCTTGCTCCGCAGTTCACGCATTCCTCGACGGCTTCTCCAGGCATTGCGGTCTTGCCGAACTCATGTGCCATTTTTGAGGCGTGATGGTGACATCCGGAGGACTTGCAAGCGGGTATAAGAAAGTCCACCGTTCTTGATGTGTACGGAAGGAGGAATGATATGGCCGAGCGGTAGATATCTGTGGCATCTCGGCCACATGTTGCGCAGTCCCAAAGTCTCGAGCCGAGGCGGTGCGTCTGGTATCCCTGTACAACATATGTCCTGATTGCGCTATTGAAAGCTGGATCATGTGTAGGTTGTATAGATTGAGCGGGTTCTTGCTTGTGCGGGCGGAAAACTAAGGATCGAGTAGACATGGTTTTCTGAAGATCAATACTTCATGAGGTCAAGCAGATGAACTGTTGAGAAAATTAGGCTGAGATGGAGAAGTACTGAATCGCCGCTTGGTCGTCAATTGAAGAAAGCGCAATAGTCTAGTAAACAAATCCGAAAATGATATGGGGATGACGCGAAGCTAAAAGTGCCACGTGACTGGGCTGCCTTTGGCAGGCGCGCTCTTCCTTCTCCTCTCGACTTCATGCTCTATGGCAGTTTCATCTGATCGTTCGAAGACATCTCACTACAACAGATTCGAGAAAAGACGTGGCTGTCTTGATCGCTACTTGAAATGTAACACCTACCTTGTCTGCTTAAAGTCTAGCAACCCTCTAGCAACTTACAACGAGGAAATTTCCCCTGGGGCTGGTCAAATCAAGTGTTATTGTGTGAAAATCGAATGACCAGAACGCTCTGACAAGTCTGGTTCCTTAAATCCCATCAACTTGCGATGCAAACACCAGAACATGGCACACTCGCAATCGGAGCATATCTCCTAAGTATGTTCAAATCAGCCAGTCTTAGACTTCCCCGTGTAACAGTTGAGATAATGTGGGCCGCTGTGAGTCTGTAATGGTACCCTCTCGCGTACTCTTTCCGTCACGTACGCTTGTTTGAAGTATTTCGAGGTAGTTCCAAAAGGAGAAAGAAACACGATTGGGTTGCACCCATTATAATGACCCTCTGATCTAGAGCAGAGAAGTCTCCGAAGATAGTGCCTCGCCGCAGCATCTTACGTGTCACAAGTTGGGATGACAGAAGGGAGGATGTTTCTAAACACTTTCGAATTCATGCAACTGACTCCGTGAGACCACACTTGGCCGGAGCTGAAAGCGCAGTCATCTTGGGTATTTAAAGAAACAGGAGGACAAGAATTACTTTCGCAGACGTATTTTGTATCAAGTGCAAACTCCCGCAAGTCCTGTCACTGTAAAGAGAAGCGTATGCTTCAGACCTTGGCAATCTCAGCCAAACCACCGCCCCATTTTACGTCCTGGTGGCCCCAGAAAGATCTTCACGATTGCGGAAGAGCAACGGTTGACACGCATAAGCGTAGGTGATATGAGCATGGATCTTGTGATACACCGGCTACGACAGTCGAATAGGAGGCCAGTGGTCCTCACGACGCTGAGTGGAGGATTGGGGGGATGCGACACTGGCCACGATGTTTCATTATGCATACCGTCTCCAACGTCTACATGCATCATCCCTCACTCGAAGGTGGCTGATCATCCTCTTTAAGTATGCTTGGATCGCTGCGCCTAGACAGTCTGGTAATGTGATAGAAAGTGAAGAAACAATCATTTTCAATTCTTCAAAATTTCGAAAAGTTTTTAAAGACTGGAGATGTCGACGGACGAGAGCATTGCACTTTCAGGGGTTGGTCGTTGTAGTCCAACTCCACCTCCAAGCGAGAACGGGGATGACGCAAATCTCGCTGGCAGCGGTGGTGGTTGCCCGACGAACGCCCCTATCCAAATCAACAACAGCGCTTTGGCTTGTCCACCATCACCACCATCAAGTATCAAAGGACGTCGCAATCGCTCATCGCTACAAAGAGAGGCAAATAGGTCAAGGCAATTCACGAGTCGTTTGCAAAGAAGCGCAACTACCACCGAAAATACCAGTGACAGTGATCTACTAGGGAGGAGACGCGGACGAGGCTTTCGAAGACAGACGACAAGTTTACCTGTGGATCACGGATTAAAAGCAATCGAGCCGCCGCATGAGCAAGCACTCACCAAGATGGCGTTTGCAGAGCAGCAGAAATGGATCACAGTCCAGCAAAAGACATTCACAAAATGGTAGGCTCCGAGTCTGCGCGTTGGAGGACCTTGCATTGACGGTTGGGACAGGCTGAACACCAAGATCGAACCACGAGAACTAGCAGTCGTGGATCTTGTAAAAGATCTGAGCGATGGAGTGAGTATACAGTTGTTCAGCTCATTGCCGTGCGAGGCTGACGGATTGTTTAGGTTATTCTTATCCACCTCCTCGAATGCCTCTCGAACGAGTCCCTCGGCCGCTATGCAGCGAAGCCAAAGTTACGAGTGCAGCGATTTGAGAATGCCAATCTATCTTTGGACTTCATAAAGTCGAGGGGTATTCAGATGACGAACATTGGAGCAGAGGATGTCGTGGATGGTAACCGGAAGATCATATTGGGTCTCATCTGGACCCTAATCTTGCGATTCACCATTTCCGATATCAATGAGGAGGGCATGACTGCAAAAGAGGGTCTGCTACTCTGGTGTCAAAGGAAAACAGCTTGCTACGAGGAGGTCGATGTACGAAACTTCACAGACAGCTGGAATGACGGCCTCGCGTTCTGCGCCTTGTTGGATATTCATCGTCCGGATCTAATCGATTACGATGCTTTGGATAAAAACGACCACCGTGGTAACATGCAATTGGCTTTTGACATCGCTAGCAAGGAGATCGGTATACCTGATTTATTGGATGTGGAGGATGTGTGCGATGTTGCTAAGCCCGACGAACGAAGTTTGATGACATACATAGCCTATTGGTTTCACGCATTCTCGCAGATGGAGAAAGTTGAGAATGCAGGACGGAGGGTGGAGAAGTTCGTCAACAACATGCAGGGTGCTTGGGAGATGCAGAGCGCATATGAGAGAAGGATGCGAGCTCTGTTGAAGAATGTTCAGGAGCAGGTTGTATTCTGGCAACAAGCAAAGTTCGAAGGAACTTATGTTGATGCGAAAAGGCAAGCAACGGAATTCAGTGCCTACAAGAGGGGGAAGAAAAGGGAATGGGTTGCAGAGAAGAGCGATTTGGCTGCACTGCTCGGGAATATCAAGACGAAAATGAGCACTTACCGGTTGAGACCATACGAGCCTCCAGCGGAGTTGAGGCTATCCGTTTTGGACGACGAGTGGTCGAAGTTAATGAAGTCGGAGATGGCTAGAGGTCAGCTCATCAACGAGACAATCAGAGAGTAAGTTTGAGAATATGGTCTTATCAGCTAAAGCTAACACAAAATAGTATCAAAAATGCTCTTCGCAAGTCTTTTGCAGACAAGGCCAATGACTTTGCGCTCGCTCTTAATACTATGCAATTAGCAATCTCCGGGCTCGAAGGCGATGTTGAGGACCAATTGACCCATGTTCGCCGATTGAATGAGAACCTGGAACCTATGAATCAATATCTTAAGAAGATCGAGGAAGTTGATCAAAAGTGCGAGGAAGCGAACATCGAAGAGAACGATTTCACAACTTATACTTACGATGAATTATGTTACGAACTTAGCCTGGTCAAGAATTCAGTCTCCAAAAAACTCGCGTTCCTGGACAACCAAGTTGTGGCACGGAACATGACCAATTTGACCCCGATCCAACTCGAGGAGTTCGAAAGTGTGTTCCGTCACTTTGACCGTGATGTCACCAACAGCCTCCAGGAACTGGAATTTAGTGCTGCTCTTGCCTCACTTGGCCTTGTCTTCAGTGAAGATGAAATGCATGAGTATTTCATCGAAACGTCGAATGGCAAGGACTATGTGACCTTTGAGCAGTTCATTCGTTTTATGGTCGATGTTACCGAGGACCAGAACACTGCTGAGCAGGTCTTCCAGAGTTTCCGCGAGGTAGCCGATGGCAAGCCGTACGTTACGGAGATGGATCTGCGCCACAGTCTTGTTCCGGACGATGTCATTGACAAGCTTACGAAATTTGTACCTCTTCACAAGGGCCCTGACTTGCAAGAGGATAGAGGCATGCCACAGTATGACTACATCAGCTTCATGGATGGCTTGATCAGCGATCCAAACGAAGGCCCCGAGGAGAGTGGTGCTCTTGCAGATCTTCCAAACGGAAGAAGTCCGCAGAGAGCCAGTGCGGCAGGAAGCAAGACGAACGGAATTCATTGAGCGTAAGTATACATGCATAGGATTGGGAGTTTTTTGATTTGGCAGTGAAGGCAAAGGTCGGTGCATGGTTCGAGGAAAATGTACAGTAGCGAGATGGAGCTCGTATGGTGTTTTCCTTGGATGGGTTATTATGGAATTAGCATGCAATCAAGGCGAAGGTGGGTGACGAACATGGATTATTTACAGTTTGTTCCTTCAGAGGCTGATGGTAGATAAGAGTCGCGATGGATTGGAGGATGATACCATTACTATAGAATAGTACAAACGTTAAATCCACCCTGATGACATAGTGTGAGGTGAAGATTGTTCAGAGTAGAAGTAAGTCGTGGTATTTGAGGCCATTCCCAAAATGGACCACGCCCCTTTTCGCGAAGCGAGAATGCAACCTCAGCGCTTGGCCATCACAGCTTGGCGCCCTCTCGACAACACGAGATTCACCTATTTTGATGTTCAAGGTGCACAAGGTGCACAAGAATGTTCAAGAGGACGACTTAAATCTTCGGATTCAGATTATGTTCTCTTGTTCCATGTCCATTCTCCACGCGAGGATTTTAAGGTGACTGAACATCCAAACATTTTGGGCCACGAACTCTTGCTTTATTCATCCTTCAGCGGTGGTTACTCAAGTATTTCATCGTTCGCCATCTTTCCCTATGACGGAGATGGGAGCTGACAGGCAATATGCTGGTCTTGGCTTGGAAAACGGTCGTGTTCGGAAAGAAGTGCTAATCTCGAACAAAGGAATATCGAAAGTTGCAACCATTAAGTTCAAGTTGGAGTATTGCAAGAGGCATTACAAAGAGGCTCTAATGATCTTCACCACTTTTTTCAAGGACAAATTGAATCGAATGAGAGCAGATGCCAGATACTCAATCCACTGGTGATCGATATGACGAGAGACAGGATGTTGATGTCTTGCTTGCTCGCTTTCACATGCAAAGTACTTCTGATCTTCTGTCACCTTCGTCTGAACAGTTCGCGCAATTTCGGGAGATAGGACAACGAGAATGCCGATGAATGTATCATCACAAAACTCTGACAAATCTCACGAGGGACTTGACCAAGGCAAAGATTTAACATCGTTTCGCCTCAGGAAAAGAATTCAAGAATCTGTATCTAATAGCATAGAGTTCTCATTCCGGATCCGCTGGCTTTGAAGCGCGGAGGATGGGTACATTGGTACCCGTTCCATGTTAAAGAACTGCCGTTCCAGATACCGACACTTGCGCGGAGAGGTGTGCCCACGAAAAAAGCTCAATCGTTACCTTAAGGTTCTGCACCTAGTCGATCATCCGTATCCCACCTTACTGCAACCCCTGACCCGCGCTGCTCATCCCAGGCACGAAACTCTCACACTCCAACCGCAAGCTTTCCTTCCGGGCGCCACAAGCGCCGCAGGAACCAAGCTGCTCGTTCAACATATCAAGGAAAACAAGGGCATTTTTCTCATACATCGCACGTTATGAGAGGCGAAGAATCTTGAGATCGATGGGTCACACGAGCCTTAAGGGAAAGGGAAGAATGATGTTCCCTTAAATTGAAACCCAATTAATCTAAATAGCTTAAGTCGACTCCTATAGGTCAGCAGCGTGCTCGTTTCCCTGAGGTCGGGGAACCACTATCAGTCTCTTCCTATTGGGAAGTGTCCCGAGATGGTTTTTGGCTTATTAGGCAACTTTGGAGCCACATGGCTTTGATAAGAGACGATGAGGTTTGAACCGGGGACCCGCGCGAGAGATGAGGGGAGTGGGAGTGGGGGAGCGAGAGGGAGAGGTCCCGCCTGTTCGTCGATCTCTATCTAGTTCGTTACGAGTGAGCTTGGGCTTGAGCTTGAGAGCTGTGCCTGGGAGCAAGTCTGGACCGTGGGTGGAGGCTCTCTTGTCTTTCGCTGTTCATGCGGGAGTCACGGTACAGAGCTCGGGACAAGGAAGGTTCTTACGACCGTAAGAAAGAAGACCGTGGCCGCGGTCATGGATACGCGATACTATAGCCTTCTCGTGCCGTGATGAGCTCCAAGATGCGTGTGAGATGAGGGATTTTGGTATCTCTGGGGCATAAGCAAGCAGCAAGGAGCGCATGAACGGAATCGAAGGTGTATCTTTACCTTCTCATGCGAGGGCGCATGATGTTCAGAGTATTTTTTTTGCATACGAGATGGACGATTCTGACTTCTACCGTACGGCAACGAGAAATGTTCCCCGCTCGCTCAGGTTCGGCGATACCAACGAGGGAGGGAGTGTCATACGAGACGTCGAGGCCCAGACCGATTACTTCTTCCTTCCGCTTCGCAATGCTTGGTTCGACGGCGGAGCATTGGTGCCGGCCCGGCGAAGTGAGGGGATCCTGAGCTTCGAAGCTGGGGGCTCAAGGTTCATTGCTTGCAGCTGTAGATGAATATCGACATGGGACATGGCGGGTAAGGAATGAATTCTTTGATGGGGTCCGAAAAGTCGGGTCGTTGTAGATTATACTGGTGTAAAGCATCTATCCTCCGACATGGAACTTTTAAGCTCTGGTTAATATCTGTATATTGTCGAGATGCACCACATTGAGGCATCGTATAGACGTGTGTCCAAAATGGTTGGGGTCCGGACCAGAATGGAAGTGTGCCTTGTACAAAGGTGTTATGGGTATTTCGAGTCGATATTGATGGGTAGCAAAACACGGCGCTCACTGACTCTCGAGCTTTCTAGCTTGCGGGAGCTAGATTGTGTTCTCTATCGAAGGACCCTGTGGTCCGTGTGGTTTTGATTACTGAATATACTGTTAGAGAGGATCTGGAATGGGTCCTTGCCATCCTGACGCCGCGGCTCCTTCAGCTACTCAGATGTCCCGCGCTCTCCTGACGATTGACGAGGTGCGGGTGGCTGGTGGAGTCAGAGCTTCAGGTGACCCGTGCTAGGAGCTGTGCCTCGACTGCCTCGAGCATTGGAATAGCAGTCAAGGATAAGAACGATTTGGAATTCAGACTCTGTTGAGGATCACCCAGGCTTCAAGGAGAACTGATCGACTCTAAGATTGGTGAAGAAAAGCGGCAGGCTGGGGAATTTATATTGCACTAGCTCATTTATTGGCTGACGTGACGCTCCACGTTTTTGGGAGCTCCAACGACAGGTGCGCAGAACGGGCGGACAAATGGAAATATATTAATGGTGTGGTGGTCAGCTCTCGTGTGTTAGGCATGTCGACGCGAAAACTTCGTCTTGTCACGATCTTGACGAGACTTCAAAATCGTGGAGCTGACCGAGACATGACATGACTGCATAACGAAACACCATGCCGAGAGCGTACAGGCTGAGTGAAGATTAAACCGACTCTGTTAAGATGGACGGGCGAAGTTCTTCCTGCGAAGATATTCTTGGGAAGGCTGTTCCCTTGCAAATGGCCAGTCTCACTGAGCATTGTTGGCTGTCATCCAGCCGCTGTTTAATTTGAAGACGGCAACCGCCGGTACCGACAGAATCATGCCCAGGGCTCCCTTACAGACGATCGCAAGACATATTCGCAGCCCGGTACAGAACCTGCAGAGTCATAGTCATCAGCATGACTGATTGATCCCGCACAGGGTCACGCAGGTTGGATAGGTTGGATAGGCTCAAAGACGACGAGACGGGTACAGCCACCCCTGGGTACCACATTATAATGCCGACGGTCCCGACGGTCTGTCTCTGTCGAGCAGATCTAGCAGAGCCGGGACTACTGGGAGTAGCAGTAGACGCAGTAGACAAACTGGCCCAAAAGGGAAATAACAAAGAAGCGAGAGAAGATAGATTGCCATGCGCTAGATTGTCCCGATCGAGCAGCTCGTTGAACTCTATCGCTGTGACAGAACAAGATTTCCGTGCCAAAGCAAGGTATGGATATGACATGGCCGACCCGCTACAAGATACTAGACTGCAAGGAGGTAAGGTAGGTAGTTTGTGTTACTTCCTTGGCTTGATATGGCAAGATTTAACGACAGACGCAGGTCAGATCTTTTCGTCCCATTTTGAAGCGCTTGAAACACGTGGGCGGCTGCATCTGCCTTTAGGACTGACAGTTTGAAGTTTCTTGGTTTGGCTTCTTGTCTTGAAAGGAGGTTGCGCGCATAATTGACTTGATCTCGAGCTTTCGAATTTCCACGATAGACTTTTCCCCAAACATCGGCCAGTTAGTCGCCAAGGTTCTTCCAGCACCAGCACCAGCGCCAGAACTAGAACAGAACCAGAGCCCGCGGATGCAAGCGCATCTCGAAGCATGACGTTGATTCAGGGTTTCAGGACCTGGAAACGGTGGACGTTAGCCCAGCAGAAGATTAGAAGGATGTTCTCGGAGGTTTTTCTTCCACTCAGACGAGCACTCCGACCTTCTAGACGGACCAGCGATCAGGCACATAAGCTTGAAGACGCTCTTCATATTGTACCTTAATCTTATCAGGCCACAGAAGTAATATATATTTATATTAAAGCCCCAAGTGCCGGCTCGCAACGAGACTCCAAGGCCGCCGGAACCATGAATTCCGTCCGGACGCAGTGGACGTGTGTACCGACCAGCCGGGGACCACGCTCACTTGTTCATGGATGGGATGACCGGTCTCTGTCACAGGGTCAGGGTTCCGTAATGGTCGCTGGGTAGTGCGGCGCTCTCAGAGGTTGTGAGCAGTGATGCTCATCTCTTCTCATCTCTTCTTGTCTCGTCTGATGTCAAAATCAACAAGACTAGGGCGTGGGACGCATCTTATCTTGAGGATGTGGAGAAGAAAGAATATGCATACCGTCGAGCACATATCATCGATGCGGACAGGGTCATTAATAAGCGGCGAAGAGGAAGGTGGAAAGCTGGAGGTTGAGAGGTTAGTGGGAGGTTGGGCGAGGGGGTGGCTGGACGTTCTCACTGCAAGCAAATCACACTCTCTCGTACTGTACTGTACCCGTACACAAACACACACCCTCGAGACACCCACACCACAACACACGCCTGCTGGAAGCCAGATCGAGTAACGTCTGGCGTTCCCGGGTCAATGCGACTTCGTGGCTGCTGCTGTGGCGTTCAGTCGTGCTGATCGACGTTGCCAGCCAGGAACCGGTCGAGTTGGCCAACAGGGTCGCTATTATGGACCCGATCTCTATAAGATGAACAGGAGCAGGGGCCGAGGAGGCACAAGCGAGCGATGTGCGCCATGCTCTTGACGCACCCTCTCGATGCACCCCTCAATCTGGCGGGTAATGAGGTCCGATTAAGCCAAAATCTGCTGGACGTTGAACTTTGCTTCCATCGAACTTCCACTGGTCCGTCGTGTCCATGTCAACCTCGAAGCCAGGCAGCGCATCACATCACACGGAGCAGTACTGTTCCCTAATGCTACCAGAACGCACGAGAAGCAAAGAATAATTCGGCTGATATACCTCTCTCGTCTGAGCCCCCCGTCGAGCCTCGTTGTTTGGCAGAACCAGGTCGACAACTTTGTCCTCTTGTTGCGATGCGAGCGCTGGCTGCATTCGACTGACTGTCACTACTATCACAGACTGCAACGATGAGACAAGAGAGATGAGGTCTGAGAACTTAGAGGATTATAAGGACCACAGGCGGAGAATATTTTGAAATGATAGCACAGAAACACCCGCCGGTGCTGTGCTCGTAAGACACTACTGTAACTGCTGCAGTCCATTACCTGTTCCAGAGGAGCCGCTCCCGGTACGACAGCCACCAACGCCGAAATGCGACGCTCGTCTGTCTGTCGTACACCTCGCGTGTATGAGGGAAGTGAAGCGAGGGGAAGGAAGGGAATGAAAGGGCGTCGGGGCGGTCAGTCAGCCAGCCAGCCAGCCAGCCAGCCAGAAGATACCTACTGTGCGCACATGCTGTCATGCACACAGGCACAGGCAGAGGCAGAGGTAGTCGTGCAGTAAGCAGGTCCGCGGCGAAGCCTGAGGTCCCGTCTGGCAGACGAAATGCGAATGTATGATGCGGGCCGGCAGTGGCAGCGACAGAGTTCGGAGGGGAGGGAGCGATGAGCCATTGAAGGCCTGCAGCTCCCTTGTTGTTGCTTCGCTGTCCCCTCAACGTGCAGCGGTACCTGAATTAGAGATGTTTGGGCATGAGCGTGCGACTCTGTACCTGTGTGTCCTAATGGAAATGCAAGATAATGCTGCTTCTTGTTGTGCTGCGATGAGATGCGGTGAATGCATCGAGAATGTCTCCTGCGGTGCGACGGTTGCTTGCTGCTGTGGCTTGAATAGCAAGAAAAGGAGGTCTCACATGCCTAGGTATTGAGGATTCGCTTGCGTGACCGCCTCGAAGTTCAGGCAAGAACTGGTTAGCTCAGGCATCACGGAAGAAATCGTGCACCTCTTCGTTTCATCTATTCTCCGATTTGTGTTCCTTGCAGCAACCACAAATCTCCAGCAAGGTCTCCGCCGGCAAGGGACATCATCTGTGATTCTGTGCCAGCAGACAGACCGTACGACGATGCACCCCAGTGTCACAGATCCGCCGTGGACACTGGAATTGGGGGCAGTGGCAGTGGTGGTGTGTAGCTGGCCGGGCCCAGTGGCCCATCCTCTTCGTCGTATTGCGCCCTGAGGACCAGCGTATGCACAAGACCTTGTGCCCTACCGGTGGCCAGCGAGCAGGTATCCTATTCCCATCATTGTCATCATCTTCCAGCGGACCCGATATGCACTTTCCCACCGACCCCACAGGACAATGGAGACGGTTTCGTTCCAGGCACAACACAACCAAACCAAACCGAACCAAACGAAAATACCCCAAACCGCCATTGCGAATCTGCCAAGAAGTTTTACTTTGCAAGACATTCGAGGGCGGAGACCGTCCTGGGATGAATTCTCTCATCTCATCTGTCTAGCTTCGTACTTGGGATTGTCCATCCTGCGGCGGTGGGCTGGCTGACGAAGATGCTCTGCATATGTGTTCATTTCACCTAATGCTACAAAAGTTGTCTCCAGTCTGTCTCAGCCCTATGAAATGTCTCTCAGGACCACTCTCCGCGAGCAAAATGCCACCAAGACCGAGGCTGTTTCTCGACGCGGTGACCGAGCTCGTCGTCGCCTCGGACCTCGATACACTGATGAAGAAAGAGGTGAGCTCCAGGCGTGTTGCCGTGAAGAAGGTCCCGAATCTTGAAGGACCCTCGGCCGCTCGCCAACATCCTGGCCTCAGATCTTTTGGGAGGGCCAGGTAGGAAGCCTGCAATTTGTCTGTGATCGCGACCAGCCCAGGGATACGTGCATCGAGTGCTCGAATCATGGGCAGCAGAAGGTGGGGGGAGTACGCGCTAGAATGGTATCAGACGATTCTTGTCCTCGCTGACGGTGCAGAACGACGAAAAAATGTAACCACGCGAGACCAGATGTCGCTGGAAAGCTTCCGGCTATTCATAGTCGAGTTACCTCCGCATCCCAAGCCCACCCCCAATGCTACACTTATGCTGTAGGACAGTTGCACCGTCGTACAATACGCACATCAGAGCGCAATCGCCCAGCGGCCCGCGCTGCCGGGGCAGCTAGGAAGCAGATACGCATGTTCCTGAAGATGCGGGACTTTCACAGGGAGACATTCTTCTAGGACTGAAGTTTTCTCGGGACTGGTCGTCATGGCAGGATGGCGGGATGTGCGCTGCGCACAGACTTTTTCATCTGAACCCTGCCTTTCCATTGTTTGAACTAACGTGCCAGAAAAGATCTAATCTGATGACTTGTGCTGTATCCGGCGCAGGAACTCCCAATATACTCGCGGATTGCTCCTTGAGTGGACTGCTCGTGGAAACAGAGCGGGGCGGGCATCACCAAAAGGTCATCGAGAGCCCGAATCGTCCAGACATCCTTCCATGTCAGGGCATATCGTGCTCTGCTATCAGAATGTTGGTAGAGCCATCCCGGCTATCTTGAAACCATGGGATGGCGCCAATACGGCTGCAAACCTTACCCGCAGCACGCCGAAATGGAAAGGGATAGGCAGCTTCTAGCCTTTCTACGACCGTTGTTGCGAACTCTAGCGTCTATCGAGCTGCCCCCACCATCGCTAAAGACTACTTGCAGGAAGCTTTTGGCAGGTCGGCCAGGCAAGACTTGCACCACATGCACGGCGCTGCATTATGCCAGCCAATTTTAACCTAGCCTTTGTCACACCCTTCGACCTGTGTAACCGAGCCTCTGTGTCTCTCCTCTCTCTGACGTGAGGACGTTTTGCGTAATGACAGGAGCATAGGCGGACTCTGAGCCCCTCCCTCCATCCAGGCCAAACCCTCTTGGTGATCATGGGCGATGCGAGAGTGAGGGAGTTCTCGTACTCGGGGCCCATACCTTCAATCCGTCTGCTGGGAAACTTCCAAACTCCACAATAGATGATCCTCGAGCGGCTTCTAGCGTCAGGGCTGTCACGTTGTCTTGATAGTTTCCGCCAGCAACCAGGGGGCCTGTCTACCCTCGAGATCTGTGCCGTCTTATTGGCCTGGCTGCTGGGCCTTCCTAGTCGTGAACAACGGTTATGCGTTGACCCGCGGAATTCTGGTCGTCCCAGGCACTGGAGTCCAATGATTTGCGTGAGAACGACCCAGCCTCGATCTCTCCGCTCGTTCCCTGTCACACTCGCTTTGCCCTCCATCAGGTTTAGTTGAGATCGATGCACTTCGCGAACGGCGCAGGCCTGCTCCATCTCACACCTGTTCCCGTTGGCTGCTTCGTCGTCTCATCGGATGATTAGACCGGTACCAGGCTCGACCCCAATCACACATTTATATTACTCTGCACTGTTCTCGATAGAGTACTATCGACCAGTTTGGTAGCTTCTCTGTCATTCGTTCTCCCCACAGGACCGACATGGGGCATTCCACACAACACTAGTCATTGAGCCGGCTGCCTTTCGTGTAAGGTTATCATTGTCCGTTGTGGCTAAGGACATTTCCCAATATCTAGAGGCTTGCCATGCATGGTCGAATTTGTGCTGTTGCTTGACTTTCTTCCCAAACAGCCCTCGCCCAGCTACCCTTTTGGACGTGCGTTTATTACATACCCCTCGTCTGATGTCTAAAGTCGACCGTGCAGGCCCTGTCCTTCACCATCTTTGATATTCTCCGTGTGTGCAACGAGCGGACTTCGGTACAAGACTAATCTGCCTCAGCGGTCCTGTGCTGCTCCGGCAAGGTCTGAGAGAAAAGGTCGAGGGCTACAGGGCGCTTCTCGGGTCGAATATCCCTGGTCACAGTGGTGATCATAATCCAGGCATCAGATCAAATCCCTTCAATCTTGCACTATATCATCCGACGTCGACGATCGAACGTGGAAAGCAAGACAGCGGGCCCCCTCCAACTTCACAGGATCTTCAGATTTCCCAAAACAGCCCCAGCACGTCATAAAACCACCAAGCAATTTATCCTTCATTTGGACGAAGCAGAGCACTCGCCACAAGTGTTTAAGGTCCTCGGCCATCCATGACCGCAAGCCGCTTCATATTTCTTGAAGACCGCGTGGTCTGTGAACTCTCACTCTGAACGTATCGACTGTTTTGGGTTGAAATACGCGTTCTGAAGCACGCCGAGAGCCCAGCAGTCAGCCTGTTTGATCCACCATCAAGATTGCGGAGGGATCTGACAGCCTTATCTACTTGGGGATCAATCTCAAATTCTTTTGGGTTCGGATGATCTTTCCAGATCCTCACACACTCCAAGAACGAGCTGTGCGCATACACTTGACGGACAGCATCTATCGACAGGCTTCGAACACTCTACAGCAAACTTGCCTTCGATAGGCTCTATGTTCTCCTCTGGTCAGTGATCAGCCATTGTCCTTAGCGGCCTTTACTCTCGTTCATTTCAGGACTTCGAACAGCGAGCTCATCGATTCCTTCCCCACCTCCAACAACAACATATCGACGCCTTCAACCTTCAGTAAACCGGACCGGAATCAAGCCTCTCTTGCAACAGAAGCAAACAAAGATCTCAATGCTGGTCACACGGCAATGTGATACAGGACGGAACACTTGGTCTTCCATCAAGCTTGAGGCCATCTATCATAACGCCGCGTCTCCACGCATGTCGAACTTTGAGCCATTGAACACGCAGCCAGATTGGCGGGAGCAGTATGCGGCATTCCCGCTTTCTGGGGATAATGGTCTACTTCAGCCAACCTTCGAGCAAAATACAAGCTCGAATGTTTCTGATAATACCCAAGATCAGCAACAAAGTGGTGGTCGACCAACTCTGGAACATCGACATAGTTTAGGACCATTGAGGCAAGAAGCACAACCATCCCCAAACATCGAACGTCCAGACTCTGCGCCAGGAGACATTAGCCACCCAACCAACGTTCCTGCTCGAGATGATACTATTGTGTCTCCAGAATCGACCGCACTGTCTCTCGGGTCTCTTGCTTCCAATCCACTAAGTTCTGCATCTAGTGCGCCCACACAACAAGGAACTTTGGCAAATACTGAAGGAGGTGGCGCTGAGGGGGAGATCAAGGAGGAGGACGACGAACTCGAAGATGACGATGAAATGGTTGACGCAGAGCCGGAAGAAGGCGCCCCACCACAGACCGCCGCTGAGCGTCGTGCAGAACGCAGAAAGATGAAGCGCTTTCGGTGAGACCACCATCTTGACACGCGCATTTCCCCTTCTAACGCTTCCATAGTTTGACGCATCAACAGACTCGATTCTTGATGAGTGAATTCGCGAAGCAGGCGCATCCAGATGCTGCTCACAGAGAGCGATTGTCGCGAGAAATCCCAGGACTGAGTCCTAGACAAGTCCAGGTCTGGTTTCAGAACCGGTAAGCAGATACCTCCACGGTTTGCGAAAAGCGGAACTGATTTGGAGTAGGCGAGCAAAAATAAAGCGATTGACAGCAGACGATCGAGAGCGAATGATGAAGATGAGGGCAGTACCGGACGACTTCGACAATGTACAAGCCTTGCACTCTCCCTATGGAGCTGTTCATGGGGTTGGGACGCCGATGCAATCACCAGTCGATTTTGTGCCCGCATACGCAGACCATATGATGCGCCCATTGATGGTTGATACCATGAGGAGAAACGACAACGATGACCACATGTCTCCTACAGGACTAAGTCCAGCTTTTGGTCATGTTGGGTTCGCTCCTGGTGGCTCTATGGGCACTCCAGATGTACTCTCTCCATTGTCGCTAAATTCGTCTGATCGCTACTATTCGAGCCACCTCTCGAGTCCTATGAGCGCTGGACCGCGAAGCTCGAATCCGTTTGATCGCCAGAATAGCTATCAGACTCTGTCCCACTCGAGACAACATGTCAGACCTCTGCAACCTCTACAGCTTCGAGAGACGATGTCGAGATCAAGATCTGAGTCGTTGAATTCCCCTTTGCGATCCAGCATGTCCTGGAAAGGGGAAACAATAGACTACACCAGCTACCAAACGGGCCAGCCTAGTCCTCAATTGAGTGGTCGACAGCAATCAGTGTATCAGCCGGACCAAATTAGCAACACCACCGTCAATGCGCACCAATATGACGCGAATGCATCTTCATGTTCGTCCAATGTTTCCCAATAGTTTCATACCTATCCTTGGCGAAGATCACACGTGCTGACTCTTTTCTTAGATACAAACATACAAAGCTCACCATCTCACATGACGTATCCGGGTGCGCATGGCAATTCATCGCTGCAACAGTCGTCCCCGTCGGCGATGTCACGGCTGAGAGCCTCATCGTCGGCTTTTCCCCCAGGACTCGACCTCCGTGCCCAGTACCGAACGCTCCCAAACCAGAATAATTCCCCGCACGGTACGACACCAAGGAGTAGCTCATTCGCGCACGCCTTCACCGGTGGATATGCGAGCGCCCCTCTAACTGCTCCAGTCGATTTCTCACTACCAAGGACGCCGATCGACGGGAGCCACAGCGGACGGGATTTTAGCATCCCGCAGCTTAGCGCGCCAATGGCTCCACCTCAGGACTTCTCCAATGCCTATAATTCGAGCCTCAGCCCAGTTAGAGCTTCTCAGAATGATCGGGACTTCAGTTCTCAAGTTCAAGGCAATCAGAATAACGGGGATCAAAGCAGTTCAGGTCAAGGACAAGTCCAAGGCTCGATGCAAGTTGGCGACAACCAGAACTTGAATGTCAGGAACAACGAAGACAACTCATATTTGCGGCCAGTGGAGTACGAGACGGGACAAAAGCGCAAGCGGAGTTTTACTTTGACTGGCGGCTTTGAAAGTCCATAGTCACCCTCGAACTGTCGGCTGGCTATTAGGCCTAATAGTCGACTCGGGGCCTCGGACCATTTCCTTTTCCATCGATGGACGAAGTATATGACTTACAGTATTTGGGCTTGAACGAAATAAAGATATTATTCCCTTGAATCATGTAGGCGGGCAGGCACGTGGTTATATTTTCCCCAACGAACCGGATCTTTCACGAAAGCATCGACGGCGTTTTTTCCTTCTTACGACACCGGCGAATCTTCCAACAAACCAAATACTGACGGATTTCCTTGGTCCGACAACATCAAACAACAAATATTCACACTTCTCTTCTCCGCTCTCGCGAGCACATCTTTTTGTTAGATACCAGTGTTTTAGTAATGGGTAGGGATCGGCTTGGCTTCGACTATCTATCTACAGTCTATATGGTTGCGCGGGTGGATTTTATTCTTGGGCAAGATACCATGATGTGTTTAGCAAATGCGGGGTGGGTGGAAAAGGGATATGGAGGGAAGCTTGCAGAGTTTTCATGAAATAATTGTTATTAGTTCGCAAGCTTTGTTTTTGGGCTATGAATAGGGGAGGAGAGAATTGGATGTGGTTTTGTGTATATTTCTTCTTCACCTTACTCTTCTTCTTCTTCTTATTCATTTTGTATGAGCTGGCTCGCGCTTTGCGGCTGGGCCTTGTTCTGTAGATAGTTCAATTTTGATGTCCTTAAAACTCTTATGGATTTCCAAGTCTGTTCACTGCTTTGGTTGCTGCGACGCATTTCGGACATTCAGGCTATCGAAACGAGGTTCAGTGTATCATACATTCTCTAGGTATTGACTTTCACATGGAATCGAGACTACAGCGGCCGAGGCACGAATTGGATATATCACGGATCCCTTTCCATCCGAGGATTTCTCTTTGCAAGCCGGCACGTTCTCAGCAATCGACCGAATCTGGGACATCCCAACCGTATACAACAAGGCCTCAGCCTCACTGAACATGGGACATTTCCGTCAACATGCAACTCAAATCGTTAGAAGAAAACTCCCTTGACATGTTCTTATCTGGGACAATTCCGCGACGCAACAGAGAGTTGGAGGATGCGGCTGAATGGGCATAATGTTGTTGAGGGGTGAGGCGTTCTGGGACATTGCGGATAGGGTCACTTGATCATTTTGTCTTACAGTCTCCACCTGTAAAGCGTTGTCTGACATGCGCTCGGACATTTGTGCGATGTGCAACAGAACTATTATTTTTGGTGTTTAGTTGGGGTACTCTAATTAATCAAACATTCGATGACTGAGGAATCCTGAATGTCGGTTGTGATACGAAAGTCGGATGTTGGAGACGAGCACGGGACTTGATCCAGGGTTCGAGACTGAGGGGATTCTGGACATTCTACAGTACCCAATCTTTGAGCTTTGGCTACTTCAGAGGTGAGCACTAATAGTTAGTATGTGCTCGGACATTTCAGAGCGATGTGCAACAAAAAATGCACACAGTGGGCCGGATCAATGCAATAATCTGGCTGCAAGATTGCTGCTGTATGTCGTCTTGATAACCTCGCTTTTGGGAGCAAGAAACAAAAGCTTATTATGCAGCACAGTCAGAAGAAAACGTGCAAGCGAATGCAACCATTGCATTGTACTATTCGCTAACTGCACAAGTTTCAGCTCCTAATAATCATAAAATCTGGGAATTTCCAATTAGCCTGCAGTCATAGTCTCGTTGGTCCAAGCTCTCTCTCTCTGACTTACCCTTTACCGCTCTTCTTCCCCAGCCATCCTGCATCCACCATCTTGCGCAATAGCACGCTAGGTCGGTACTTCGAATCGCCTGTTTCCTCGTACAGGACTTTCATGATGGCTAAGCAGGTGTCGATGCCGATGAAATCCGCTAGCTGCAATGGCCCCATCGGGACGTTGGTGCCGTTCTTCATGATTGCATCAATGTCGTCTCTTCCTCCTACACCAGTCTCTAAGCAGATGATCGCTTCGTTGATGTATGGCATGAGGATCCGGTTCGCTAGGAATCCTGGCGAATCTGCAGATTGTGAGGGGATCTTGCCCATCGCTTTGCAAAATGCAATGGCTGTATCAATAGTTTCTTGGCTCGTTTGCAGACCGGTTATGATCTCCACGCCCTTCTGTATTGGCACCGGGTTCATGAAATGTGTAGAGATGACTCGGGATGATGCAGATGTATCCTTCGGGTCTTTCGTTGTAGCTGCTGCTATCTTTGTTATTGATATCGATGATGTATTCGTGGCGAGTATCGCATGTGGTGGGCATATCTGGGCGAGGTTTTCGAAGATGGACATTTTCAACGAAGGGATTTCGGGAACAGCTTCGATAACAAAGTCAACCTCGGACAGAGCGTCCATTGAGGTATAAGGAGTAAGTAGTGATCGAATCTTATCTGATTGTTCTTGTGTAATTCGTTCTTTCGAGACATCTTTGGCCAGCAGCTTGTCTGGGAGTAAACACATTAGCTGTAGTGAGTGAATATGGTAATGGACAGCCCACCTGCGAACTTCAACCCTTTGTCGATTGATGCTTGACTAGTATCAACTAAAGTCACAGGAACTCCCGCTTTCTGTGCAGCTACTAACGCTATTCCAAGGCCCTTTTACTCAATTAGCAACTAGATTCGCACAAGAAGCAGCACAGCAGGTTACCATCTGTCCGGCTCCTATGACGCCGAGTCGTTTAACTTCCTGTGCTGCAACAATTGGGCTTGAACTGATGGATCTTGCATGCTTTGTGCTCTGCAAAAGCTGCTTGCGAAGTACAGGTGTAATCATCTTGCAGGAATTGACGTTGTTGAGAGCACAAAATTCCTCAACTGTAGACGATCAGATGTCAAGATCAGATTTAAGCTTATTTGCACCCCTCAGCCTCGGCTACAACTGGCTCAGCAGAAAGCGGACCGATGTCCGAGATAATGGATGTTTATGTAGAGAAATGAACCGACCACTGGAATAAAAACGAATCACTACAATCGACTTGAGCATACCATTCATCTTACACAGTCCTCGAATCTTTGGTCTCTTCATTGACTTATATCTTGGTATTGTTTTCTGTGGCTTCTTCATTGATGGCCGGCACATTTCGGCCCGCACGTACTGTACGCTAGACAGGGGTACGCGTCCTAAACGCGTCTGCTTCGACTCGGAGCGTGTAAAGAGGTTCACGAATCAACAAAATTTCGACAATTCAGCAATAACTTCGAACGATGGAGTTTGGTGACGGCAGAAGAGATGTAGTAGACCCTGAGGTCCGGGCTTATGTATCAAGTCTCGTTACTGCTGTAAGTACCTCTAAATGCGCTTTTCAATTCATATACTGACGCGCTTTAGCTTGGAGGAAGTGGTGCCGATGAGGATGGTCGATACGTTCTTGGAGATGATGCTTTAGCATGTCTTCGCGATTTGAAGAAATGGTTGAAGCTCTACGACGAGAAAGCGAATCGATTGGACGTAGCACGATGCCTGGCAGAATCGAATCTGGTCGGAGGAGACTTACTACAAATCCTTGCTGCATGGCCAGAAAATGCTACAGAGGACAGGTTGAAGTCAAAAATTGCCCTCGCATGCCTCGAGCTTCTCGTACCTCTGACATGGCCTCTCGAGAAGGATACACAGGCCATGACGGTCAATCATCACCGACATATTCCTTACCTTCAAATCGCACAGCTGGGCTACAAACGAGCGATCATTAATTTCGACGGAGCTCGAATACTTCACACAGCGGTCCGATGTGCACTCCCTTCGATGGCAGAGGCCATGGGGGATCGTAGCACACGAGATGAAGGCATCATCAAGCTTCTCCTATACTTTGTCCGGAATATTGCCATGATTGCGCCACCCCCGAATGTGCAATACGAGGGAGACGAGGCAGAGATCTCGAGATCTGCGACAATTGATGCATTCGACTATCAAGACATCTTGCATCTTCTGTTGACAGTCTCGTCCACCATGGGAGAAGAATTCAATACTCAGGATGTGGTAGTACTGGATATCTTGTTCCATCTTATTAAAGGAGTTGATATCGAAAAGCTCTTCGTGGACGAAGCCAAAGCCGACAATAGCAAGATTGACGAGTTGAAAAGACTACGACAAAAAGAAGCCTCGATGCTGAGAAGCTATCAAGTGAATGCCCCCACCAGACACAACAGATTTGGGACGATGGCCTGGATGCAACGAGAGGACTCAAAGATGACTACAATTTCCGGTCAGTCTGCGATAATGGACAGCACCAGAAGCTTAGCAAAGATGGATAGCACCAAGAAGTTCAAGCCGCCAAGGAAAGCTTTGAAGGGTGAGAAAGGGCCTATGGATTTCGACACTCCCGTCATGCTTAATGTCCAGGCGAACAAGCACCTGCGAACGTTCGTAGAAGACTTCCTCGACGCAGGCTTCAACCCTCTGTTTAGTCACTTACGCAAGGCCATTGACCGAGAAGCGGAAAGAATCCTTGAATACCATCCCAGACAGTTCTTCTACCTCGTCTCTTGGTTTCTGGAGGCAGAGAGAGTTAGGAGGAAGAGTAAAGTACCCTCGAAAGGCCAAAAACCTGAAGAGATTGACAACTACTCACTCGTTGCGAGCGTTCTTAATCAAGAAATGTTTGTGACCTTGAATCGAGCCATGGAACAGACATTCGAGAATAAGTCATGGCAGGATCTGAGTGCTGCCATGAAATGCTTCACTCAAATTCTACTGACTGTGCAAGAGATGTCTGAATCTCCTTTGGAAGAAGATCAGGAGATTGCCGAGAACATCTTGAGCCGAATCTTCTACGAAGAGACGACTCACGATAGGATCGCAAATCTCACTCGTACTTACAAAGACCAAGGCTTTGGATACCTTGATTCCTGCACAGAACTGGCTCACCATTATCTCCGGATCCTTGAACAATACTCAAAGCAAAATGTCGACATGCAAGTTCGGTCACGGAGAAGAATTCGGCGAAAGAAGAAGGCTGCAAGAGCAGATGGAGAAGATGATCCCAATGACGATGTTGACGATTCAGATGGAGAGGATGAAGCGAGAGCAGAGAAGGTTTCTCGCGATCGCAAATTCGACTTCAAGCGTTTCGCTTCTCGGTTTGTCACTCAAGGTTGTGTCGATACATTTGTCACGTTTACTGCTTACTACAACGACCTTAAACCTGCTCAACTTAAACGAGCACATCGTTTCTTCTACCGGGTGGCCTTCAAGCAAGACATGAGTGTCATGCTCTTTCGAGTGGACATAGTGGCACTTCTTCACAAGATGATCAAAGGCCCCGAGGGTCTAGATCCTCAAGCCAGTTGCTTTAAGGAGTGGGATGAACTTGTCAAGCAGGTTCTGAAGAAATGTATCCGAAAAATGCAAGAACGACCTGAACTTGTGGTGGAAATGCTCTTTTCAAAGATCAACAGTACAGCACAGTACCTTGAATATGGTTATGAAAAGCAAACTGCTTCAGCGAAACCAAGAGCCGCGGCCGAGTTGGAGGTTAAGGGTGGGAAGGAATGGGAGGAGCAAGTAGCTATTGTCGTTGGAGCATTGCTCGACCGTAATGAAGGGGACCATCTTCAGTGGATCAAATCGCAACTCTCTTCTGCTGAGAGTGGAAGAAGAAGCTGGGAAGGGGCCAACTCCGCTCTCCAGCTAGCAGAGAAGGAGACATCTGCACAGTCAGATCCCTTTGCAGACACTGATGAGACTCCCGCACCTGCTGCTACAATTGAACAACCCACAGCGCCGACTATATGTAAGTTTTCTATTTTCTGGGGTGTTAAGTATATACTAATCAAAGGCAGTGATCAAACCAGACAATGATACTCGTCGCATTGCCTTGTTCAAGAACGGACATTTACGCCTACTTATGAAACTAGTTGGACTTCGGCGATTGGGCGAGGACAACGATCCAGAGGCTTCATGGACAGTGCCATCTTCACTATCAGCCGACCAGTTAAAGGAAGCCCAAGACCTAATTTCAAAGTCTGAATTCAGCCCGCCAACATTCGATGACGGCGAAGAAGCCGGAGATTTCATCCGTCGCAAGTCTGCTGGGACTGCAGCCAGGAAGAAAGCAGTCTTCGATGATGAAGACGATGGAGTTGACGATGATGACGAGGAGGAATTCCTCTTCCCTGCAGGTGGACCAACGGCCATGAAGAAGTCCGAAGCTTTGAAAGCTTTGAAGAAGAACAGACGGCGACGAAGAAAAGAAGGTTCGGAGGATGAGGGTACCAGCTTGACAGACGAGCAGCTTGAGGCTCGAGCTGAGGCACGCAGACTAAGAGAACTGGAGAAGAATCGAAAGATCAAGAGCGACCTCTTTGTTCACGACAGTGATGAAGAGGCTGACGAGGAACGTGATCGAATCTTCTTCGTGCAGGAGGAGAAGATTCGTGAACGTGCCAAAATTACCATCATGAAGGAACTGCTTAATGTGGGAGACAAAGAGTCTTCTACCAAAGCCAAATCCAGAAAGCGGCCATCAACAGCCATTTCGGTGGATAGTGATGACAACGACGACCTACCTGATACCAGAATCCGGAAACGTCAATCCAGCACCATCTCCGATGATAGTAACGAGGAAGCGCAAGCAACTTCATCATCAAACCCTAGAGACAACGTTCTGCTTGAGTCTGACAATGAAGCTACTGATACGCCGTTATCCAGTCCTCACCCACAGACAACGAATTCGAAGAGGAGAAAGGTTTCAAGTGACGAAGAACCAGATCCCGTTGATGCACTGTCTGTAACGGAGCCAGCTAAAATCAGCGGGATTGAATTAGAAGACGATGAAGATGAAGATGTTGCTCCTGTTTCTCGGCCCTCACGGCAAAGGACTCGTGCTGGTTTCATTGTTGATAGTAGTGATGAAGAATAATGTTTGTGTTGTGTTCAGGGTAGCATTGGCGTTAGGATATCAGGGCCTGTTCATACCCATGTCTTGGGTAGAAATTATGATTAGGGTGTTGATGTCAATGTATGTCTTTATCCACAGAATTTGTGATAATTCAGCCTTGTCCTGTCTCAGCCTCGCGCTACTTTAGGCGACCCCACTATCCAGAATTCCATCCCTCCCCACGACTACCTTTTTGATTCTCAAATCACAACCACAACTTCTTTGCAGGATGCAACGTTTATAGCAAGAATCTCAACTGTCATCTTCGACATCTCAGCGAAATGGCGGACGCAAACATCAATCATCAAGATGCACGGGATTACTGGCAAGGGATCGACGCCGACGTGAATGGAATGCTCGGTGGCTTTCCTTACATTTCGAAAGTTGATCTTCAAGGCTCCAAGAATTTCTTGGCTAAACTTGGTGTCGGTGGACAAGGAGCGGAAAAGCTCGAGAGAGTGGTAGATTGCGGTGCTGGGTATGTATGAATCCTTCCAGACAAGAGTTTTCGCCTCTTGATGCTCAGATGTCCTCCTTTCTTGGACAATCTTTCATATTTGTCTTTGAACTCAAGACAGAGCTGACATCCAACACAGCATTGGAAGAATCACAGAAGGCCTCCTGCTTCACCTGGCAGAAACGGTCGACATCGTCGAGCCGATCGCCAAATTCTCTGATAACCTCAAAGAAAAATCCGGCATAGGCGAAATCTACAACGTCGGTCTTGAAGATTGGTCTCCCGGATCTAACGATATCAAATACGATCTGATATGGAACCAATGGTGTTTAGGTCACCTGACCGACGTCCAGCTCATTGCGTATCTGAAAAAGTGTGGAACGGCGCTGAAAGATGGCGGATTGGTGGTTGTGAAGGAGAATATGAGCTCATCTGAAGAGGACATCTTTGATGAGCTGGATAGCAGCGTTACGAGGTATGTGTATTCCAATGTTCAGAAGAGGTGAGACGCTGATGAGTGACTAGATGTGATCAGAAGTTTAGGGAGATCTTTGAGAAGGCTGGGATGAAGATCAAGAAGACTGAGATTCAGAAGGGGTTGCCCAAGGAGTTGTATCCAGTTAGGATATATGCTTTGGTCCCTGAGACCTGAGGCCAGATGCTCGTTAGGACGATTCATGGACTTCTAGCAGGGTAGAAATCTACACCTAATAAGGGTTTATGGGTTACCAGCGGATATTGAACTACTGATGGCTTCACGCTATAGGGTACATCATGGTTCCACAGCGAAGAAAACGAAGACTTTCTCAAAGCGCAGGAAAGGTCGAGTAGTGGCCATTAGAAACAGAAACCTTTCAACGCGGTCTAGAGACTGCTTCGGTCAAGATCTCAGTTGCCTCGAGAGACATCATACAACCATGCCAATAATTCCCACTCAATCAGTCGCTGACTCATTTCACTTCAGATCATTGCCATTCAACTAAGGCCATTTCTTACTTGAGCACAAGTATAGTACTATGATTGTGTCACAGCATATGGATGAGCTAAGTAGTCAAACATTGTCGCAACTTATCTTCCTGGCACTACCCCTGATTGGTTCGTCACAGCCAGTTTTTATCGTTTGTTGTTTTTACATCAATGAAGGAAGGAGCTGCCAATAGAGCGATATGCAACAAAAGTCTGTTTGGATTCAAGACTGAAGCTTTGGGAAGGAGCTGCCAGGAGAGCGAAGTGCAACAAAGGTTTGCTTCGAGTTGAGATTGAAGCTTGAGGAAGGAGCTGCCAGCAGAGCGATGTGCAGCAAAGGTTTGTTTTGATACCAGTTTGCAGCTTCAAGAAGGAGCTTTCATAGATGCGATGCGCAACAAAACATTGCTCGACGACTTTGAGTTTGGAACTAAACCTACCTGCGCTTTCTTTCACCCAAAATTTCAAAGGATCCAATCACACATTATCGCAGCCAGTCCCAATACCCAAAATCATACTTCATCAGCTCACCACGCACTATTCCTTAGACCAAAGCCCCATAACATTTCCCTCAGTATCAGTAAAGAAAAGCGTAAACCCTCTACCACCAGGGAGTTCCTTCTTCGGCCTACCCACCATCAGCATGCCAACGTTGCAGGTGCTCTCGTGGGACTCACAAATACAACTTCCCACCCGCTTTCTCGATTTCCACGATCTTCTCGTCCACGCTCTCGACAGTGATCGTGACCCTCACAGCTACACAACTCTCCTCAGATGTAACGGAAGAAATCATCTTCTCGGGTTCAACAAGGATGAATGAGCCGTTCATGGAACCTTTCTTAAAGAGAGCTTGAGTGACGGGCTCGGTTGGAGGAGGACCGAAGGTTGGGAAGGTCCACTGTGATTTTGTGAATTGGCATGCATTCTTAAAGGAAAGTTTTGGGAGCGTGTGCGTACCCCGAAAATGGTGGAGTAGAACTCTTTAGCCCGTGAGATGTCTGTTACTGGGATGTCGGTCCAAGAGATGAGATTGATCTTCAAATGTCAGTGGAAATAGGAATCGAGGGACGATGTCAATTTGAGTTCACCATGGTTGATGTACGTGGTGCCATTGCTGCGTATGTGCTTGGATGGTTGATGAGACAGGAACAAGCGTCTTGAGAGAAATCACATAGGTATGCAAGATTCGAGAGCTATACTATCGTCACTCAGAAACAACAGCGATGGGCAACCATAACGGAACACAGGTCAAATATATACTCCGAGTTCACTGCCATACCCCAGAGGTATGGGGCATGCAAATAGATGGGAACAGAGGATTCTCATTCACGGCCTGGTTACCAGAGTACTTTCATCTTTGATGTGAGGTACGTACAGATGGCATGATGATAGCGGATTGCCCAACCGCAATCTCGTTCTCGCTTAACAGCCTCTGAAATGGGTCGGCTTGCCGAGGAGTCATACGGTGAGGGGGTATCAATGAATAGAAAACACTTAAGTGATATGCAGGTACACAGATTAAGCCATTGATCAGAGCAACCAAGAATGATCCCTTACGCAGGACATTAATGCGGATCGCGGGAAAGCTCGCTCACCGCCGCGGTTTGGGATGAGAATAAACTCCGAGTTTTGAGGGGAATTTCTCTCTTTTTTTTTTCCCCCAGTGCGATACGATATCAAAGGGATGCCGATCTTCTGATATCAAAAAATAGAAGAAGAAAAGAAAATAACGAGAGACAGTGAGTTCCCACTGGTGAACTATCGTAAGTACTGATGAATTAAGATTGGTCACATGTGAATGATGGTAAAGTCACGTCGAAAAGATTGATTTGTGTTTTGGAGTATTTTCATATTTATTGTTTTATACTTGTTCGTTGTTTCCAACGACCATCCTGTATGATTCGATGCCCACGCGCGGTAAAGCCGTGGACACAGAAGTCTCTATCCTTTCGAGCTCACAATATCCACACACCGGACCCGAAGTCTCAGCGTATAGCAAAGTGAGCCTATCCCTAAGTCCTACACGCCAGGTATAAGACTCCTTCCGCCTTTGCACCCTCACCAAGACCTCGATCTCAGCGAGTTGCAAAATGCACCACCGCAGCCGTTCCAACTACGAGTCCGAGGAGTAGGACACAGGCCAGCCAGTGTCTGAACACCCACATGCGGAACGCATTCCACTGACCCTTGGCAGGGCGATGCGGAGGGTCGGCTGCTGTATGCGATGCTCTTGGATAGTCGTCGATTGGGCCTTGTCCTGTGCTTCGGGTGTGTACGCGGCCTGGACGGGCTACGCCTAACTCGATGTCTGTCCATGGTTCTTGATGTCCTGGGGCGAACATTTGCGGACGCTCTTGGTATCTTACCATTTTCGGTGGTTGTTTGTGAAAGTAGTTGTGTGTTGATGAAGTTTTCTTCTTAGAATACTGATACTGAGCTTATTGGTTTTTAGGCAAATTGCTGGTATCGGTGTTTCTGGAGGCTTTGTGTGAGATTACTTTTGCATTGGTAAGGGACATTGCCGTACCATTTATAGACTTGCAGAGGATCCTCTTCTGATGATCAATTGCGGAAATTGAGAGAATTGAGTCTTCACCAGATCCTTAGGTATTGAGCCCAGGAGTGGCATTTCCGGGAACAGTCCATATACCCCGCTCAACCGACCGTCGCTGTTCGCTTCCACATTGAACAACTCCGTTGTTGTTACCTTGCTGAATTGGGGACAAAGGTTGTCATTGAATAGTGGTAGAGGAGAAAGAAGCCTCGTAAAATGTGAAAGTAGATAAAGCGTGCTACTTCAACTGTTAGAAGTATCTCTTTGTGGACCTGGAGACTCAACTAGACGACCCATTGTTTGGCTCAACAATCTACTTCTCTAGACTTCCTCATGAAAGAGATACACAATGCTGGTTTTCCAGACACGTGTGCAATCAATTGATGAACGAAATCCAAGCCTTCTAGTCTGGATTTGAGAGTCTTCCATGGGTATAAGCAGGTCTGAACTCTCCTCGATATCCCAGCGAAGCGTTTCTGTAAGCTGCAATGACGTCGATCTCGATGAAGGTCCATCGCTTTCGATAGCCTGGCCATGTATTCTAAAGACCTAACTCTCAAGCTAGGGCTTTTGACGCGAACTCGACAGGGCCTACCACCTCTTCTATCTCCTGAAATATCTTGTGTGCTGGAAGGATATACGCAAGACCAATTTCTGGTATTCCTGCCACAATATGCCCATACAAGTCTCCGGTGACTGAGTCGCAGACCCAAGATCCCGAATCTCCCTCCACTATGCACAGTCAGAGGCTAAGATCTTCGACAGTAAAGGCGGGTGGTAACTTACCAAGAGGGCTATTGAATCGAACTGTCCACACTTCTTGAAAATTGCAAGATCGTTCCGACTTCATCATCGTAGAACTAGGAGACAAAACTCCTCTCGACACTCCACTGCCACCTTTCGCTGCTATTATCTCCGTGTCTTTACTAGGCATAGAAGCAAGATGCTGTGGGACATTGAAGATGGCGAACAGACTATTGCCCTCGAGTGCTTTCTTGGCTTCCCGAACACTTTCTTGGGAAAGCTCGAACAAAGCCCAATCATGTCCTCTTTGTGTGCTTGTGGCAAAGGGAATTGTGAATTCTGTGATGGTTGTAGTGGACTTGCTGGGCTCTTCTCCGTTGTATGATAGAGCAGCTCCCATAGACGATGGTATGCTGACATGTGCTTTATCGGAGCTGCCAGAAATTGTACTGCTGATTCTTGATACCGATGCTGCAGTCGATACACTTGCTGAACCCCAAGTCAATCATAAGCATGACTAATTTCGGAATTTCTGTACTTGCCTCGGCTAGTGATAATAGCATCAGAGATGTCTGCTTCACTTGTGTTCTCCTCATCCTCAGAATCAAAAGCAAATTCGAAATCATCATTCTGGTCTGTGGAAGAGCCATTGACACTTTCTATATCTCCAACTTGACTCTTTCTGGCAGAATCAATAACTGAATGACGGACCGTGAGACCATACAATTTATTGTTCAATACCACAACGCCCCCAATAGTTGCTACTCTCCCGGTGACTTGACTGAGTATGGACATTCCACAGATACTGGCGCAATCAAGTAGAGAAGGCGCAGCATCCTTGTGATGTTCCGAGTCTTCACTGGACAAAACCATATCCCATGAGCTAGCATATGCAGAGGAAGGTAGAGAGGTTGCGCGATGGTCTTGCAAGCCTTTCATCAGATTCCGCGCATGGGTGGTCATTCCTGGGACGCGCAGTGAGTCCTCGAAATGCAAAAGTTGCGGCTGCTGTGTTATCGGATTGTGCACCTTGCCGATCTCTTGCACCGCAGTACTAGAATTGTTTGAAGATGGGCTATTACGCGGCGGTGGGGCAGTTAAAGTGGTTGGCAAAGATATATGTCCGGAGGAAACAACTGGATTCTCACCACCACTATACGGAACTGGAGGAGGCGCGCGTGTTGGGAGTGCAGATACAGAGGTGAGTGAACGTTGTGGTAGCAATTCAGGTGGGTCTGGAGCAGGTCGAGACGGATGTAGGCTGACTTGGTGCAAAGGCTCTTGTTCAGAAAAAACCGGGATACGATGCGATGAATGAAACATTGCAGGAAGAACTTCAGTTCCAACAGGTTCTGAAGCCGGAAGCTCTGCAGAGAGGCTTTGCGGCAAGACAGCATACAAATTAGGATTTTCTGGTATGACAGAACTCATCTCAGAAACTGGGCCAAGTTCGGCCCCTGCCACGACCTCATAGGTATGGCCAAAGCCATGAAATCCATGTCCTGGTTGATATTCAGCTGATGGTTGATATTGAGCTGCTGGCTGGAAGAGACCTAACGGTGGGTCTGAATTGTCACTCATTTGTGGGATAGTAAGCATGGCGGGTTTGGGGGACCCAGGACGGCCAGTTGCAACTGCCTCCCACGTGAAAGGAAGAGGTGGATATTTCCTTGTGAACCTTTTGCGTCGACGGAAGTAGAACAACACAAAGACAGCCAACATAATGGAGAGCCCTCCGAACACAGATCCAACAGCAATGCCTGCCTTTGCACCGGTGCTTAGTCCCGAATAAGGCACAGGGGTATTAATTGGAGTGTGCGTCGTGGTAGCATTTCTTCTTGCTATCCAAGTTGTCGACGATGGTCCCGAGTAGACGGTGCTACCGGCCAAGAGTCTGAGATAATTCCTGCCCATAGCCATAGGTACAACGGAACTCTCCGCCAGGGCTATCTTCGGACGTCCTTTAAGTATCTCACTCTCCTTTACAAATTTAATGGCTCTCCGACGAGGCTTAGGTCTCTCGCAAGTGAAAATGAGCGTAGGGCGTGCGGTAGTGGGCTCTCGGCCAATCATGTACCTATTTGTGGTCAGCCTATTCTGAATTATCTCTGACGTAAGCTGGGACAATGTTCCACGGAACGAAAGAGAAAGGAATTCATGCCAAAAACTTCAACAGAGGTAGTGGGGGCATTGAAATTGGTATATCGGATATCTACCGGACTTACATGCCATATGTGAGAATGTTTCCAGCTACAGGTTCCCCTTCTTCAATTTCATCAACACGGGCATCAAGCAGGTCCCCAATGCTCTGTGATATTTCGTTGAACAACAATTGGGCAGGGCCAACCGCTTCCCAGCACTCGCGATCTCCTATTCTGCGACACTTCGAGCCGATTGACAGTTCGGGATTCGGCCAGGTCGACTTTTTCAATGCCAGTCGTCCAAGATTGAACCACTGTCGCTCCGTGGGCTGTTTCTTGAGTGACTCTGCAGCTTCAGATTGTTTGGCGGCGGGAACTACATCTCTTGGACTATTCAAGTCTCGACTCGAATCTTCAGCCGATTGCGTAACTTGCGGACTCCGCGCTTTTTGCGTGTTTTCAGTCTCTCGCGTGTCTAGAGTATCTTGGGTGCCTTCAGTGATTTTTAAGATTGGCTCGTCTGGAGCAATTTGTGCGCTTTTGGGTAGGTTAATTTGATCGTTGGCCTCTGTGATCTGAGTCGCTTTGAGGTCGTAGGTTGGAACTTTTGGCCACTCTTTAATGTTCCTTGCCTCTATGGAGGAGACAGGACATTCTCTTAGTATCTCCATAATCCAGCGACAAACATGCTCCGTAGGATTGTGGGCTCGTTGTCGCTGTTCTTGTCATCGAAGTCGTTGAAGTCGTTGAAGTGAGGAGATCGACGCCCGGGCGATCAATTCACTAAACCATAGATGAAGAATACTATTAATAGAGTTCAAGAGGGAAAAGCAAGGATTGGGCGGAATTGTTATGGTGTGGTGTCGCGAGGCTGGCAGGGCGTTCGATTGAGGCTTGACCAAGCCTCACTCCCGAAACACGACTGTGAAAACGTCCTCAAACACATTCTCTCTAAGATTTTCAGGAGACCTGGACACAGTTCCTTCACTAGACCTTCCACTTGGCGCCAAAAAATATATTTGGTCATGTACGACCAAGAACTTCCATGTCTTCCCATGGCAAGCAGACGAGAGATCGTCGAGCACTTCTGGGGTATTGGCGCCGACGCAAATGTGCGAAAGAAACTTTTTGACGACGACTCATATTTCGAGTATTTCGAGCAGCAGTGTCGAATCGCTCGTCAACATGACCATCCCGAAAACCGAGTATGCACGCAAAGCAACATTTTCGACATTGTATGGCAATTCAAATCTGGAGTGGATCGCGAAACAATCAAAACGAATCTCTCTTCTAAGGTTGATGGGATTGGCGAGAACTCCAGTTTCGCCGTGAATTATGCCATAGACTTAACAGTCAGACTTTGGCTTATGGTCCATATCGGAGACGTGCAACGAGGCATCACAGGACAAACAGCGCTTTTGTGGCGTGGAGGCTCTTTGAAAGACTGTGTCGCCGGGCATTTTCAACATCAGCGTATTTTGACAGACTTGGTGAGATTTGAAAGAGTATTCAATGCCTGCAATATCGATCGGGTGGCGAACGTGACCATTCGATGGACACCGAATCTGGTTGACCATTTGAAATTCATCGAAGACGGAAAGAAGCCAATCCTAAATATTTTCCATCACGCTGCATTTCTCAATTACCACCGAGAAAGGTAAGTTGGGAATGACACACTCGATGTGGGCAAGATGCTAACAGCTTCGTAGCGACTTCTTTCCTTCCGGGTTCATCGACGAGACGATTCGAACTCTCGCTCTGCTTCTTCCAGCTCATGACTCGGACTCAAGAAAGTGGTTCAGAAAACAGCAAGCAAAGCTGCCGCTCGATCCTGGAGCAGTCAGGTGCGGCCAACTCAAGTTAGAAGAGCGACAAATTAACCACTTTAATTTCTGGCATGACCGACTTGTTATTTTGAAGCAGTACTTTGACGATTCCAAGCCGCGGACGATCAAACAGTGGTACTACGACGACAGGCATCGTGTTTCGTGGTTTTGGGTTGCAATTCTTCTAGTAGTTTGCACATTGCTGTTTGGTTTTATTCAATGCGTCGAAGGAGGTTGGCAAATATGGAAAGCGTACCATCCGTGATGTTACTTTAGATGAGCAAGGAAAGTACTGTACCTGGTTGATGCTTTTGCGACCAAGAAGTTTCCCTGGGTTGCTGTTGCCGCACCAATTAGGTAACTATTGCAGAAACGATATTAATATCACGCCTGGGGTGTGAATATTCTACTTCTCGTCACGTGAATAGCCTGCTAGTTCTAAATCTTGACCAGTAAAACCACACCCCAGTTTTCGTCTACATACACCTCTCAACCGACCACCTCATTTCCCCAGACTTGGTTTGTGATTCTCGAGCAGTAGAACCCCGTCTGTACTTCCGTCGAGTTTCCCTTCTTCAAATCATGACAAGATAAATCGACCATGGCCCTCAACAGACCTCGGTTTGAGTTCGTCCGACATCTGCACGTCGGGTCGCTGACCTGCAGCAGGGTGAACTGGACCTGCGTCATGATGATTCCTTGTCGTCGAGATACCCCGCAGCCCAATCTAAATTTTCCCCAGCGAATCCATAACGCCGGATTGTTTGCTGAGCGGGGTCAAAGTTACCTTCCCAGTGGGAGAATTGGACGAGTCTCATTCAGTGAGAAGGGCCGACGGAATAATTTAGTCCCCGTCCGGGAGGAGCCAAGGTTAGTGCGGCTCCCAGACATGAGGTGAAGTATATCCAGCAGACTTTCCCTGCTTTTTGATGTACTCTGCTCGATTTGTTTACTTGGTATGCGCAAGGGCATTGCTCTGTCTTAGCGTAATGAACTTCTATACTGTTTTTGCCTTCTGCATATGGGCGGTGGGAGTGGCACAGGCGCAAGTGCAATGGCCACTCCATAACGATAATCTTACGACTGTTGTAGAGTGGTAATAAATTTCCCTAGGCCCAGATGTCCAATGATCTAATTTGTGTCAGGGATCACTACAGCTATATTATCAATGGCCAACGACTTTTCATCTGGTCAGGGGAGGTTTGTCTCCCGAGGTTTTGATTCTAAGAAATGGTCCTGATATTTGCATCAGATGCATTACTGGAGAGCTCCTGTGCCAGAGATGTGGATAGATATCCTCCAAAAAGTCAAAGCAGCCGGGTATGATTACTTTCATGACCACACGGCTTGTGGCTGACGATGGTCTACAGCTTCAATACCGTGAGCTTCTACGGGAATTGGGGTAGGTTGCTCTTCAAGACTTCACACATCACAGATCTTCTGACACTCCTCAGGATACCACAGTGCCAAAAATGGCTCCCTTGATTTTGATTCTGGTGCACATAATTTCACCAAGCTATTCGAACTCACTAAACAGATCGGCCTCTACGTCTTATTTCGCCCTGGGCCTTATGTGAACGCAGAAGCTACTGCAGGGGGTTTCCCAGGATGGGTCACAACTGGAGCTTACGGATCTCTGCGGAACAACGACACGAGATACACTGATGCTTGGACACCATATTTTCAAAAAATTTCACAAGTCGTTTCTCAGCATCAGGTGACGAACGGAGGCAGCGTCTTCATTTATCAGATCGAAAACGAGTATGGTGATCAATGGGAGAATGTAGCCGCGAAAGTTCCTGACCCAGAAGCTATTCAGTACATGGAGTTGCTCGAGAAATGCGCAAGGGATGCGGGTATCAATGTTCCTTTAACTCACAACAACCCAAACATGAACACCAAATCTTGGTCAAAAGACTACGACACTGTTGGGGCAGGAGGTGATGTTGATATCTATGGCTTGGATCATTATCCATCTTGTTGGTCCTGCAATACCGCCGAATGTACTGGGACGAATGGCAACGTACCGGAGTTCACAGTCTACGAGTACTTCACAAATTTTCTTCAAGTCTCTCCTACTCAGCCGTCTTTCTTGGCAGAATTTCAGGGCGGATCATATAATCCTTGGGGAGGCCCAGAAGGAGGTTGTGTAAATACTACTGGCCCTGACTGGGTTAATGTGTTCTACAGACACAATGTCGGTCAGAAGGTCACTGCAATGAACGTGTATATGTTATTTGGGGGAACAAGCTGGTATGTGTATTCACTACAGGGAAATACAATGCTGAAGATTGCAGGGGTGGACTACCAATGCCGACTGTAGCAACAAGTTACGATTACAGCGCACCAATCAGTATGGTGTTCTTGTCAGGACCAGAGCTTGACGCTAACATTCTTAGGCGAGTCCAGAGCCATTGGCGACAAATACCACGAAACAAAACTCTTTGCGCAGTTCCTCAGAGTAGCTAGAGACTTGACTAAAGTTGACCTGATCAATAATGGAACTGGATACGCTTCTACTCCAGAGATCTTCACGAACGAGCTTCGCAATCCGGATACGAATGCAAGATTTTATGTCACAATCCACACTTCATCACCATCGACGAACCTCACAGCATTCCAGCTCAAGATCTCGACGTCATCGGGCAATTTCACGATTCCACAATACAATCAACTCGTGCTAAATGGACGGGAATCGAAGATTATTGTCACAGACTTCACAGTTGGCAAGGAGAAGCTGGTCTACTCGACTGCTGAAATTATGACTGTTTCCACACAGGACGAGAAACCTCTGGTCTTTCTCTGGCTTCCAGAGGGAGAAGATGGAGAGTTTATTCTGACCGGTGTCCAATCTGCAACCGTTCTTAAAGACGATGGATGTGCCAACTTGAAGACAACTCAGCGCAATGGGGGCCTCGTCGTCTCTTACACCCAGGCCACAGGAACTTGTGTTTTGAAATTCGATAATGGTTATAGATTTGCGCTGCTTGATAGATCAACGGCTTATTATACTTGGGTGCCATCAACATCAGCGGATCCATACACTCCCGAAAATTCAACAGGTGGATCCTCCCCACATGAGAATGAGACGGCGTGCTGACATTAAGTAGTGGTCGTTCAAGGACCATACCTCGTCCGCTCCGCAAGCAACTCCGAGAGCGCTCTCGAGCTTACGGGAGACATTTCTAACATGACAGAGCTCGAAGTCTATGCCCCCTCTTCCGTATCTCACATTACTTTTAATGGCGAGAACATTCAAGTCTCGAGGACATCACATGGAAGCCTAGTTGGCAAGCTCAATGAGTGCGCGGAGACTACTGCATCAATCCAGGCTAAGCTGCCCGCTCTCGCCAGCTGGAAAGTCAACGACGGCCTGCCCGAACGTATGGCTGAATACGATGATTCAAAATGGACGAGTGAGTGCTGGCCAGTCATCATGTGCTCCCTATCATCAGCTGACATTATATAGTCGCGAATCACAGCAGCACACCCAACCCTTCTCCTCCGGCCACATACCCTGTACTATATGCAGATGAATATGGTAAATCTCTTCGACTCCGGCTCTAGCTTCACATAGCTGACAATAATAGGATACCATACTGGTAACCTTCTCTGGCGCGGAAGATTTCCAGGCTCGACTGCAACGGGCGTCCACTTGGAAGTGATAGGAGGGACATCAAGGTAACCACACATTCCCATTAACCCGCTGTCCAGGCTCACATATATCAGCGGATGGTCAGCATATTTGAACGGTATCTACATTGGCTCATGGCTCGGCTCAACATCGGTAACGAAAGGCTCCTTGAGCCTGTCATTCTCAAATGCTACCATAAACTCCGCCACCGAAAACGTGCTCCTGGTAATCCAGGACCACATGGGTAAAGACGAAACAAGTGGCGCAGTCAATCCTCGTGGGATCTACAATGCTACTCTCCTCGGCAATTCTGGCCTAAATTTTACATCCTGGAAACTAGCCGGTAATGCGGGTGGAGAGTCAAATATCGACCCTATTCGCGGAGTTTATGCCGAAGGAGGATTGCATGGTGAGAGGATGGGCTGGCATTTACCAGGATTCGATGACAGCGCTTGGAACTCCTCAACTCCGGAGACGGGATTGACCAAAGCTGGGGCGAAATGGTATCGAACTGTTGTACCCCTGGACATTCCCAGAGGTGTGGATGTAAGCCTCGGGTTTTTATTGGGAAGTCCGACGGAGGAGAAGGTTAGAGCGCAATTGTATGTCAATGGGTATATGTTTGGCAAATACGTGCCCTATATTGGGAATCAGGTTGTTTTTCCTGGTAAGTGTTCCCATCATACGATTCGACATTATGTCTTGAAAGAAGAATGCGTGCTAATTCGAGAAAAGTCTTCCCCGGGATCCTCGATTATCACGGACAAAATACAATCGCACTGAGTATCTGGGCTCAAGATGCTGCTGGAGGAAGTGTGTCTGTTGATTGGACGGTGCTGAACGTGGTACAATCGAGCTTCGATCCTGGATTCGAAGCATCGTATCTGAGACCCGGCTGGAGCGACAGATCAGCATATTACTAAATAAAATGTCCTGGTAGGCCAATTGATTATAGTACGGGGCGGACTGATTCCACAACACTCTCTGAAAATTCTTTGCTCGAGCGTATGTTATTGCAAAGCCCCACGTTCTCTTTCTCAAAACCCCCTAGTGGGGCCTCGCTTCTCGCTTAGAGCCAGAAGGGGCATGCGATACCGTCTCCAGTTAATTACTTTATAGTTAATTATCATTTTTGAGCTTATTCCATCATCTGAACAGTTCAGATCTGCCGAAATGACGGACCTGGAAGTATAATATGTAAGGATAATATTATCATGTCTCGTGCTCGTCTATATTAGATGACCAGGGAAAGAGCCTAGCAAAAACGATTAACCGAAACGCGGGGAGTACCGAGCCTGAATCTTTTTTATATCCGATTGTATATTGACTTGCCACTTTGTCCCTGTTCCCCGCATTTTTGGTTAGTCGCGCCCTATCTTCTGGGAATGGTTGTACTATCAATCCCAGAGCTAGAAATTTGACATTTGGTTGTGGATATGTGGGGAGCTCAGATAAAGAGGCTCACTCCCACAACCTCTACAGAGTGTTGTCGGGTTCAAGCACATCTTCGCTCACAGTGAGGTCAATTTCAAGATGAAGACATCAAGTTTCTTCAGTGGTGTGATCGGGGCTGCATTTTGCAGTGAGTTGGCCCCTGGTTCTCAAGAAATTTCTAACAAAAAAGTAGGTTTCCGAGCCATTGTAGCCCAAGATTTTGCCACGCACGGGATTTACACAGAACCCAACACGAACATCACTTTCTTCGTCAGTTCAGAAGCCAATGGCACGATAACAGGAGATGGCGAATTTTCTACCGTTTCCTGGGGAGGCTTTACCTTCGGCATGGCACTACCACCAACTGCAGGGAAAGTGGACACTCATGAGTATATTGGTCTCATTGTAAGTACTCTCAAGACGACAAATAAGAAGAGATCATAACTGAACTTGTCTAGATTGGTTCTACTCCCACTGGAAAAGGAGGCTGGACTGGTATTGTTCACGGCGATTCCCAGTCAGCCGCAATGCCAAATCATCTTATGCTTCTCGCATGGCCAACTGGGGTCGATAATCAAATTGCCACATCTTTCCGCTATGCTCCGTAGGTATTCTCGTGCATTCGGAATTTGAGAATGTAGCTTATATACTTCTGCAGCGCCTACCAACCACCTACAGCCTACAAAGGAAGTGCAAACCTCACGCAAATCTATTCCAGCGTCAATGCATCGAATTGGGTTCTTATTTACCGATGCCAGAATTGCTTCATCTTTGATGATCCATCACAAACGTCTTTCAATACATCAACGAGTAAAGCAGCACAGTTTATGCAAGGGTGGGCTCAGTCTTTTGTCGCACCGGTTGATCCAAAGAATCCTCAATCGAACTTTGACCAGCACAACAATGGAATGGGCGAATTTGCTATTCAGGTTGCTTCTGCTACCCACGTTTCGTACTCTGCGTGGGCCACCAAGACTGTAAGTATATCACATTCCCAACTCTGACCCCAAATGTCATTTGCATCACCTTACATACTTGTAACAATCAATTGAGCTCTCACTACTCCTCATTTCTCCATTTATGAGGCATCCGCAATCATGTCAACGCTAAATCTCTCTAGGCCACAGGAGTAATCGCAACCGGAACTGCTACCGCCACTGCAACCTTCACACCCATCCCAGTCCCAACTCAGACCACCTATGATTACATCGTAGTCGGTGCCGGAGCAGGAGGCATCCCCATGGCCGACAAGCTCTCCGCAGCCGGAAAATCAGTCCTGCTCATCGAAAAGGGAGTTGCATCGTCAGCACGATGGGGCGGAACCATCCGATCCGAAAGCCATTGGATGGATGGTCAGAATCTGACCTGGTTCGATATCCCAGGAGAGTGTAACAGGATCTGGAACGGTGGCACTGCTGGAGTTGCGTGCACTGATATCGATCAGATGGCTGGTTGTATTCTGGGAGGTGGAACTGCGGTGAATGCTGGTCTTTGGTGGAAGCCGAATCCGTCGGATTGGGATGTTAATTTCCCTGCTGGGTGGAAGTCATCGGATATGGCTGCGGCAACGTCAAGGGTATTCTCACGTATTCCTGGAACAGATCATCCTTCAAGTAAGCCACTACCTCTTTTCTAAGTTGCTGTGCTCGGCTTTCCATTTCACATTCATGATTTCGAGCTTGTCCTTCTAAAAGCATTGTGATGCTAATATCTTGCAGTGGACGGCGTTCGATACCTACAAGATGGCTTCAACATAATTACCGGCGGCCTCGAAGCCGCAAACTGGACCAGCGTTACAGCAAACGACCATCCAGCATCGAAAAATCGCACGTTTTGCCACCCACCCCACATGTTCTCTCACGGCGAGCGAGGAGGCCCTATGGCCACTTACCTTGTATCAGCCATGAATCGCAGGAACTTCCACCTATGGCTCAACACCAGCGTCGAGAAGATCAATCGCGTGGGAGGCCATGCTAATAGCTTGAATGTCATTCCCACAAATGATGGCGGCCGTCTGGGAACAGTGAGCTTGACACCGGGTACTGGGCGTCTTGTTCTGTCCGCTGGAACGTTCGGGACACCAAAGCTGCTATTTAGAAGTGGTATCGGACCAGCAGATCAGCTGCAGGTTGTCCAAGGGAGCGTGGAAGGAGCGGCAATGATCAATCAGACGGAATGGATTCACCTTCCAGTCGGTTATAATTTGAACGATCATCTGAATACAGATACAGTCGTGTCTCACCCCAATGTCAGGTAAGTCTCGTGTCTCTTCAAATGCCGTAGGGTGCTTGACGAGAATGGTGTACTGACTTCGAAACCAGTTACTACGACTGGCCAGCATCGTGGCTCACACCGATCGAAGCAGACAAAGAGAACTACTTCGTCAACCGCAGCGGACCACTTGCCCAAGCCGCACCAAATATCGGTCCCATCATGTGGGAAGAGATCAAAGGGCCCGACGGAATCGTCCGTCACATGCAATGGCAAGCCCGAGTCGAAGGCTCGAACGGCATCCCCAACGGCAACTCGATGACTCTCTCCCTCTACCTTGGAAGAGGCGAAGTTTCAAGAGGGAGAATTGCAATCCAGAAGGGCTTGAATATGATTGTTGATACCATCCCCTATGGTGATCCGAATGATCTTGCGACGGTGGGCATGGCGATTGATAATATGGTCAATAACCTCAAGACTATTCCTAACATCACTTGTAAGTATCTCTCTTCCCATCTCAATCTCCTTTCGAATAAGGATAATCACTAACTCTCCTTCTTTCCCAGGGAACCTCCCACCACCAGGCATGTCCGGCGCCGACTACCTCAAGACCATCCCACTCACCTACGCCAACGTCGGCGCCCGCCGCGCAAACCACTGGATGGGCACCTCCAAAATGGGCACCGACTCGGGACTCGTCGGCAACGGCACCGCAGTCGTAGACACCAACTGCAAGGTGTACGGCACCGACAACATCTTCGTTTCCGATGGATCGATCTTCCCGGGTCAGGTTACTACCAATCCCAGCGCGCTTATCGTCACGGCTGCTGAACACGCGTCGTATTTGATTCTGGCTTTACCAGTTACGCAGGGTGGTGGTCATCATAATGGAGGACGCTCGGATTGAAAGGAGGTGTAACACGGTACTGTACATGCATAAGGATATCTTTTCAGTATGTAGATAGGCCGAAGTAAGATGTCCACAATTCTTGGATATGTTCATGAGCAAATGAAATGAAACGAATATTGAAGAATCATCTAATTACCCATCTATTTATGAGCTCCTTCTTAACCCCCTCTTTACCCCCCTCTTTCCACCTCTCACTCTTACATCTCGACCTCTCTTCAATTGGAAGTTTGAGAAAAAAAACCGATCGGAACTACTAAGCGACTCACAAAATAATATTTAACCTTCTCCTAGATTCCCAAATACAGAAGCGCTCCTTTTCGTCAAATAGTCTCTTGATACAGCCGTCCAGAATATGATTAATGAGCTGCCGAATTCTGTTCGTGATTCAAAGAGAGACATTTGCAAATTATGAATATCAGGGCCTATCTTGTAATTCTTGAAATTCATGGCCGTGTTCATAAGTATATGAAGAAAGTAACTCGAAAATGTTACAGTGCTCCGCAATTCGCGCGAATCGCGCGAAATGCGCTACAGTACACGCGCAATACGCGAGAAGTTCGAATCCGACGGCCTTGGGTTTGCCTGGAAACCTGTGCACACATTACATAGTCAAACTGTGAAAGCATTCAAACAGGAAATCTTCAAGTTATAGTTTCAAGTGGCCTAAAATTCCATCTCCAGCTTACTTCCAAATAGTTTTCATTAAGTTTTGCTCTGATATTCATGTAGATCAAGAGTCTTGAACTAGTATTATATCTTACAATAAATGGCAAACAGCATTTGATGCTTAGCTCAGATGTTTGCACGCCTTGTTCCTATCTCTTGCGCTCCATCCTTTGCTCGACGTCTCGCCTTTGCCCTCGGTCGCTTGTCCATCTAACGATTTGGCGTGACGATCGAGATGGTAGCCTGAGTCGACTTCTTGGAGACCTTGACGGGTCTCGAGCATCAAATCTTGCTTGCTGCTTGGTGTTTATGCAGCTGGACGCAGTGCCATGGATTTAAGTCTGCTGTTGAGAATGTATCTCCATAACAGGAATATCTCTTCGAGACCTGCTATGCGTAGGATAGTCCTCGACACCATCATCGTCCCGATAGCTGATGTTCCACCACAGCTTGGTCTTTTGAATCTTGATAGTCGATGTCCAAACTCCATCTCATCCTCAGACATTACTCCACTTATGCTCGTAAACGCTGTCCGCATCCTGCTCCTCGACCGTAAATTGCGTCGTCTTCACAATCGCATTCACATTCCCTCCCATAACATCATCGATGTCCGCGCCCTCACTTACCGTAAAAACCTCCACGTCAGCACCACCCTTGACTTCCACTTCCGCGCCCCTGACATTATCTCCCCTCCAGTTGAAAGTCTCCATGCCATGCCCTATATCCATTTCTTCATCTATGCTCTCCATGTTTTTCGATGTATTCGGTGTAAGAATCTTTTTGACCCGACGAGAGTAGGATGATCTTCTGGAATCCGAGACGGTGCTATTTCTTAGCCCTGAGTTTGAACCAGAATCGTAGGGATAAGGATTCGGCGGCAGTACTCGAGGTTCGGAGCGAAGGAAGTTCGGGAAGCAGCGGCGGACCAAGGGGAAGAGATCTGGGATGCAGCCTGTGACAAGCGCAAGGTCTGTCTCGATCTGGGAGATGGTGGAACGGATGCTGAAGTTTATGTCTTTATTTGGATTGGGTTGGTATCCGCTGTAAAGTATCTGGAATCGCGCTGCGCCCACTGCTGTAACACTGTGGAAAGTCAGCCAGCTACAACTGGAGCTCAGGAGGTAGATTGAAAGTTCATGCTCACCTTAAGCCCATGCATAGAACGATCAGTACCACAACCTTCTTCTTTGGGGTGAGTTGAAGATCATAGACCATATATATTGGGATCAGTAACATCAAGAGATCTGTGAAGATGCTCAATCCAGAGGTTATCAACAGGAAGTACTCCAAATTAAAACATTCACCTCCAGTAACATACACTCCATTCTTGAATCCCGTTGGCCATGGTATCCTGTTTGGAAGTAGTCCTGGTTGGTTCGCGCCAACCGCATTCTAAACTGGTAGTCAGTACCCTCGCGAAGGATATAAAGAAGATGATCGCAATCGCAACTTGAATGAAGGAAGGGATACATTCGTATTTAGGGGGATCGGAGGCATCAAGGATAATGAACCGCGAGTCATGGGGAGAATATGCATAGGAAGGGAGATGTACCTGTGCAGCAAGATCCATGGCGGGCCTATCCCAATTGTATCGGATCGGTAAACATTGTAGCAAATCCGCCACAGTAGTTCCGAACGCATGGCCAAACACTACAAAGAGCAGAACATAGCATCCCATCCGCACCCCCTTTTTCGTGCCTCCGAGACGTAGATACAATAATATCATGGAGGCTTTGACCAAGCCCAAGACTGGGTTGTAGAAGAGGGTGTTGACAAAAGAAACCAGACTGTATTCTCTATAATTATATGGCATCTTTTCGGCGTCGACGAGCTTGTAACCGAAGTGAGCCAATTGTGTGACTGTTACATTATTAGTCGCTGATACCTGAGAATTGTGTAGGTCCCCTCTGCTTCAAGGTTTCGCGGGACTCTTTTACCTTTGTACATGGTAACTGTTTCACCGACTGACAGCGCCTATGAAGTTAGTTTTGGGCGGCAGGTTGAGCTTGCCAGAACACCTACCCACGCAATGAGCATACATATGTCACCTGTGAAAAGATTAGGACACAGTCTCCAAGAAGAGCAGGCATGATTCCATACTCCACATCATTAAACCTCTCCACGACTCCGCCCTGATCGAGATGAATCGCGAAGCAAGCCGACCCAAGCAGAATATTGAGGCAAAGATTTCAAAAACAACTATGATGGCGAGCGACGCCGTATGCAGTTGTGAGACCATGATGACTTCCCATGAGTTGAGTCGGATATGGACATGCGAAAATTGCAACTGCCCGATGTGGAAGCGACAACGAAGACGCTCAGCAGCGGACCTCAAAGTTTAACATAATGATCTCTTGGCAAACTTCCAGAAGTTGAAACCCGTGAAAGGAAGTAAAGTTTAGTTTGAGTTTGCGGGACTATGACTTAATGCGGAGAAAAGGGTGGCAGAAGAGGGAATGACCAGTGCCACGGAAAATATTATATGCTATATTATGAAGACCAGAGGCTGGATTGCTGCAAGATTCAAGCTAAGAACAGAATCCGGGGAAAGCTTTGACATAGTCTGGGCCATATTGATTAGGCATGATCACTTGATTGGTAAATTTGATACTGCATACCAGAACTGCACCCTGGAAACGCTCGGTACCACGAAAACCGCTAATTACCCAATCTGCCACTGGCTAGAAGCTCCCCGAAAAGGGGGCACTATACCTTGTTTTGGACGCAGTCGTCTGACTTGGAATTTTGCCTGTAGGACCAGGGAGCAATAGACGAGCCGTCCCAGTGTCACACCAGTCCAGGTTGCAGGATGCCTCGAGCCAACGACGACGGTGGATGAGATCTGCTTTGCCGGCCCGTTCCTGGATTGCGGGGCATGAAACTGCACTTCGTTGATAGCATTGGACGAACAATCATTCTAGTTGACTCAAGTATCGCATGAATCATCTGGGTTTGAATCTGTATTATGCCCGCTAATGCAAGGCGTCCTTGCATCGCGGAGGTGGTTTCTCCTGGTCTGTATATCATGATGCGGTGTCGACGTTTGGCTTCGTTTCTCGGCAGTTGACCTGAGTTCCGGTGCGTATTAGGCTGAAAGAAGATACAGCGTGATCGGACAAAGAACCGTAAACAGCTTTCGGATTGAAGCTCGAGGGATTTGATTGGAGTTCACCGGTGGCTCAACGAATTTCTGGTAGTGACGCAACTTGCGCACGATATCCTCCTAATCTATCTTCGTCCACGGACCTTGTGTGCCACGACACCCTCAATCGTTCCGATTCTAGATATCTCTATTATCGGTATGGAAGATCCATAAGGTTTTGATAAGCCATAACCTCACGATAGCGTGTTTCGCCTCCTCATGGCTTCGATTGTTGATGGCCAAGAAAATAGTGCTCCGTGTTGCTGGTGGAGGTGGCAGAGACTCGAGAGGTTGCAGTCAAAGACGCTCCTTTCCTCTTCCTTTCTAAGGATACTTTGTCCGTAAGTCATACTGCAGTCTGTCCTGCTTTGAATTTGATGACGATAGCGATGGCCACGGCGATTACATTTGCTGGTAATGGCAATATTTTTGCGGAGTATTTGGGTTGCAGGCTCGCAGGGTAGGACAATAGAAGGTCTCTAGCGTCTCGCTTGCGACCCCGTTCTCCCCTCCTCTAGCATCCGAAAAAGTGGCCGATTTTGGCGAGAGACGCAAAATTCAACAAAATTGCAATGACCGTCCACAGTTTCTAAACAAAGGGACCAATTTTTTTTGATCACTGAATAGATAATCTATTTTAATAGTAAAGAGGAAGTTTTTATGAGTTTTTTGATATTCTGGTGCTGTGGGTAGAGAGATTGGGACTTTAGATTTTGGTGTGCTCGTGTGCCAAAATCTGCCACTTTTTCAGGTGCTGTGGAGCCCTCCTCTGTACTTCCTCGAATCGAGGTCGAAAGCTCGTATCCAACAGCGAGGGAGCAGAGCTTTTCTGAAAGCGATACTTGAGATTTTCTTCAATAATTCATCGATGCGATTGTTAACCCTCCACCTCCCCTTTTCTGTCTTTTCTATTTGTTTGCTTCACTGGAGTTCTCGACCATTCCTCTCAAGATGGAAAACTTTCTTCAGAACTAACTCAACCCTGACCCATAAGACTAGATTCAAATGCTTTAAAGTCATTTCATAAGGACAGACAATGAGCTTTTTATTGCACACCGCACTCCAAAAGGCTACAGAAAAAAGACTTTGGCAAGTGCTTGACCAGCTTCTAGAGTCAGGGCATCAGCAGAGAACCCAAGTAAAGTTTTTTCTTGCAAGTTGCATGCAGTAAGTTTTCACGTTTGCCATGCTTGTCTCAAACATCCATTCGCCCAACAGTACGTATCTTGACAGGGAACCATTGAATATCTCGTTATGCCTTTTGAGAGCCAGAATAGTCTTCCATTTGAATAGCTTCGATCTAATACTTTGATCAATGCAAATCCTCTTCAAATTACTTCCAAAGAGAACGACAAGCACCTAGAGAGGGGTACATTTCTACTGAAATAGAGATCTCTGCTTGACTTCACATCCCACTTAGACATGAACAGCATCACATTCTCTTCTTCCTGCGTATTGGTATTCAAAATCCGAAATAGGCATAGCACTCGTTCCATGCTTTTCACCATCGGATGATCTGTATCATGAAGATCCAGTCCGAAATTGAGATTCCTTGCTCTCAACCAGACATCATCCAGTTCCCTCGTCTGTTCATTCGCAGGTGCAGATGCCACAGTCAAAGCTTCACGTCCTACTTAGGAAACAAAGCTTCATTAGCTTCAATGTTCGATAATCATTTTCAGTGAAACTACAATACTCGTATAATCATCTCATTTTCAGATCGACAACTTTGTCAAAGCCATAAGTATTGCCAAGAAGCACGCAACGCAAATAGACAAGTAAGCCTCACACTTCCCCCTATATCGAAGTGGCTTCACACCAATATATTGCCAAACAACCCGAGAGAAAGCCATTACCTCAAAGCCACCCGTCTCATAGTTAACTTAAGCCCCTAAGTTTCAGCTGAATCGTCACTTGAGCGAGAAATTTAGATCTTCCAACTTCTCCTATTCCTCTGACCTGAGCAACGAACCCGCATCCGCATTCCCATTCACCAGAACCAGCGATCGTCGACATCCATCCAAGACTCGAAACCCCCAAAATAAACCCACCCACAAAAGAACCAATAAAACCCCAAACACGGCACGAAAACCCCACCCAATAAGAACCCGTCCATCCACAAAGCACCGATTCGGCCATACTCTCAGCTCCAGCCAATCTCCAGCCCCAACTTTCCTTCCTTCCTTCTGCCGTCCCGGACGGCGCCATGCAGCACCAGCACTCAATCACCCAGAATATCAGCACGCCCGTCACATATCCAGCCAACCGAGCCGAGCCTCGTCGAGCAGCCCGAGTCTCGCTGCAAAGCCACAGACCCCGCATCCGCTGCCGTGTCCGAATCTCCAATCAGCAGCCGTGCATCTACACCAAAGACAGGAACGGGCTGGTCTGCTGCAGAATCTAGATTATGAGCCTCACTGCAAGTCCCTCGATATCCGACGAATGGATCGTGCCCGTCTAAGCCAGCCGGCGATCACGGACGGGTTGTGCTGCATCCGCAGACGACTGCAGGATCTGGAATTCGGGGTCTCACGCCACTATGCATGTACGTACGTACCCTTTCCATCTCGAAACAGTGTATCGTTGCGTCCAATGATGAAATTCCCTTCCCACAAGGATCTTGAACGTCGATTAAAGCCACTCAGAGACTTTGCTCCAGCAAGCCTGCTGGGGAAATGGGTACCTCCACATCCGCGAACACTAGTCCGCAACTCCCTCTACCTACCTCAAAAGATCCAAATTCCTTATCCAGGAAACGAAACATCACCACGCTCTCGATTCCGCTATCGAGCGTGGCAACCTAGCACCATACGAGCTCAGCATGCCGTCCTGCCGATCTCCCTTCGGAGAATGGTTCGAGGCATCTGTATAAAAATCTGCACGTCAGATTGTTTACTTCTGTCGACCTCAAAAAACACAAAACTCCTTATTCAGAGAACGAGACGACAAACCCCGAAATTGACAATAGCAACGTAGCACGACACCAGCTCAGCATGCCATCCCGCCGATCTGCCCGAGGAGAGTAGCTCTGAGCCGTCTGCAAGTAAGACTTCTTCTCCTGATCACAACATGACAATATCTCACCTCGGCACCAGAGCCTCACCCCACGCTCCAATCCCTCAATCGCCATGGCTCGCGCGCGAATCTCGTAATGTGAGATCTATTTATGTTGTGATGGACTGTATGTAGATGTGAGACTGTAGATCAACGGATAGATATGCAAGCAAGCAAGGAAGCAAGCAACCAACGGGACGCTTTACCCCGCTCCCTTCTTCAACTGTGCCTAGCCTTCCTTACTAACTAGTAATGATCGAGAGAGTGAGCGGATAAATCGCCTAGACCTACCTGAAGAGAAGGTCGATCTTCGGTATTTGAGCATCATGCATTATCTCTCCAGCACGTGGCATTCAGCTAGCTCACTTCCAACCACCATCAACATCTCAACCTCCTTCCTCCCAATACTTGCCATCCAAGACATCTTCTATCAATCAAGCCTCAATCTTTCCCTTCCACTTATCTGACATGCATGTGAAAAACGTACGTAGTCATCCATCCATCCGCGCTCCTCTCAGGCATCTCGGAGATAGCACAACACAAAAGCAAAATACAACTTTGCTTCTGCGAACACACCATAATAACACGCCATGAACGATATTGTCCGACCCGTGTCTCCAAATCATCAATCATCTTTCTCCACACCACGCTTGTAAACCTAAATACCCCACCCATGCCTCGAGAACTACTAGACTGGCTTCATGTCAAATCCCGAGCCGAAGGACGATAACGCAATAATCAACACTTGCAGACATTCCCCGATCCATCTCCTGTAAAATCTAATCAAGACTTGCACTCTAGTGCTAGATTTCTCCACAGACTCCAGTAGCTTGCAGGCCCAAGGGGGGGAAAACGATACTGTAACGTACTTCCCCAAACCCACATAGCGCTACCGAAAACGAACAAGAAAAAAAGATCGCCGACACAACGATCCCATGAATGGTTCTCGAATCTTGGAGCGCTAGCATACGACCATGTCGGAGATCGAATAAAGGATTCAATACTATGCAAGGCAAGACTGCCGCAGATGAAGAAAGGAAAGAAAATAAACGGAACAGAAGGCTAGGGAAAGCGAAGAATGAAGCGAGAAAGGTGAGATGTAATGACGGGAGCAAGGCTGGAACGGACGCAATTCCTCTTGAATCGTATTGACATCGCATTTATCGGATGCTGTAAGAGATTTCAAAAACGAGTTGGCCCTTAAAGGCTGAGAAAAGAATGCAACGTTGGAAGTTCACCTCATGCTGAGGGGGTGGTGGGAATCCTGACTTCCATCTCCTCAAAAGTCTCTGAACGCCCCTGGACCCCTATGCCCTGATGGGAAAATGCAGGAACATGTTTCCTCGTACAACAGAGAAACAGTTGAGACGGGTGACGCCCAGCTTTGAGTTGAAATTCGAGGTTTCGGGTACACGGTAGGAACTCGATACAGGATAGGGCAGACCAGTGTCAAACCCCAATATCTGCACCGAATGGAAGTGAGACGGTGTACCGAGAATCAGGCACAGCCCGATAACTTACGTTGTTCTGGACCTTTCCTCCGCTTAACATTGACAGAACCGTCAATATTATTTCCACAGCGGAGTGGATTTAAGACAGAGGCAAGACAGGGGATTGCTTCTGACCCGGTATCATGTAACGCGGAGATTGAAGTAATTCGTCAGACCTGCTGTCGAATACATGACGCAGACCTGTAGACGTGGCAATGTCTTTGAATTTCGAGCTTGTGGTAAGACCACTCTGAGAAAAGCGGAGCAAAGTCTTCGTAAATTTCACAAGAAGATCTCTCAATGAGTAACGTCGAAGGATGCTACGGGGTTGGATCGGCGGTAGGATGAATGTCTCGTGCAAGAAGTAAGTGAGTAGAAACTCGATAAGCGCAGAAAGCCAAACCCGGGGAACGATTTATGTAGAAGCTCAAAGAAGCAGGGTTAAGATGCATGTTTCTACCTCATGGCAATAAACCCGAGAGGGTAGCCGAGCTTGATCCTGTAGCAGACCCAAGCTTTATCCGGCAATCGTGATGAATGTCAGACCACGTGTAGAGACGATCTTATCGATATGAGTATCTACGATTATGAGAAGTAATTTGACTAGTGAAAGCCTTGTTGACAATCAATCAAGCTTGTTTCTGGGAAATGAATGGTATGTCTTCATCGACGGCTGTCCACCTCCATTGATAATCGACGGTTGAGTTATGATTGACTAACGGCTGATTGAGCCATGATGAATCTCTTGACAACTGCGCATACTTCGACGCTGCCGTTCGATATATTCGGCCACACCACACTACCCTGCTAACAAGGTTCCTACGACGTATCTGGGCCCTCAGTCTACAAGCAATAAATAGACATAGCTACTGTAAACGAACTTCAAGTGTACTGTGGTCTAGTTCGCCTCCTAGCGGTTTTGTACTATTGCCACTCTTGGGCGAGGGTAAAAGATGTCATGCAATGCATACATACACGTGGTGTTTCATTCGGCGAAGAGAGAGGTGCTTTTCAGGAGACAATTCGAGGTTCACACTGAAACGATGCTTGCAGCTTGCAAATATCTTCAATCATTCTGGCTGTACCGGTTCTAGACGGATGTTACCCCCACATTGACCCCCATATCAGTAATCAGCCTTCCTTGAAGGCTTGAAGCCACTGCTTCCTTCAGTCTCGTTTGAATGCATCTGCATGTCAATACACATCGCGGACAGGAACTAACACTCGAGTTTGTTTTCGCCGGAGTTCCCAGGACCCCTAAGAAGAACAAACTTTTGAGAAAGACAATGCATTACATGCAGTATCAAGGGTCTCAGGCCTGAATAGCTTCAGCTTCGGATTCAGCAACAACGCCCAAGGAATAAGAAATCCACAAACAGTAGTGCGTGAAGCGAGAAGGATGGACAGCTTCTGGCAAGGTGCCTTGGTAGCCACTGGCCATTGGATAGACTGTCAATGTTCTGGAATGATCGAAACTTGATTTGCTTTGCTTTTTTAGGCTCCACCATTCATGTGGCACGTTTAATATTGAGAATACAGAGGTCTTCAATATGGTACGATGTGCCTGCATCAAGGTGGAGTAGTCGATGATTGAGGTATTCTTGCGGCATCTGATGCGCAAAACGATTCGGATGCAATTTGAGCGGAAGAGCACGCTTCAAATGCACGGAGATGGCTGCATGCGAAATGACAAGCAACGTTTCGTTCGCCGAGCGCCTTGTACACCCATCTTAATAAAGAGTCCTTGAGAGCTCTGACTACATGATCGTCATGTCACGGATCACCACGGAGTCTGTACGTCTGGGGAAATAGATCCGGCATCAGACGGAGAGAAACTGGGACCAAATTGACTGTCCTAAAAACGGAAAGCTTGCGAATTCTGATAAGGAAGGGCCAACATTCGTAGAAAAGGGATCTGACCGGCGACCATCTGTGCGTATCTGACAGGAAACGGCAGGGGCTTGTGAAACGTAGCTCAGTCATGTTTCCACCGAAGATGTCGTTTCGAGTTCGTGGCCTTCGGCGAAGCATGAAAGGTCGTTCATCCGAATATTGATAGTTCTGGGTAAACAAACATCCACACCTGCTCCAGTAGATTCGACCAAGGGCGTCCAAGCTGGCTTGCAGATGCATGTTTAATAATACGTTTCATAAGTTGCACTCCGTGTTGTATCTGCAAGAACATAGGCAAATCAAGCCACAGTCGAGTCATGTCCACCCATTCACACAAAGTAGTGTGGCTGAAGAATTGGTAGCTAGGATCTCATAGGCTTACCTGGGTAACTTAAAAATACGGCTTGGAAAACTCGGCGTCGATCCAAACCGCTGGACTGGGACCCACAGGATCATTTTAGGCTTGCCCGCCTTGTTGCATGAGATGGCTGTACATCTCTAGGACGAGGTGCTTGGACGATTTTTTTTGGGACTTTATCTCTATTGCTTCGGAAGGACGTCGTAGAGCGGAGACGGAAGTCCATCACTTTTTATGTTATTATTAGGCGTTGAGCGCGCAAGAGAAGGATATCTCGCCTCGGTGTGTTATTTTCACCAAGTCGGTACCAGGGAGGTGATGCAGTGTGCTGCTTCGCTTCCAGGGGCCGTTCTCCCAGTTTTTGAACCAGATCCTGCGGACCCCTGATCTTGAGATCCGAAGCAAACATGGTTCCATGGATCGTGCGTGGGGACGGGTTGCAGAGCCAGACCACACAACTCAAGGAGCTTCTCGAGCTTCGATTCGCTGTGTGGGAGTTTCGAGATCTGATGCCGGGGTTAAGAAGAGCCAGATCGACACATGGATGGGCATGTCGTAGCCGGCTCTATATTGCTTTTCACTGAAAGCGCTTTTGGCGGAAAGGTAAACCTAACCCTGAGCTTGTCCTTCGAGTAGGTGGTATTG